GGATATTGTGTGGGTTATGTGTGTGGGGGTAAAAGGTGTGAAGCTTGTGGTCAGCGTGTGGTCAGGCCTGTCTGTCATTAGTCTCTCCATCAGTCACATCTGTCTGTCAAACAACGCAGTGGGTTTTCATCAATGGACAAATTGATGAAACCGGCATATGTTTCTCAAAACCTGCTCTACATCTGCCAGAAAATTATTTGTAGGCAACTCGTCATGTCAACCTCGACATCTACGAAAACATTAAACATTCAGCCTGAGCATGTCACACGCAGAATATATATATATATATATATATATATATATATATATATATATATATATATATATATATATATATATATATTTGAATGTATATCTTAATAATCCTAGAAGCAGTTTGAAATAAATAATAACATTCGACGCAAACTCCAAAACGTGGTAAAATGACCGTGTGATTGTGTTATTCCGTGTGGTGGCGCTGCTCTCCGCGTCTTCACTTCTGGTTAACGTCTGCTCCTCGTCCTTGGCTTGTTGACGCCCCCCACCTCCCCACCCCCTGGCATGCTGCCCCTGGTGAACGTGACGAAGATGCCCGCTTGTTGTCTGCCCGGCACACATCCAACTAGAGAAATATTTGAGCAGATTTGACCGTTAGCGGGATCATCGGCCCGAGTGTCAACTCCCTACAGCCGCCATTTTCTCCCTTCCCTGGCCCAGCTCTACGCATGCGCGTGTTGAAGCGATGTTTAACGGACTTTAGTCGAAGGCCAACTAGGTGTCAGTTTGAACCGCTCAGACCTAGGTCACGGAGGATCTTCTGGCTGTGTTGGTACAGGCGACCATGTGTTGGTACAGGCGACCATGTGTTGGTACAGGCGACCATGTGTTGGTACAGGCGACCATTTGTTGGTACAGGCGACCATTTGTTGGTACAGGCGACCATTGGCGACCATTGGTTGGTACAGGCGACCATTTGTTGGTACAGGCGACCATTTGCTGGTACAGGCGACCATTTGTTGGTACATGCGACCATTTGTTGGTACAGGCGACCATTTGTTGGTACAGGCGACCATTTGCTGGTACAGGCGACCATTGGCGACCATTGGTTGGTACAGGCGACCATTTGCTGGTACAGGCGACCATTGGCGACCATTGGTTGGTACAGGCGACCATTTGTTGGTACAGGCGACCATTTGTTGGTACAGGCGACCATTTGTTGGTACAGGCGACCATTTGTTGGTACAGGCGACCATTTGCTGGTACAGGCGACCATTGGCGACCATTGGTTGGTACAGGCGACCATTTGCTGGTACAGGCGACCATTGGCGACCATTGGTTGGTACAGGCGACCATTTGTTGGTACAGGCGACCATTTGCTGGTACAGGCGACCATTTGGTGGTACAGGCGACCATTTGTTGGTACAGGCGACCATTTGGTGGTACAGGCGACCATTTGTTGGTACAGGCGACCATTTGGCGACCATTTGTTGGTACAGGCGGCCATTTATTGGTACATCGACCATTTGGTACAGCTAAAATTTCTGGTACAAAAGAACCTTAACAACACAACTGTACTCAGCGTCGTGTTGTACCGAGGGCAAGCATGAGGTACATATCTAGATGTGACTGAACATCATTGAAAAAATGATGACATGATTATAAAAAGTATATTTGCATTGCAAATGTAAATGCAGCATAAAAAAATACTTCAACAAGCATGTTATACACTAAGCTTGTCAGTTCCCATTGGTGAAGTGTATATTTGTCAATGTTGGTCTTTTGACATGGCCTAAGTCTAATTGACGTGCAGGTCAGGGGAAAAAATAAAGCGGGTGTAATCTTCCCTAAACTTCCACGACTATTCTTTCATAACAGTTAGGTGGATGGAATTTCACACAACCGGCAATATAAATACAGAACTTTTTTTTTCTTCTTTTTTTTTTTTTATTTCTTTGAGAAAACACATGTGAAAATTTCTTAGAAAACGCTTTATAAAACTTTGATACAAAAGTATCCTATTCTGAAGGTCTGTGAGAGATTGAACAACCGGCAAAATATCTGTTAATCGTTAAACACGATTACAACACTTCCTTTAATCTCTGTATACTAGATCTAGAACTTAACATGTTAAAACTGAATGAGCTTGCCTGGACATGATACTTTTTCAAGTTCTGGATTATTGCCCCCTTTCTCTCCCTCCCTACTATCCCCACCACCTCCCTCCCCCTGCCACCTCCCCACCCCCTCCTACTTACCTCCAGCAAATCTGCTGAGCTATGTGTCAGTCGTGTGTTATGGGTGTTTTGTCACAATTTTTCTCTTTGCACTGACAGAGTAGCGTCCCCTGCCTTGTTGACCAGGGCTGAACTCTCCCACACAGGGGCGGATTAAAACCTCATTTACAGCTGAGCCGCTACTTACACGATAATCTACTGGGCCGCTGGGTGTCTGGTCTGGGGGTAGATCCCCGGGAATGTCAGGCATAGGTGCACGTGCCCGGGGACGGGCGGGAAATGTGGGCGAGACGGGGAAAAAATTTAGCGGAGACTCAACAACTGGGGGAGCCACCAACCAGTGCGGTATGTGGGGTCAAAGGTCGGGGGTTGTCTGGGTCATGGGTTAGGTCAGAGGTTGAGGGTCGTCGATATGGAGGTTAGCAAGTCAGAAATTGACTAGTTGACAAACTGGTGTTATAGGTTGTTGCATTGAATAGACGTTAAGGTTGTGATTTGATGAACTCTAGCAATTGACCCGACCAGTAATGTCTTCTTAGTCAACAGAAAGCAAAACAAACACTAAATAATAAAATGGCCATACAAATGGCCATAAAGCCAAACATATGACCAATAGATGATCAGTAGATGGCAGATGACAAACAGATGACCAACAGATGACCAATAGATGATCAGTAGATGGCAGATGACAAACAGATGACCAACAGATGACCAACAGATGACCAAAAAATGACCAACAGATGACCAACAGATGACCAACAGATGACCAATAGATGATCAGTAGATGGCAGATGACAAACAGATGACCAACTGATGACCAACACATGACCAACACATGACAGATGACCAACAGATGACAGATGGCCAACAGATGACCAACAGATGACCAACAGACGACCAACAGATGACCAACAGATGACCAACAGATGACCAACATATGTCAGATGGCAGATGACCAACAGATGACCAACAGATGACCAACAGATGACCAACAGATGACCAACAGATGACCAACAGATGACCAACAGATGACCAACAGATGACCAACAGATGACCAACAGATGTCAGATGACCAACAGATGACCAACAGATGGTCAACAGATGTCAGATGACCAACAGATGACCAACAGATGACCAACAGATGACAGATGACCAACAGATGACCAACAGATGACCAACAGATGACCAACAGATGACCAACAGATGACCAACAGACGACCAACAGATGACCAACAGATGACCAACAGATGACCAACAGACGACCAACAGATGACCAACAGATGACCAACAGATGACCAACAGATGACCAACAGATGACCAACAGATGACCAACAGATGACCAACAGACGACCAACAGATGACCAACAGATGACCAACAGATGACCAACAGATGACCAACAGATGACCAACAGATGACCAACAGATGACCAACAGATGACCAACAGATGACCAACAGATGACCAACAGATGTCAGATGACCAACAGATGACCAACAGATGGTCAACAGATGTCAGATGACCAACAGATGACCAACAGATGACAGATGACCAACAGATGACCAACAGATGACCAACAGATGACAGATGACCAACAGATGACCAACAGATGACCAACATATGTCCAACAGATGACCAACAGATGATCAACAGATGACCAACAGATGACCAACAGATGTTAAATGACCAACAGATGACCAACAGATGGTCAACAGATGTCAGATGACCAACAGATGACCAACAGATGACCAACAGATGACCAACAGATGACCAACAGATGACCAACAGATGACAGATGACCAACAGATGACCAACAGATGACCAACAGATGACCAACAGATGACCAACAGATGACCAACAGATGACCAACAGATGACCAACAGATGACCAACAGATGACCAACAGATGACCAACAGATGGCCAACAGATGACCAACAGATGACCAACAGATGACCAACAGATGACCAACAGATGACCAACAGATGACAGATGACCAACAGATGACCAACAGATGACCAACATATGACCAACAGATGACCAACAGATGACCAACAGATGACCGACAGATGACCAACAGATGACCAACAGATGACCAACAGATGACCAACAGATGTCAGATGACCAACAGATGACCAACAGATGGTCAACAGATGTCAGATGACCAACAGATGACCAACAGATGACCAACAGATGTCAGATGACCAACAGATGACCAATAGATGGCCAACAGATGTCAGATGACCAACAGATGACCAACAGATGACCAACACATGACCAACACATGACAGATGACCAACAGATGACCAACAGATGACCAACAGACGACCAACAGATGACCAACAGATGACCAACAGATGACCAACAGACGACCAACAGATGACCAACAGATGACCAACAGATGACCAACAGATGACCAACAGATGACCAACAGATGACCAACAGATGACCAACAGACGACCAACAGATGACCAACAGATGACCAACAGATGACCAACAGATGACCAACAGATGACCAACAGATGACCAACAGATGACCAACAGATGTCAAATGACCAACAGATGACCAACAGATGGTCAACAGATGTCAGATGACCAACAGATGACCAACAGATGACAGATGACCAACAGATGACCAACAGATGACCAACAGATGACAGATGACCAACGGATGACCAACAGATGACCAACATATGACCAACATATGACCAACAGATGACCAACAGATGACCAACAGATGACCGACAGATGACCAACAGATGACCAACAGATGACCAACAGATGACCAACAGATGACCAACAGATGACCAACAGATGTCAGATGACCAACAGATGACCAACAGATGACCAACAGATGACCAACAGATGACCAACAGATGACCAACAGATGACCAACAGATGACCAACAAATGACCAACAGATGACCAACAGATGACCAACAGATGACCAACAGATGACCAACAGATGACCAACAGATGACCAACAGATGTCAGATGACCAACAGATGACCAACAGATGGTCAACAGATGTCAGATGACCAACAGATGACCAACAGATGACCAACAGATGACAGATGACCAACAGATGACCAACAGATGACCAACAGATGACCAACAGATGACCAACAGATGACCAACAGACGACCAACAGATGACCAACAGATGACCAACAGATGACCAACAGACGACCAACAGATGACCAACAGATGACCAACAGATGACCAACAGATGACCAACAGATGACCAACAGATGACCAACAGATGACCAACAGACGACCAACAGATGACCAACAGATGACCAACAGATGACCAACAGATGACCAACAGATGACCAACAGATGACCAACAGATGACCAACAGATGTCAGATGACCAACAGATGACCAACAGATGGTCAACAGATGTCAGATGACCAACAGATGACCAACAGATGACAGATGACCAACAGATGACCAACAGATGACCAACAGATGACAGATGACCAACAGATGACCAACAGATGACCAACATATGTCCAACAGATGACCAACAGATGACCAACAGATGACCGACAGATGACCAACAGATGACCAACAGATGACCAACAGATGACCAACAGATGACCAACAGATGACCAACAGATGACCAACAGATGACCAACAGATGACCAACAGATGACCAACAGATGACCACAAAGATACCCACCGACAGACAACTGACCAGCAGACTTAACATGCCAGCTCTGATCTTTGACGTCCCTGAATATCACTGGCGGCCATACATGTGGAAAGTGGGGGGAGGGGGGATTTGTGACGTCGTTAGAGATTTGGGGCGGGATTTACATGGCTATATGACTTGACGGTCTGACGTCACAACATGGCGGCTCGTGGGAAGTTTCGATTGGCGAGTGGCAAGTTGAGGAAATAATGACGTCACAGCAGCGAGATGAAACGAGCAGGAATGTGGTCTATTTATAGAACGTCTTAAACTATGTCGATAGTGGATAGAGTAGGATGGTTATGGCCCTTAGAACTGGATAGTGGATAGTGTAGGATGTATATGGCCTTTAGAACTGGATAGTGGATAGTGTAGGATGGATATGGCCTTTAGAACTGGATAGTGGATAGTGTAGGATGGATATGGCCTTTAGAACTGGATAGTGGATAGTGTAGGATGGATATGGCCTTTAGAACTGGATAGTGGATAGTGTATAAAAATGGGTCGCCAAATGAGAAAGTATGGGAACCTCGTGAGAAAGTATGGGAACCTCGTAAAAAAGTATGGGAACTACGCAAAAAAGTATGGGAACCACGTGAGAAAGTATGGGAACCACTTGAGAAAGTATGGGAACCACGTGAGAAAGTATGGGAACCAAATGATAAAGTATGGGAACCACGCAAGAAAGTATGGGAACCACGTGAGAAAGTATGGGAACCACGTGAGAAAGTATGGGAACCAAATGATAAAGTATGGGAACCACGCAAGAAAGTATGGGAACCACATGAGAAAGTATGGGAACCACGTGAGAAAGTATGGGAACCACGTGAGATGCGGGTGTCTGTGTGTGAGTCAATCTGTTGTGGTGGAGTGTGTGAGTGTATGTGTGAGAATTTAGCTTTGAGTGTGTCTGTGAGTCTGTGTATGTGTCTGCTTGTATGCGTTCGTGCCTGCATGCATTGTGTGCGTGTGTGCGCGTTGGCATGTGTGTGTGTGTGTGGCGTGCGTGTGTACGTGTGATATATAAAGTAAAGCCCCCATAATACAAAGTTAGTGAGTGCTATCGACTGTACCCTGTTACAACCAGAACAAAGTTGATGTGAAGATTGGTTTTAAAAAATCATGACAGTTTCCGGTTGCAATTCAATCGAAAGATCGGCTCAGAACAGAGTTTCTTCCAGGCATCTCTTGGGGGAGGGGAATAGAGAGGGGGGGGGGGGGGGGGCTCGAAGAAATCCTACCGCACCCCCCCCCCCTCCCGAACGAAATATAATTTATATAGAAAATATATACTTTTAACATTTTCCGCCCCCCCCCCACCCGGAAATTTTAGTCCGCCGCCCCGTCCCCCCGAATATTTCAAGTGCCCCCCCCCCCCGGAGAAAAAAGTCTGGAAGAAACACGGGCTCAGAGTTGCATGCTAGTGTAGGGGTGTCAATTCTATAAACACTAGTTGTCTGCGGACATACACATTTACAGATAAACACACACACAACACAATTAGAGATAAACACACACACAACACAATTAGAGATTAATATTCACACACACACACACACATTCTTACACAGTGTCTGTGAAAGAAAAGGGAAGTAATGCTTGTTTATGAACTGTAATGCCGCTAAACCACGTGACCCGGCGTCCTCCGTATCCCATAACAACGAATATGGTGACAGTTTGGTCACGTGTGTTCGTGTCTGCTGAAGCATACGCGTCTTTTGGGAGTTGGCACAGTGACCTTACAATAGGAAGGTGAAAGGTCGAATACGGAATAATCTAATTGTCAATGTTGGTATTATTAGTGATCGATCTTCGCTCAATCGATAGTTCAAACCCTGACCACACAAAACTTGTTGATTGTTGTGTCCTCTACAGGACCATTGTACGTCCATTATGTGTCTGCTATGTGTAGCTTATGTGTCCACTGTGTGTCCACTATGTGTCAATTGTATGTCCATATTGTCTTCGCTGTGTCCAGACTGGGTCCACTGTGTGTCTATATTATGTCCGTTGTGTGTCCAGATTGTGTCCACTGTGTGTCCACTATGTGTCTACGAGAGCCATGACACAAGACAAAACTCCCATGAGATGGTCACGTTAGTTAGCTAGGTTACGTCAGATTAGTTTAGTTAGTAAAGCTAAACCAAAACTAAATATAGGGTGAATGTTTTCCCCATTGCTGTCTGTTTGTTTTTAAATTAAGGATTAATCCATTATAGTAAGAGCAATCCTTATCCGGGTATAAATGTGTGAAGTGTTTTATGTGGTTTATCATTCAAACAAAGAGACCTAATAGTTTGACCAGATAAATTTTCGTAGTTTACTTCAGCCAAACTAAGATTTCTTTCACATTTTTCTAACCCATGTAGTATTGCCACGGCAAGTTCTCCAAATCTTCCATTGATATTGACACCTCTGCCGTGTTCAGCTATGCCCTCTAGGGAGGATCAAATCATACACACTCATCAAAAAATCAATAACCAATCACAAGAAATCGTGGCAGAGCTCCTCCTTATCTGACGTGTAGCTTATAGAGGTCAAAGGTTAAAGTACACAACACAGGAGGGCACGTATTTAAATTACTGGATCGATTCAACACACCTTTATACGGAGGGGCTACGACGGGCATTTTATTTACATTGTAAGTAGTTATTGATTCTCGCATAAAATGAGCTTACGGCTTTCCATACATGGTTGAAATTTATAGAGTGGGTAGTTCTAATGGCACCGGTGTGAAGGGGGACAACTGTGTTTACAGAACACAAACAGCTTGACAACAACTGGTACAACATGGTACATGTAAGTACTGGTACTTTGATTGAAAGTACATGCAACTTTTTAACTTTTTTTAAAACTTATTTTATTGAAATATGTTTTAATACTTTGCATTGTATTATGAATAAATTATAGGCAATATGTAAAAAAGCAAACTATATTTCCAGTGCAATAAAGTTTTGAATTATGGGTGACTAAATAAAAGTTTGTAGAATGGAGTAGCACAGCTTATGTTGTCTGATTGTGGGAGGGCTAAGCCTAAATAATCTTGTTGTGTTCATTGAAATAATTAAAGCAGCAAGCTAAAGCCAAATGCATTGGTTTGTGTTTTCATTAATCATTGATTTTAATAGGAAAAAGCTAAAATTTAAACTAGCGTCAACAAAACGTCATGTAACTTAAAAAAAACCCAGGAATGTGTACTGGAATCTCTCCCTGTCCACCCCACCCCGACATCCGTACAACTGCCTACAGAAACCCATAGCTGTAGCTTTGCTGTGTTTGTGTTTTCTTGTTACTTTGCCTATTGTATTTGTGTTCTGTTACTTTCTGTATTTGTGTTCTGTTACTTTCTGTATTTGTGTTCTGTTACTTTCTGTATTTGTGTTCTGTTACTTTCTGTATTTGTGTTCTGTTACTTTCTGTATTTGTGTTCTGTTACTTTCTGTATTTGTGTTCTGTTACTTTCTGTATTTGTGTTCTGTTACTTTCTGTATTTGTGTTCTGTTACTTTCTGTATTTGTGTTCTTTTACTTTCTGTATTTGTGTTCTGTTACTTTCTGTATTTTGTACCTGTGTTCTCTCGCTCCCTAATTCAAGTGTCTTTCTGATGCAGTGGCTATATTCTCTATCGTCATTGCTTACAACAAGTCTTCTTTACCAATTGTAGTCTGAGTTACCGGCCTTGTTTCCGACGGTTACGACAACATTTTTATATATAAACAGCCGCCATGTTTTCTTAATATAGTTACATAATATTAAGATTCACAATGCATAACGTTTCAGTTTTAACTTAAAACTATGTCCGCAGATTCACAAATAGAAAAACAAATCAATTCCACCCCCAACTTTTTAGGTCAACAATGGCGGTACGGACATGCGCAGTGAGGCAGGCAAACGATGCCAAAGATTTAAGCACATTAGCTGAGAGATCCTAACTGGCCATCAGAAGCCAATTTTCTGGCCAGTTTTGTTGACAGTGTCTAGACAAGGTGTCGTGAGTGTCTGATTCCCGTGTTGACACCGGCGAAAGTCCTGCCAAATGTGGCATCCAGTCCTAGCAGTTTGATACTCTGACAACATGTCTGTTTACCATAGTGGCAACATGGGCCAAAACAAAGTCATCGTGTTAAATACATTAAGACCAAAGTTGTCGAGAATCTGACTTCTCGTCTGCTTCATGATACAAAACACATGTTTATCTCCCCCCCCCCCCCCCCCTTGAATAATACTTCCCCATGAATCCATCCTTTAGAACAAATAAAAAGTAAAAGATAAACCAACCCAAAAAAAGTTAATATTTTATTTTCAAAATTATTCTCGTTAAAATGGCTGCTTGAAACGTGATTGTTGTTTAGGGGGGTTAGAAAATTGATTTTTTTTTCAGGTGTCACTTTGACAGCAGTCATATTTCTAGTGCCAAACCATGACGTCACAGCTGTCAGTCAAAGAACACAACCTGCTCACTGGCAGGTTGGCACCAGAAGAAATTCCATCGGTCAAAGCACAGGTGATCAGGGTTTACCTGTGTTCCACGGGGACAGGTGAGTCAGGGTTTACATGTGTGGTCAGGGTTTACCTGGGAGGTCAGGGTTTACCTGGGAGGTCAGGGTTTATCTAGTTGGTCAGGATTTACCTGTGCTCCACTGGGACAGGTAAGTCATGGTTTACCTGTGTGGTCAGGGTTTACCTGGGTGGTCAGGGTTTACCTGTATGGTCAGGGTTTACCTTGGTGTTCAGGGTTTATCTGGGTGGTCAGCTGTGTAGTCAGGGTTTATCTAGTTGGTCAGGGTTTACCTGTGTGGTCAGGGTTTACCTGTGTTCCATTATGATAAGGGACTCATGAGGTCAGATGGTGAGGTTTACCTGACAGGTCAATGTTTACATATTTTAAACTATTTTATCAATATTTTACAAATATAATATTGGCATATTTTTACGATTTTGAAAGCGAGTGTAGTTAATTTTTGACCAATAGTTTTGTTGGTATGAAGTTCAAATAAAATAAAGCTACATCAAGGATTCACATCCCCATTGCCCTGACCCCACTCCCATGACTCCCTCTCGTGACCCCACTCCCATGACTCCCTCCTGAGACCCCACTCCTAAGATCCCCTCGTCTTACCCCACTCACATGACCCCCCTTGCCTGACCCCCACTCCCATGACCCCCTAGTCTGAACCCATGGTCCGTTTTTCTCTAACTCGCCTCTAACGTTGCTGTAGAGCCCCCTTTAAGGCCGCCACTGTGCAGATAGTTGGGTTTACGCGTGTTTGTTGATCTTTCAGACTCCGTGACCGAGAGGGATGCTTTGGTGGAGTTTGTTTACCCCAGGCTAAGGGCTTACTGCAGGGACAAATACAGCATGGAGTTTCAGGTGAACAGCTCTCTGGGGAGGCTAGGTGTTGCTGTCTGGTCATCTCACTGGTCAACTGTCTGTCTGGTCAACTGTCTGTCTGATCAACTGTCTGTCTGGTCATCTCACTGGTCAACTGTCTGTCTGGTCAACTGTCTGTCTGGTCATCTAACTGGTCAACTGTCTGGTTAACTGTCTGGTCAACTGTCTGTCTGGTCAACTGACTGGTCAACTGTCTGGTTAACTGTCAGGTCAATTGTCTAGTCTTCTGTCTGTCTTATCAACTGTCTGTCTGGTCGACTGTAACTATGTTTGAATGCTAAGTCATATTAAGCTAATCCACCCTGCCTTAATCTACCTCTCACCCAGTCCTAATCTCCTAATGTCCAGATCACCTAATCCACCCTGCCCTAATCTTCTACTCACCTAATCCTAATCTCCTAATCTCCAGATCGTTGACCTCCACTGGGGTCTGTCGCCCCAGATGATGACATGTCAGAGTGACCTGACGTCACTGAGGATCAGAGAAATTCAGAGATGTCATGGACTCTCAGCTGGGCCAAACTTTATTGTAAGATGTCATTGTCATTTGTCATATCTCACCCCTGACCTCTCACTGCTGACCTACCTCAATGTCACGTGATGGAAGTGATGGTCTTGTTCATAGTTTATGATCTTTGTAACAAAACACAAGAGTAACGTAATAGCACAACATATTTTGCAATCATGGTACTACCTCCTCCTATCCGCCACTTCACCTCCCACCTCCCCCATACTTAAGAATCGTTGCGCGTCTGTTCTTTACCCAATCCCTCCCTCTCTCTTCTTAGGCATTTATTGGACAAAAGTACGGTCCAGTTTCCCTCCCTGACGTCATCATGTCGGAAGAATATGACGCCATCCGACTGGCCCTCCACGGCCACAGAGGGAGGGACACGAGGAACGCCCCCCTCCTGGACAGGTGTTACGTCATGGACGGCAATAACATCCCGCCCGTCTACATCTTAAAGGAGAAATCTGTGCTGCTAGCTGAGGTACAGGTAGGTTGAGCTACGGGTAGTTTGTGCTGGGTTATAGATAGGTTGTCCTGGGTTATAGATAGGTTGTGCTGAGGTACAGGTAGGTTGTGCTAGGTTATAGGTAGGTTGTGCTGAGATACAGTTATGATAATTTTGCATCATTTTCTAACAAAGCAGCCATTAAATATTTGCTAAAAAACAAAGGTTTTGTCACAAACCTACATTTCTTTAGCTGGATCCCACACTGGATGTCCCAACACTTACTAAAATATACGAACATACGAGAAATGTACGTCAGCCCACTCCCACTTTTTTACTTTCTCGTATATACGTAGTATAGAGAAAGTATTGTAATCGTGCAAAAAAAAAAATCGAGATTTTTACAAATCTCGACGTTTTACACCTCACTGATACGGAAAAACATAATTTTGCAATCTTGTCCGTATGTCTGTGTGTGTGTGTGTCTGTCTGTCTGTCTGTCCGTGTGTAAACACGATAACTTGAGTACCGTTACAGCTAGGTTGATGAAATTTCATATATAAGTATTTTATCAAAATCGTAGATCCGTATCAACTTTTGAGCGATTTCCGATAACCGGAAGTGGTACTTTTCCTACTTTGAATTTTTCAAAAGCCTATAACTTGAGTACTATTTCAGATAGATAAATGAAATTTCACATGTAAGTAAAAGATCTAATTCTCTACCTTCTGTTAAATTTTGAGTAATTTCCGTTGACTGGAAGTAGTAATTTACGCTACTTCCGATTTCTCAAAAAACTAATGTAAATTTTTAAAGTACTAATAATATTGCGCACTATTATACGCGTTTTTATTCGGCGTTTGCTTGGTGCGCAATGTTTTTTTTATGAGATTCTATTCTATTTTTAAAAGTTTAAGTATTTAAAATGGATTAAAAATCATAACTATATCCCCAGTTACCATCCCCTGTTGTTTTATATAAGAATATTCGAGAAAGTTTAGGGGAGATCACTACCGGTTTATTCTTCTGGTGATGAGAACCACATCATAAGGGTTAAAAAGTTGTTGATTTGGGCGAAACACGATTTATACAAATTCAACGTTCAAATTAAAAGGCTTGAAAATTGAAAGCTTGGGACCCCCCCCCCCCCCCCCCCGAAGAGATGCCTGGAAGAAACAGTGCTTCCCCCCCCCCCCCGAACGAAATGAAAATTATACAGAAAAAATATACTTTTAACAGTGTCCGCCCCACCCCCGACGAAAGTCTACCGCCCCCCCCCCCCACCCCGAAAATTTCAAGTGCCCCCCCCGGAGAAAAATGTCTGGAAGAAACACTAATTGGGAGGTATATTAAGTACTGATGCTTATATAATGATTGGAAATTATTTTTCCCTAAGCATCAAACTGGCGTTGGGGGGAAATCTTTAAAAAAAAATTAAAAAGACCCTCTCTTCCAAGGGGTCGGCCCGTCAGTTTAGTTAGGGTTTTCCCAGGTTTAAGCCCCTGAAGGTCAAAGTTGACCATCCAGGACTAGATATGAAAACAACGTTCTCGTGTGTAAACTTCAAATGGCGGAGGTTAGACCTTGGCTTTTTTACTTCAAATTTGTCGCGGCTAAATATACTGCTAGAACAAAGTTGACTAGGTTTATACAATCATACAATGTTATCAGAAAGGTTTCAGAACATTGAGTCTAATGGTCTTCCATACTAGTCTGTAGAGAAATAGTTCTTGTCGGTTGCCTATAAAATGTATTGTGTAAACCTTGGGTTTCAGAAAGTAGATTTTAAAGGTTTTGTTTTCATAGGCCAATACAAATGGCCCAACATCAGGAGGGGCCAACATAGATGGCCAACCAACCGAAGAGGCCAACTGGGAGGAGCTACAACAGGAAATCAAATCGCTAATACTGCGAGGGGCGGAGCTTGCCTATATGAATGGGACGATGGAGAGTGACTCAAAGGGCCGCTACTTCGCTTCGGGTAGGTGGCCAAAATAGTTTTGTCTCATCTCAACTTGCAGGTTAACATCCGGAAGTGTCATGGTGGTAGAGGAAGTAGAGTTCATCGGCAATCTGACTTCTATTTGTGGTGGGATCGTATGACTAGCACCACTTCATTTCGCTTTCCCAGATTTACCAGGTACTGGTCATAGTTGGGGTCAGGTACACAGAAATAAGGGGGGGTCAGGTACCCAGACATAAGGGGGGGGTCAGGTACCCAGACATAAGGGGGGGGGTCAGGTACCCAGACATAAAGGGGGTTAGGTACCTATCACTAGGGTACACATCAAACAAAAGTAGGTCATGATGTCAGAGAGCCATAAACAAACCCAAAGCTTGCAGGTTATAAAGCCACCACCACATTAATGACGTAATCATCTCTACAGATCTTGAGAACCAGATTTTGCTCGGCACCGAGATTAACGATAATCCTAGATTAAGATCTGTGCTAATCACGAGGACCATCGCCGACCTGAAGAACTACACGGAAGATTCCAGAACTCCCAGGTTCGCTGACCTGAAGATGGACGAGATGACGTCACGGCTGGAGATGGACCCGGTAGCCCAGGAAAAGTTGGCCAAGCTGAAGAAGCGGGTGGGGAACTTGGTGGGGGAGGCCAACATCACACATCACGATGTCTTGTGGCGGTACGATGACGTCATCCACCCCCAGCTGCACAAGGAATACCTGCAGACACTGTGCCAGCGTCTGTTTGACATCTGCGTCAGGCTGATAGACGAGGGCGTGCCACTGCCAGACGTCCAGGGTAGGTGCTCACATTTCAAGGTCACTTTATGTAGGTCAACTCAAAGTTTTCATTTTATACCTGAATCGTTCCTCCTGATGTTCCACAGGTAGTTTAACCCGGTGTAATGCTCACCAGGTAGTTTAACCCTGTATGATGTTCCCCAGGTAGTTTAACCGTGGGTGATGTTCCCCAGGTAGTTTAACCCTGTGCTATGTTCCCCAGGTAGTTTAACCGTGGGTGATGTTCCCCAGGTAGTTTAACCCTGTGTGATGCTCCCCAGATAGTTTAACCCTGTGTGATGTTCCCCAGGTAGTTTAACCTTGTGTGGTGTTTCCCAGGTAGTTTAACCTTGTGTGGTGTTTCCCAGGTAGTTTAACCCTATGTTATGTTCCCCAGGTAGTTTAACCCTGTTATGTTCCCCAGGTAGTTTAACCATGTTATGTTCTCCAAGTAATTTAGCCCTGTGTTATGTTCCCCATGTAGTTTAACCATGTGTGATGTTCCCCAGATAGTTTAACCCTGTGTGATGTTCCCCAGGTAGTTTAACCCAGTGCTATGTTCTCCAGGTAGTTTAACCCTGTGCTATGTTCCCCAGGTAGTTTAACCGTGTGCTATGTTCCCTAGGTAGTTTAACCCTGTGCTGTTCCCTAGGTAGTTTAACCCTGTGCTGTTCCCCAGGTAGTTTAACCCTGTGTTATGTTCCCCAGGTAGTTTAACCCTGTGCTATGTTCCCCAGGTAGTTTAACCCTGTGCTATGTTCCCCAGGTAGTTTAACCTTGTGCTATGTTCCCCAGGTAGTCTAACCCTGCGCTATGTTCCCCAGGTAGTTTAACCCTGTGCTATGTTCCCCAGGTAGTTTAACCCTGTGCTATGTTCCCCAGGTAGTTTAACCCTGTGCTATGTTCCCCAGGTAGTTTAACCCTGTGCTATGTTCCCCAGGTAGTTTAACCCTGTGCTATGTTCCCCAGGTAGTTTAACCCTGTGCTATGTTCCCCAGGTAGTTTAACCCTGTGCTATGTTCCCCAGGTAGTTTAACCCTGTGCTATGTTCCCCAGGTAGTTTAACCCTGTGCTATGTTCCCCAGGTAGTTTAACCGTGTGCTATGTTCCCCGGGTAGTTTAACCCTGTGCTATGTTCCCCAGGTAGTCTAACCCTGTGCTATGTTCCCCAGGTAGTCTAACCCTGTGCTATGTTCCCCAGGTAGTCTAACCCTGTGCTATGTTCCCCAGGTAGTCTAACCCTGTGCTATGTTCCCCAGGTAGTCTAACCCTGTCTGATGTTCCCCCAGGTAGTTTAACCCTGTGCTATGTTCCCCAGGTAGTTTAACCCTGTGTGACGAGGCCAGACAACACTGGGCCAGGTGTCGCTACACGGCTTCCAGCTTCTACAACCAGCACCAGACCCTGCAGCAGCTCCAGGATTACGTCACGGGCCTCTCCTGCCGGCCGCTGGTCATCCATGGGGCCCCGGGCTCGGGGAAGTCGAAGCTCATCTCTAAGATAGCCTTCCATGTAGGTAGCGCTGGGTACAGTATTCATCTAAGATAGCCTTCCATGTAGGTAGTGCTGGGTACAGCATTCAATAGAGGTACAGTTAGGTACAGCATTCAATAGAGGTAGAGTTAGGTACTGCATTCAATAGAGGTACAGTTAGGTACAACATTCAATAGAGGTACAGTTTGGTGCATGTAGGACAGTTAGGTACAGCATTCAATAGAGGTACAGTTAGGTACAGCATTCAATAGAGGTACAGTTAGGTACAGCATTCAATAGAGGTACAGTTTGGTACAGCATTCAATAGAGGTACAGTTAGGTACGGTAAAGTACAGGTAAATTAGGTACAGTTAAGTACAGTCAGGTACAGTTACAGTTAGGTACAGTATTCGCTGGAAGTACAGTGGGAACAGCATTCAATGTAAACACAACCGGTACATCTTTTCATGTAGGTACACATTAGCCTATATTAAATCTAGATGCAGTTAGTCCATGTAGTCACAGTTGGATAAAACACTCTGTAGTTGCAGTAATGAACTAGTTTAAAGGTTCACATCAAATTTTGTCCACCTAAAACCTTTGAAGTCCCATCTGATATAAATAATGTTGATGTAAAATGTTGATATAAAATGTTGATATAAAATGTTGATATAAAATGTTGATATAAAATGTTGATGTAAAATGTTGATATAAAATGTTGATGTTAAAATGTTGATATAATGTTGATTACATTGACCATTTTAACTATGCAGATGTCCGAACTGCTGAAGGACGATTACGTCATAGTCCTGCGCTATGCTGGACACACCCCCAGGTCTAACGAGTTACGTCAGCTGTTGATCAGTGTCAGCCAACAGGTGGCGCTGGCCTGTGAGCTGTCTGTGCTGTCTGGACAGTCTGGACAGTCTGGACTGGCCGGACTGTCCGGGGAGAACCTCCCCCTCGAGCTCAAGGACTTGACCAAGTGCTTTAGAGAGATGCTGGCATCGGTGCCAGACACGACAAGGTAAGCAATCATTGGGTGTGGTCAGTGGTCTTGTCGTGTGTGGTGTGGTCAGTGGTCTTGTCATTTGTGTGGTCAATGGTCTTGTCATGTGTGTGCTCAGTGGTCTTGTCATGTGTGTGCTCAGTGGTCTTGTCATGTGTGTGCTCAGTGGTCTGGTCATGTGTGTGCTCAGTGGTCTTGTCATTTTGTTTTGTATCAAATATCGTCGACTGATATAAACATTGTATACCGTGTGCTTAAGTTATTTCTTCTATTTTCAGACTGGTTGTCCTGATAGATGGCCTTGAACTCTTACACTCCGACGGTGTCTCTCTCAACTTGGAGTGGATCCCAGCATCCCTTCCTCCCAACGTCAAGCTGGTCCTGACAGCCCACCAGACCTCCCACGGGCTGCTGGAGAGACTCAAGCACGAGGTGCTGCCCCGGGACGCTGGGAGCTTCCTCGAGGTCCTGCCCTCCACGGTGGACGAGTGCGCGGAGATGCTGACCAGCCTGCTCAAGTCGATGGACAGATCGGTCACCCCCGAGCAAATGGCGGCCTTACGAGACGTCATCCAGGGCGAGCCGTTGCCGCTGTACGTGGAACTACTGGCTAACATCGCCAAGGAGTGGAACTCATTCACAGACGCCGAGAGCGTGAAGCTTCCCCGGAGCTGCGAGGAAGGAATCGCAGAACTTTTGGCCAGGCTGGAGAGCAAACACGGACTGGTGCTGGTCTCTAGGGCGTTCGCCTACATGGTGGCGTCGTGCACGGGCCTCAGCGACTGCGAGATGGAGGACATTCTCTCGTTAGACGAGGACGTGCTGAACGAGCTGTTCCGAGACTTCCACCCACCACTCAGGAGGGTGCCCTACATCAAGTGGATCGGCCTGAAGCAGGACGTGGAGATGTTCCTGTCCTACAGGGACGCTGACGGCGTCACGGTGACCATGTGGCACCATGACAGCTTCATCCACGCCGTCAACTCCCGTTACCTAGGAGACGAGGCTGTGGTCACCTTGGTCCACTCCAACATCGCTGATTACTTCCTGGGAACCTGGGCCAACCGGGCCAAACCGGTTAATATCCCTAACCGGTCGTCTGTGAACCTGGACAGAAAAGTCCCCCAGCAGCCGTACACCTTCGGTAACCATGACGACGGGAGCCTGCGCTACAACAAGCGAATGTACAACCAGGTCCCCCGACACCTGCACCTCGCGGGGCGCCACAAGGAGCTGGACGCCCTGGTCTACTTCAACTACGAGTGGCTGTTCTGTAAGGCGAGGGCCCTCTCGCTCCAGCATGTCATTGACGACCTGGAGCTCCAGCCCTCGGAGGAGGTCGCCCTCCTGGAGGAGACCCTCCGCGTCTCCCGCGCCACCATCGAGCGTGACCTCAGCGCCCTGCCCACACAGCTGACCGGGCACCTGCTGCCCTACTACCCCACCCACCCCAACATCCGGTCCCTGATCCGGCAGTGCGACACGGACGGGCTGAAGCATTCGGGCGTGATCCCCAACTTCCCCTACCAGCACGTGCCGGGCAGCTCCCTGCAGCTGACCCTCGAGTGCCCGGGGGTCATGGAGCACATGACCCTCATCAACGACGACAAGCACCTGCTCGCCAAGCGAAGGGACGACCCCTACGTCCACACCTTTGACTTGACCACCGGGGAATTAAAATCTACAGTTCTGGTGTCCAACGGCGAACTGCACACGACACCAAACAACAAGTATCTAATTATAGTCGATCACGTGACAGAGAAGGCTATCAAAATTCACGCCTCCGAGAGCGGAGAGTTCCTGAAACAAATCATTGTACTGAACCACATGGAGGGCAAGACGAGTCTGTACAAGAAAGGTCCCATCTGTCTGACAGACGACAGGCTCTGTGCCGTCGTCACCCTGGCCAACAGTGTCCTGTGTATCTGTGCCATCCCGTCAGGTGGGTACCCGCGGGTCCCGAGGGTTGTGTGACCGTGGGGACATTTGTTCTGGTGGTTGTTGTATAAATGGTGGCACATGTGTTGTAATGGTTGTTGTATAACTTTAAACTTCTGTTTTAAATTTATGTTCTCTATAAACTAAAGTAAAATTTAATATTAGTTGTATATTTTTTCTTGAGTTTCAAAATTTTCCTCAAGGGTGGTAACTCAAATAATTGTGAAAGTACTAGAAAACTACAGTGCTTTCCCTTAATATGTTTACGAATTAAATCCATGCACTGTCACCTTACTCGCAAATGGCTTACCACTGACTCCATATAATTTATTCCGGTCTGTTTAAAGAAAAAACGTTTCAATCCCATTTAAAGTGCTGTTTTTTTTTATTCTTATTACTACTTTCCACCGTTAGCAACAATCATGCGTATGCTGTTTCTCTTTCACTAGCTGTGCGACTTTGTCCAACAAGTTTTGTCCCCTCTCACAATGACTGTGTGGTTGTGTCCCCTGTCATAATGACTGTGTGGTTGTGTCCCCTGTCACAAGCTCTGTGTGGTTGTGTCCCCTGTCACAATTACTGTGTGGTTGTGTCCCCTGTCACAATTACTGTGTGGTTGTGTCCCCTGTCACAAGCTCTGTGTGGTTGTGTCCCCTGTCACAATTACTGTGTTGTTGTGTCCCCTGTCACAATGACTGTGTGGTTGTGTCCCCTGTCACAATGACTGTGTTACTATCCGAACAGGCGAAGTCCTCCACATCATCCCGCTAGAGGGCAAGGCTCGCGTCTGCTGCATCACGCCAGACGGCAGACGTGTCTTCTGCAACTCGAACGCCCACCTGCTGGCCTATGACGTGTACACCCTGCAGCACCTGCTCACTGTCCCCATCGGCTGCCACCCCACCACCCTCCTGCTCACACGAGACGGGCTCCGCGCCTTCATCAGCAACGACAGCGATACCAGACTGACCATCATGCACCTGAACGGAAACCAGGTCGACATGACCTACAGGGCGGTGCTGGAGGACCGGATGCCAGGAGACGCCATCTTGGGGTAGGCAAAAACTCTCACGCCGTCAACTACCGACCATTGCCTACATGATTGATTAAATGCCAAACACTTCAGACTTTCATTTCTCCCACCTTTTTTTAAGCTTGTGACTAAACGTTAATTTAAAGACAAACAAAAATAATGACCCGTTTGAAAATGTCTTCATTTAAAATCATTGATCAATGAAACATGATAAATGAAACATGCCATTCTAAAAGTACTCACGAAACGGCAGAGGCTAGTTAAAACTATCCTCCGTTTGCTCCAGGCTCACAGTCTCACCAAACGACGCCCTTCTGCTGATCCGCGGTAGTAAAATTCTGCTCGTCTATCACCGGACCTCCGAGAAGATCATCGCAGCCTTCAGCAAGCCGGACGACGTCCCAGTAGAGATGAAGCTACCCAGAGCCAACTACGTGCAGTCCGTGTTCGAGCGAGCCGAGTTCACGGCGGACAGCAGCTATGTTGTGGCTACCATGCTGAGGTAGGTCAGTGGCTACCAGAGGTAGGTCAGTGGCTACCATGCTAAGGTTTGCCTCACCAAAAATTCTCTCTTTCTATTGGCTATTGCGCATTTCTTTAGGTAAATCTACTGGATAATTTCTAAAATCCCTACTGTAAACAAGATCTCATGGCTTTTTCCGTTTTCTCCAGAAACGTCTATGTTTGGCACATCCCCACATCCACGATGGTCAAGGTCATCCAAGCCCCCATCGGCCTCATCACAGGCCTAGTGGTCTCGCAGACGAGAAGTCAGGTGATCACCCACATTGACGGCAGCACAGACTTGCAGGTAGGTCGCAGGTTGACTGTGCCTGCAGTACATTAACTGGTGCTCACATTAATGGGGACTCATACTAATGGGTACCCACATACAGATATTGTGATTTTACATACATATTGTGTTGCTACATACAAATGTTGTGTCTCCCTCAGGTGTGGAACATTGGAGACGGGGTGAGCAGGGTCAACACACGTGATAAGCTGACCGGTGCCATCCGAGAGTTCCAGCCGGCCGCCCACAACCTGCTGGCCTTCGTCAAGTGTGAGCAGGGCGACGAGCTCGGCGTCATTGACATGTCCAGTGGCGTCATCACGGACCTGCTGACGCACGACGCGCCAGTGCAGGACTTCGCCACCTCCCCCGACGGGAACTGGGTGCTGGTGTCCACCACCCCGCGACTGTCCGGCACCGCCTTCAAGCTGTGGGACAGGACGGAGAGACGCATTGTCCTGGAGGTCGGGAATGTCTCGGGCTACTGCGTCAGTTGTAGAGTCACTGACTCCGTGCTCATGGTGGCGCAGAAGGAGAACTCGTTCAGCGCGCCTTACTACCTGTCTGCCCTTAAATTTGACAAGCGGGAGTTTTTCGAGCACACGTATGTACCAACTGTGACGTGCGTCAAGTCCAAGCCGTTTGTGACGCACGACGACCAGTACCTGGTCATCCACTCAGCAGACGACATCAACAACAACAGCGAGCAGTCGAGCGCGTGCATCTGTGTGTTTGACCTGGCCGGCGAGATGAGGAAGTCGACCTACGACTCCAGTAGCATCCAGTTCTCTGACCATCTGTACGACATCCTCCAAGTCTGGCCGTGCGCACAGGAAAACACCAGTTTAATCGCCGCCATATTTTCCTGTAAAAACTCTAAAGATAACGCCCCGGATGATGAAGACGACCACACGAATGAGAAGCCTCAAAGAACGTTCGGTTTCTTTCTGCTGGATGTCCGAACTGGTTCCTTGACCGTGCTCTGTATTCCTTTCCCGACACCGAGCTACGAGATAGGCGCGCACCCTCTGACCTTCACCCCTGACTGCACGATGTGTATCGACGACAAGGCGAACATCTTCCACACAACCTTGGGACGTTTCATAGGCGTGGCCTCCCTCTCGGCCCTGCCGCCCCAAGCTTTTGCCCTACGGAACACGGTGTTGATTTCCTACAAGGACACGACGCTGTACGTCACCCGATTGGCTGATGGGTTTCCCTTGGCCGTCTGCGACGTTCACGCATGCGTATGCCACGTCCACGTTTGTGCAGACGACCGGACTGTCTTGGTGGGCTGTACGGACGGCTCCTTCTTCTCGTACACGATCATAGACAACTCCCGAGACAACCCAACCTCCGTCCTGAGTGCTCTCCCCTCCAGGAAGGTCGGCAACACAGACATGTTTGAATACCGCAGCCCGAGGTAACCAACACGGTCTATTATTAGCATACTGTTTTAGCACACACACAAGTCTTTGCACAAAAAATGTTTGGGTATATCAATCACATAAACGGCTAGTTAGTCTACAGTAAAATGGTATGTTAGACTAAATACTCTATGTGTAAAAATAAAAATGAGAAATTTAAATACCCAATGACTTGATGGATCTAAGGGGTAGCTTTAGTAACTCAGCCGCTTCCCCCCTTCCCCAAAGCTAAAATAGAAAAAAAGACCTATTACAAATAAGTTCACATGCACACATATACCCACACACACAAACACACACACACACACACATATATATATATATATATATATATATATATATATATATATATATATATATATATATATATATATATAATATATTATATATACTAGCGTACCCGTCCCGCACGTTGATTCGCTCTTAGAAGAAAGGCTGACGCAATATTTTAAGTTAAGACGCATTAATGAAATCCTCTTAATAATAGGATTTCATTAATGCGTTAACAATTTCGTATTATGTTAGACGTGAGCCATTTCAATGAAAACAAAGCTGGTGCTATATATTTCTTGGATCATAGAAGTTTAGGCGCGGGTTTGTCCACACTACCGCCCAGACGCCCCAGGGCGGGCTGTATGAAAGCCTTGTATTTATAACTGCACCAGAACTGATTGGCAAAATCTGTTTGTGTTTTGTTTATATCCTTATATAAACCTCCAGACGACCCTGTGGTCATAGAATAATTTTGGCTTTCTTTCAGCAGGTCCTGGGACAGAGTCGGGAAAAATGGCTGCCCCAACTACTCACGCCCGCCGTCTGCTGTCTATCCGGCCGGAAGTGACAAGCTACTGCTGAGACAGATCAAACCCGTATCACGTGAGAGGCCTAAATCTGACACCGTGACGTCATTCAAGTCACCCGTTTGTTCAGTCATGTGATCAAGAAAAATTTTGTTATGTAAAAATATGCTCTAGAATTTGTTTATCTCCCTTAACAAGTGTAATTATAAACAGTATGTATGATTATACATACCGATAGCCATGTCTGACCATTGTCATTGATTATTTTTATACAGTTAATAGAATCTCTTATTGAAGAATGTTATGTTATATAAGAATTGCTATTTGTTTATTTAGATGCCTTTAAAGGTTAGTGTGTTAATATTGGTCCTCCTTCAAACATTCGTGGGTAAATATTGGTCCTAGTTCAACCATTTGTGGGTTAATATTGGTCCTAGTTCAACCATTTGTGGGTTAATATTGGTCCTAGTTCAACCATTCGTGGGTTAATATTGGTCCTAGTTCAACCATTTGTGGGTTAATATTGGTCCTAGTTCAACCATTCGTGGGTTAATATTGGTCCTATTTCAACCATTCGTGGGTTAATATTGGTCCTAGTTCAACCATTCGTGGGTTAATATTGGTCCTAGTTCAACCATTTGTGGGTTAATATTGGTCCTAGTTCAACCATTCGTGGGTTAATATTGGTCCTATTTCAACCATTCGTGGGTTAATATTGGTCCTAGTTCAACCATTCGTGGGTTAATATTGGTCCTAGTTCAACCATTTGTGGGTTAATATTGGTCCTAGTTCAACCATTCGTGGGTTAATATTGGTCCTAGTTCAACCATTTGTGGGTTAATATTGGTCCTAGTTCAACCATTCGTGGGTTAATATTGGTCCTAGTTCAACCATTTGTGGGTTAATATTGGTCCTAGTTCAACCATTCGTGGGTTAATATTGGTCCTATTTCAACCATTCGTGTGTTAATATTGGTCCTAGTTCAACCATTCGTGGGTTAATATTGGTCCTATTTCAACCATTTGTGGGTTAATATTGGTCCTATTTCAACCATTCGTGGGTTAATATTGGTCCTATTTCAACCATTCGTGGGTTAATATTGGTCCTAGTTCAACCATTCGTGGGTTAATATTGGTCCTAGTTCAACCATTCGTGGGTTAATATTGGTCCTATTTCAACCATTCGTGGGTTAATATTGGTCCTATTTCAACCATTCGTGGGTTAATATTGGTCCTATTTCAACCATTCGTGGGTTAATATTGGTCCTAGTTCAACCATTCGTGGGTTAATATTGGTCCTATTTCAACCATTCGTGGGTTAATATTGGTCCTACTTCAAACATTCGTGGCTATCGGAACTGAATATCATAATTATCGAAACATTATTTACATGTTGTTACTGCTGTTTCATGTGAGACACTTATATGTATATCATCTTTGTTACAGTGGGTGCCTTGTATCAGACAGTATAAGTGGGAGCCTTGTATTATTACAGTGTAAATGTGTGAAACTTTTTATCAAACAGTATAAAAGTGGGGACCTTGTATCAGACTGTATAAAAGTGGGGACCTTGTATCAGACAGTATAAAAGTGGGGACCTTGTATCAGACTGTATAAAAGTGGGGACCTTGTATCAGACAGTATGAAAGTGGGGACCTTGTATGAGACAGTGTAAAAGTGGGGACCTTGTATCAGACAGTATAAAAGTGGGGACCTTGTATGAGACAGTATAAAAGTGGGGATCTTGTATCAATAAAGTGGGGACCTTGTATCAGACAGTATAAAAGTGGGGACCTTGTATCAATAAAGTGGGGGCCTTGTATCAATAAAGTGGGGACCTTGTATCAGACAGTATAAAAGTGGGGACCTTGTATCAATAAAGTGGGGACCTTGTATCAGACAGTATAAAAGTGGGGACCTTGTATCAATAAAGTGGGGACCTTGTATCAGACAGTATAAAAGTGGGGACCTTGTATCAATAAAGTGGGTACCTTGTACCAGACTGTATAAAAGTGGGGCCACTATGCTGTAGATCCTAGAATCGTCTCCCACGTTTGAAAGGCCGGTGACCAGATTTGTATCTGCGACTTAAAGTTTATCTGTAGATAGATCATATCTATCTGATAGCAATCTTCTGTGTTACATGAAACCACGCTGAGATCCGTGTGAACAGTTGTCCATTGTAATTGTATAGAATACACCACACTGGCATGAGATAAAACACAGGTTTTGCTGTTAATTACATAGAGTTAACGCGCTTGGGCTGTGTAAAAGCTGTTAACTATGTAGGGGAGATCAACTTGTCAGAATGATGATACACTCCCCTACATCACAAGAAAACTTTTCATGTAAACTGATCTTGTTTTCTTAGAAGCGTCTTTCTGGGAAAATTTGGGGCTACGTTTTCTTGGATTTAAATATTTTCAAATAAATTCATAACTTTTTAAACGTATGGTCCTATTTTAAATAATGTACATTATCCTTAAAACCTATTTTCAAGTTGACATGTAAGTTTATTACTAAGAACACAATCTATCATTAATTTTTCAAGAAAAATGTGAATGTAGTATGAAAGGCAGTTTTGAATCGTTACAATCTAGATCTATATTAAACAATCTAATGTGAGGACGGAGGGTGCGCGTGTAAGTTCTTGTTTTATTTTCGTATAAAACTTTACTATTCGTTTAAGTGTAAATTATCAAACATTTATTCTGAAAGCTTACATTGAATTTAAAATGTAGGTACTTTTCTACAAGTTTACATTTTTTCTTAGCTACAGTAACACCTTGTCTTCCAACCTGTAGCCCGTAACATTTAAACTTATCCAACACACTTACGTATTTTGTTAGCTTTTCAATACTGGTATTAAAACAATGTAGCTAATTAATTTACAATAAAATGTTGAATTATCAAACAACATTATCTTTTCAAAGGAATTTTAGTTACTATCTAATATGTCAGCGTTTGTGTGTGCGTGCGTGCGTGCGTGTGTGTTAACATCGATGTCGATACAACCAAGTCAGCTAGTCAATATTAGAAGGCTTGCTGCGAAACCTATGTGATAAACCAGACTAATTTAAGATAGAACCACTGACATGACTTAAGATAGAACCACTGACATGACTTAAGATAGAACCTCTGACATGACTTAAGATATAACCACTGACATGACTTGACTTAAGATAGAACCACTGACATGACTTAAGATAGAACCACTGACATGACCAGACTTAAGATAGAACCACTGACATGACTTAAGATAGAACCACTGACATGACATGATTTAAGATAGAACCACTGACATGACTTGACTTAAGATAGAACCACTGACATGACTTAAGATAGAACCACTGACATGACTTAAGATAGAACCACTGACATGATTCAAGATAGAACCACTGACATGACTTTACTTAAGATAGAACCACTGACATGACTTGACTTAAGATAGAACCACTGACCAGGCTTAAGATAGAACCACTGACATGACCAGACTTAAGATAGAACCACTGACATGACCGGACTTAAGATAGAACCACTGACATGACCAGACTTGAGATAGAACCACTGACATGACATGACTTAAGATAGAACCACTGACATGACCAGACTTAAGATAGAACCACTGACATGATTTAAGATAGAACCAATGACATGACCAGACTTAAGATAGAACCACTGACATGACCAGACTTAAGATAGAACCACTGACATGATCAGACTTAAGATAGAACCACTGACATGACTTAAGATAGAACCACTGACATGACTTAAGATAGAACCACTGACATGACATGATTTAAGATAGAACCACTGACATGACCAGACTTAAGATAGAACCACTGACATGACATGACTTAAGATAGAACCACTGACATGACCAGACTTAAGATAGAACCACTGACATGATCAGACTTAAGATAGAACCACTGACATGACTTAAGATAGAACCACTGACATGACTTAAGATAGAACCACTGACATGACCAGACTTAAGATAGAACCACTGACATGACATGATTTAAGATAGAACCACTGACATGACATGATTTAAGATAGAACCACTGACATGACCAGACTTAAGATAGAACCACTGACATGACATGACTTAAGATAGACGGCTTTGTTAAGCATGGGTAAATGAAAGCAGCTTTAGGAGGTTTTACTTTTTACTTTCTCGTATATACGAAGTATAGAGAAAGTATTGTAATCGTGCAAAAAAATTTGAGATATTTGCAAATCTCGACGTTTAACACCTCCCTCAGTCGGAAAAACATAGTTTTGCAATCTTGTCCGTATGTGTGTGTGTGTGTGTGTGTGTGTAAACACGATAACTTGAGTACCGTTACAGCTAGGTTGGTGAAATTTCATATATTAGTATTATATCAAAATCGTAGATCCGTATCAACTTTTGAGCGATTTCCGATAACCGGAAGTGGAACTTTTTCTACGTTGAATTTTTCAAAAGCCTATAACTTGAGTACTATTTCAGATAGATAAATCAAATTTCACATGTAAGTAAAAGGTCTAATTTTCTGCCTTCTGTCAAATTTTTAGTAATTTCTGTTGACCGAAAGTAGTAATTTTCACTATTTCCGATTTCTCAAAAACGCGTGTGAATTTATAAAGTACTAATAATATTCCGCACTATTATACACATCTTTATTCGGCGTTCGCTTGGTGCGCAATTCTTTTTTCTACTAGATTCTATTCTATTTTTAAAAGTTTAAGTATTTAAAATGGATTAAAAATCATAACTATATCCCGAGTCCCCACCCCCTGTGGTTTTATATAAGAATATTCGAGAAAGTTTAGGGGAGATCACTCCCGGTTTATTAAATGCTGCAACCAAAAAACTCACATTTTAATTTTAAAATGAACGGAAGTCAATATGGGCTCAAATTCCCACCATAAAGAAAATTTAAAATGACTTTCGTTTTTAAAAAATGTCCAAGCTTCTTGGTTAGTCTCATTTTAAAATAAAAATATTTTTAGGCAAGTACCAGGTTGTAGTTTTAAAGCTAACTAAAAACGTTCTGATGTGAGGCCTCGCCTTGATGTCGGCACCGCCGCTGTCATGGCAGCCGACTGGTCTTACAAGTCACTGTGGCAGCATGCCGTCTAGACCATAGGCCAGGTAGACACTATTCCATTTCGTCGTCGTCGTCGTCCCCCGTCCCGTCCCCCCCCCCCCACACCACGAAGGGATGCCTGGAAGAAACTATGACATTAAAAAAGAGACCCTTAGCCTAAAGCAAACCCTTACTCACTACACGGCCAGAGACAAAATTGACCCGCAAAATGGCCCCGACTTATTGGCCCCGTCAAAATGACCTCGTTAAAATAGCTTACGTTGACAATTCGGCTCCCGTCAAAATGGCTCCTAACAAATATTAAATCGTAAAAGAAACCCAAAGAATGTTTTTCAAAAGCTTAATGGTGACCTTATGGCAGAGGTGTAGCGAGGGGGGGGGGGTACATATGTCCCCGATCGCCGACCCTAGGGGCGCCAAAATGGGTTAGAAAACAATTAAAAGCTCAATTTAGCTGCAGTTTTGAATTATAAACATAAAAAAATATATTGGGGGGGGGGGGCAAATTGAAAGTTTGTCCCCGGGCGCCGGGAGGGGTCGCTACGCCTCTGCCCTATGGTGAGATGGACACCGTGGCACACTCTTCTGACAACAGGGCGGTCGCCGAATGCCTTCATTGTTTACATTTTTTTTTATAAATAACTCTAAAAACTCTATAAATAACTCTAAAAATACACAACTGGGAAAGCATTGACTAAATCGTTTTAAAATATTGCGCCAACCCGCAGCAACGGCGTAATGTCAATATATTAATTTTTAGGAGCTTTTCTTTCGGTATGAGTTTCATACGACGAGGACTAAATGTACGACTTGTGAGACGAAGAAATGACGAGAGCCTTATTGTCGGGGGACAAATGACATGGACCCAACTGATGGGAGAGGTATTGGCAGCAGCCGTAGTGACAGGAGCCAAATAGTTTGTGTCTGGTGCAGTAGGTCTATCACTGACGGGTACCTTGTTGACGGGGTCAATTTGTCGACGATGAGGTCGATTGACTGCTCGATTGGTCGGAAACTTTTAGTCACTGGCCGTTTTGTCGCAGCAAGCTCTATTTCTGGCCCTTACCCAGACATCGGTACGGGAAGAGGTAACAGTCATACGACACTTTTTGACCTGTAGAGAATAATGAAAGTAGGCTATATTTATTGCTTACGTTTTGTGTTGTTGTTTTTGAACGTGTTTACACCAGTCCAACCTGAATACCCCACTATCTAAATCTATAGGCCTAGACATTATATATAACAACTGCCTTCACTCCCCTGCGCTGTTCGTTATGACGTTCACCAATTTTAAGGCATAGATTCTGTGATAAAGTCTGTGTCTGCTCACACAGTGTTTCTTTCAGGCATTTCTTCGGTGGAGGGCGGGGGGAATACCACCCCGAACGAAATAGAATTTATATAGAAAATATACAGTCCGTCCCCCGTCCCCCGGAGTAAAAAATCTGAAAGAAACACTGCACTCACAGTTAACAGTTTAAGAATCACTTGCGTTAACGCCTGCACCAACCGCAGAGGCGTCGCGAGGGCGGGACGGGGGGTGCGGACCGCACCGGGTGACACCATTCAGGGGGGTGACACCAGGGCAAAAAAATTGCAAAATGTACAGAAAAAAAATGCTTTTTGCCATTTCCATTGATAATTAATTAAAGTTAAATAGTTTTTAAATACAAATGGACAATTATTACAAGAGGGTGGGGCTGACACCATGACGTAAACGAGCTCACTGTAGAGAAGGTAATGCTACATTCAACAGACTACAGATAAACATCGTCACTATTGAGTCTGCAGTGATTAAAGCTTATACACATACGTATACGCATATGCGGCATGTATTTAAATTATAGACATATGTAGGTTGACACACAAACAGATATATATATATATATATATATATATATATATATATATATATATATATATATATATATATATATCAGTGGCGTAGCGAGGTCGGGTGTCACCCGGTGCGGCACTTAATGGTGTCACCCCCCCAGAGGCATAGAGACCCTTCCCAGGGACAAACTTTCAAATTTTCGATTTGCACCCCCCCCCCCTCAAACTTTCGATTTGCACCCCCCCCCCTCGAGTTTTCGATTTGCACCCCCCCCCCCCCCCTCAAACTTTCGATTTGCACCCCCCCCTCAAGTTTTCGATTTGAACCCCCCCTCAAACTTTCGATATATATATATATATATATATATATATATATATATATATATATATATATATATATACTTTGTTTCTGAGAGGGGGGGGTGACACCACGAAGTGCCGCACCGGGTGACACACGACCTAGCGACGCCACTGACCAACCGTAACCTGATAATCACGCGAGCTTTGCGCCTTGTATAAATCATTATCTAGCATGCAGTCGTATGTGTAAGCACAGAGGTAAATCTAGCAGACGTCGACCGACTGGGGCGGTATGTTAAAATCTGAATCAATAATTCACAGATATTCGGATAATGTTATAAAATAGGTATACTGTAGGACGTAGGACTATGCAAACTTGGCCTATTAAATTTAAAAAAATAGATTTTTCACTAGCTCAGACCGAATAAATATCTTAAAGGTTTAAAAGTCAAGCAAGTATTTATAACTAAAATAAAATATTCAGGCCATGGTACAGTTTAATCATTAGTCTAGTGTTATGATTATAGTGTGTTGTGTAGACTAAAAAAAGTATAGATCTAGCCCATATAGATCTAGATCTATATGGGGAATAGTCATAGTGACATAAACAATAGTTTTATCTGTGCATATTCTATTTCTAAGTCATTTTCATGAGGCTTTTTTAAATTAACCAATGAAATTTTTTTTCATTTTTTAGAATTAAGTGTGTATTTTTCGATTGTGAGTTCAAATAGGCCTAACTATTTGTATGGCAACATTTTTAATTCATTTCTCTTTTCTGGCGAACCGATTGAATATTGATTTTCTATGTACCTAAGTTAAGTGTTTAATGAAAGTGAAGTCATTGTGCATTGTAATGTTTACTTACAAGTAAAAACTTTAAAGTATTTATTCAGCCCTTTGAGTGGCCAGGAATTCCTTCAGAGGTCAAATTCAAATTGTTGGGTTTTGGGGTTAGGCCTAACATGCAACTGAAAATCAAACCAGACATGAATTAAAAGTAGTTTAATTTTAATTTCGCTGAATATCTAAGTTAAATACTCATTACTCACAAAGCCTGAACTGTACCTCAATACCTGTACATTGTAGGCTAATAAATTAAATCGTTGCATGTGAAGTCCACTAAAATGATAGGTCCTCAAACTTAGAATTCTTTCTAAGCATTAATACATTTTTAGATCAATTTTAATTTTTTTTTTCTATTTACTTTATTGTTCTATGTCTTATGAGCAAGTTGTCTAATATTTAGTAATATTAAATTTTTTTTGCTTAAGCTTAGGAATAAGCATATATAATGTCATGGTTGAAATCATTTGTTTTCTCACTATACTCTAGGCCTACCGATATAAAATAAATAAAATTTAGGCCATATAGGCCCAGACCCTAAGGCCTGAGGGTCTTACGTTTACTTAATACTTTAATTTAATATTACATATATTACGATATATATAGAACAAACTAAAAACACTTGAGCCTACAAGAGTAGCTAAATTTAATCTGTATTTATATGCTATTGTCTAAGCTTTTTAGTTAAAATATAAAAGTTTATATATAAATGTAATAGTTAAAGAATTTTACTCTTATTTTATTTCAGTCAGTGGTTGGATTAAACAACAGATTTACTAGATCTACCTTGAACACCACAGCTATGGCCAAATTTGACAGCAGTAAAAAACATGATTTCAATTTGGATGAAGTTCTGAAATCCTTTCAGCTGTGTCTCTCCAGTGAAAATAGTTTGGATCTAAAAGAATATCTGTCTGCTTTCCATGAACTGTGTAGATTTTTTAAGCTCACTGGGAAATTGTTTGGTTTCGTAGCAAAAGACCTGGAGTCTAAAATTAGGGCAATAGAGTATCACATGGACTCCATCAATGGTGAGCACTACAGGACTGTACAGTCCATGATGGCTCATGAGATAGCGAACAGGACAACACATGTTAAACAGCCACATGCATCTGGCACCCGCATGCTGCTAAGGCTACATCATGCTTTAGAGTTTATTTTGGCTTTCATGAGAAGAATCATGCAAGGTGACGAGCATGAGAAAATGTCCAAACTGGCTTGGGAAGTTTACAAGGAGACTTTGTACCACCACCACCCAAACATTACACACTTGGTGGCGGCCATAGCAGTGTATGCCCTGCCAACAAAGAAACACCTGATTGATGTCATGTGTAAGCACGACTTCGATAAAGTCATGGGACTGCTGGGTCCCGTTGTTGACGCAGGACAACCAGTTTATGACTGTATACAAGAACTTTTCTCTTCCAATAATCTACTCCACATTCCATGAAATACAAGCTGTCTGTTACAGTCATTGCGTAATGCCATTAGCCAAAGACTTTATATTTTTTACAGGGGTATACTGAATGGATTGTTTTTACCTTAAGTCATCAATGTTTTTTGTTTTATTTGATATTTTTCTACCATTTTAAATCATGTTAAAAACCCTTGAATGATATTTAAATTAAAAAACCTGTAATAGCTTATCTAATGTTTAAATGTACATACTGTTACCATCATGACTAGATGCCTAATACTTATTAAATACCTAATTGTATAACAATATGGGTTGGCTCATTAACAGATAGAGGACAAAACTTCTCAAATTCCCTCTTGATATTATTGTGAAGAGACAATCCCTGCTGATCTTTGTTTCAAATCCTAAAGATATTTTTCTAAGTTATATTTAAGTGGCCATGTATTCTGAAAATATCAATTATAACTGTAATTCTTCATGTATGCCTAAAAAACATGTACCCCTAAAACAGTGTAATCTGATAGTTTACAAAGTTCAGACAAAAAATCCAATGTTGTTTTGTTTAACTTGCTACCAATATTGGCTGGTACTCTGTGATATGGAGGTCTCATAGAAAGTTATATTTTTTTTAATCACCTGCAATTTTCTGTATTATGTATAACATTATGTGTTTTCTTTTTACATCTCTATGTTAAAGACCTAATTAGTTTTAAACTAGTGTGTTGTAGCTGTTACATCATAATGCATAATATTTTGTCTCAACAATTAATTCAAGTTGATTACATGCTTGTGTAATGCATTCCATATGAAGGTCTATGGGAAACACAGAGCTGTTTGTGGCCTGCTTTATTCTGTTTGTTCTTTGCTCCAGGCTCCAGTTTATGTGATTGCTTACTTTTTTGTGAGTCTTAAATAGATATAATTTCTTCAATTTTTTGTTCATCAAATTTTTTTAGTTAACGTGACTTGACATTTTTTTTAAATAATTGAATTTTTGGTTGAACTTGTGAAAATCATGTTTTCAATTTATCTTTAGAGACCTTGTGAGATCTGTTTGTTAACAAAACTTGATTGTTTTTCTGGTTTATTTATTTTTGCACAATTGTTTTCTGTTGATTCCACCCAAGAGTTGACCATGGTACAACACTGTTACAACACTGTTGATTCCAGCCAACTGTTGACCATAGTACAACACTGTTGATTCCAGCCAACAGTTGACCATAGTACAACACTGTTGATTCCATACCCAAGAGTTGACCATGGTATAACATTGTTGATTCCACCAAAAGTTGACCATGGTACAACACTGTTGATTCCAGCCTTGAGTTGACCATGGTACAACATTGTTGATTCCACCAAATGTTGACCATGGTACAACACTGTTGATTCCAGCCAACAGTTGACCATGATACAACACTGTTGATTCCAGCCAACAGTTGACCATGGTACAACACTGTTGATTCCATACCCAACAGTTGACCATGGTACAACACTGTTGATTCCATACCCAACAGTTGACCATGGTACAACACTGTTGATTCCATACCCAACAGTTGACCATGGTACAACACTGTTGATTCCATACCCAACAGTTGACCATGGTACAACACTGTTGATTCCATACCCAAGAGTTGACCATGAAGCATGTAATTCCACATGAACAATGTGCACCTGCTTATTCAATAACAGACATCCTCTATTAATTTATTTAATGAAATGTTTATGTAAAAAAAAATGTTTTAAATTATACATCCTTCACATGTTTTAAAAAAAAAATTTCATTTTGTTTTAAGTATTTTTTGTAAAATACTCAGTGCCTTACCAAACATCTGCTTTATACCAAAACTAATCTCTTAAATTTTAAAATGTATCAAATTTAGAGATGTATTTATAACAGGAATGATACATATTTATAACAGAAAAGATACTTATACACATCCCCCTAGAATGTTTTCTCTATGCTCAAGCGAAGTATTTTTTGTGATATTATTTTTTCTATGTTTAATATAGCAATTTATCCCTGTGAATTTTTGAACATTGAATACTCACAAGAGATCAAACTCTATGACAATGTTTTTAACTAAGAATCCTTTTTTTTTAATGTAAAAGAGTTGTTATTGTATGGTCTTCATTATTTTCATTTCTCTTCATAATTCTATTTGACAATGCTAAAACTTGTAATTTTTATCTGCATCACTGCTACAGATAAGGATTTGAATTTGTTTTGCCCAACTGTTAATTTTTAATTTTGTGTTTAAATTGCTGTTATTATTTAAATTACTGTTGTGGAAATGTTACTGAGAGACTGATGGCAATATTAAGATGATGAATTGTTTTATTGTGAAAATATTATTTTCCTATGCTTAAGACTTTTCACAGCTATTGAAATAAAACAGGTTTGGGTTAACACACTATGTAAGCGTGTTTCATTATTTGTATCACTATGGATCATGGAAGGTGTGTTAAGTTTAGCAATACCACTTACCACTGGAAGCCTCTGACTTTTTGCTTTTGGCAACTTAATAAAATGATGTCTGCTGAAGGCTCCTAATAAAATCTTTATTTTTTAACATGCAATCACATACGTTTCTGTTAGTGTCAGTACTCAGTACTTCCGCACTATCACTTGGTACCTTACTCAACTCATTACCTCACCACCACACAACCAGTATTCACCAACTACCACAAAAACAAAGGCAGGATAATTTTTTTATCTAATAGTTTAATCAAACTTTTGCATACTATTTTAAGTAGGTTGTAAAAAAAAATTGTTGCATACAATTTTAAGTGCACTTTTAAGTAGGTTGTAAATAAACGGTTGCATACAATTTTAAGTGCACTTAGTTGTAGGTAAAACCAAAGACTCCAACTAATTTTGATTTAAGATGTACATGGAGAATATTTCATTGTATTTTGACAACTTTTTAGTGAAAGTTCCAACAGAACAATTAAAATCTGATTTCACACAGATAAATGTCCATGTGAAAATTCATCTTTTGTATCAACATATTTACTCAAAAGTACAATTACACTTCAGATAACTTGATTGTGTGCTAGTTAATTCAGGAAAAATAATTGCAGAAGAGCTTTGAAACTGTACATATTTTGGTAATTATGAATACAAATAGTTAAATACTGTCCTCAACATTGGCATTTAAGTAATTTTATAAACATATTAGGCATAAGTTTCATTGAATTCTGTTAATTAATATAGAAGTAAAAATATTTTTGCTAAATTTATTGCAAGAGAAACTTCAAGAAAAAAAACACTAATTTGCCTAGAGATGAAAGAGACTTCAAATACAAATAGGCCTACTATTAAAGATTTTCTGTGTATATTTATAATTTGTAAAAAAAAATATATCCTTGTACGCTATGGTATTGTTCCAAATGACATTAAAAAATCTTTTTACTTACATAAATATAATAAACATAGTGAATAAATAATATAATGAATCAAACTTTTTAAATAGTGATGTGTTTTTCAACTAAAGTTATACAAGTAATTTAATAATAACATTTTTTTAAAAAGTGATTTGTATTATTATTTTTTCAATTTTGTGAATTGAGCAAAATTAATACATAAATATGAAATGATTTTAGGTTGGGTTAAAGTTTTACTACAAAATAATAGGCTAGCAAATTGTTATCTACAAATGTTAATCAAAATGTGTAAACATATCTAAATCTTTCTTTAACCCCTCAGTGTTTGTCATTTCTTGCATCATTTTTTGAGCATTTACAACCCCAGTCCCACCCTTTGGCAATCAATATTCAAACAACAGCCGCACAATTTACATGGAGGTCTGGGAAACTACTTTACAAAAAAATGTACAACACTACAGACATGGGTATCTACACAAAACTAGAGGGAAGTCTTAACATTGAGAATTGAAGTCTTAAAACTACTCAACAATCTAAGATTGTACTGTTAGATATCTACACAAAACTTTAATGGATTCTAGTCTTAAAACTACTCAACAATCTAAGACAGTATTTATCACAAAAAGAAAGGTGTATTAGAATAACAGTAACACTTCAGTTTTATGTACAGATAAGTTGCTTGCTGTATGGCCAAACTTGAGCCCAATAAAGTTAAGTAGTCTGTAACAGTAAAAAAACTAAAGGATGATTTGCCTCTGTTACAAGAATTGTGTTGCACACATCAACTCTTCATAAAAACTGGTATAAAAATACTAACAAAAACCTGTGAGGTTCTTGAAATACAGCAATTTGATCGTTAAAAGATAGTCTAAAAATACATTTGTGATTTTGTGCATTGACAATAGTATTGATGAAAAGTTTTTAACACTGCAACTGCAAAACCAAGCGTGATAATAAAAATAAAATTTCATGCAGTTTTGATATTTACTAGGACAAAAAAAACTTGATTTATAATATATAACCACTAATTTACAACAGGGCATTTTTCCCATAGTTAATTAATTATCATGACAAGTAATTTCTCGTTATATTTGAACATTTCTCATGAGAATTCTTGTTTCTTAACAAATCTTTTTTTTCATTTACACAATTAATAAATATATCAGTTGTGTCGACAATGATATTTACAATGCAAAACAGAAACTGCAATAAAAACGATATTTGTTCTTTACATCTAAAAAAAATTAAATTTATATTAACAAAACAAGGAAGAAAGAAAAAAGCTCTATAAAATAAGTTAAGGATGTTTCAGCACTGATAATTATTCAACTCTAGTGTTTGATGGATCTCACATACTAGGAACTTGGTGAGGAAGCAAGAGCAACACATTTTAAGGTGCTCTACAACAGAAAATGTCGGGCCTGCCGAATTTAATACATGTAAAAAAATGTATAAAATAAAACTTTTTACAGCCATCAGTTAGGTCAAGATTTGTTATCAAATGTGAGCAAAGTGAAATGGAATGCAAAAATAAAAAATTTAGCACTGAGTTAAATAAAAACCATATGCATAATTTTTAAATGTATGAAGATAAGATATCCACATATCTAATCTATTTTTGGTGTGTGCACATGTTCATATATCTAGATACAATGCAGCAGTTGCAATGTCCTGTAAACATCACATAAGGCACTGTTGGAAAAGGGATTCTATAAAAAATGTCAATATGAAATAATGGAATATAAAAAATTATTATAAAATTTGTGTACAATGGAAGCACGTGTGTATGTAGTTTAACTCATGTCGATCAAACAGAGTTAATCACAGATAAAATACTAAGAAATAACACAGTTATCTGTTTTTTTTGGAATCAAGTAGGACTTTACAAACATAAGAATAATTTAAATAAAGGCAATACTTCAACAAAAAATAGCAACAAAATGAGCAAAAGAAAGGAAAACACTCACTCTCACTATTTCCATCTCATGAAGTCAAAATTAAAACAAAATTTTTTACAAAAATAGTTTTTCTTGAACCATTTTTAAGTAACTCAACTACTTCTAGTAACGAAAGGGTTAAATATAAGTCTAGTTTATATACAACTTAAAAGTATACATCTTTATGTTGATATTTTTAAAGTAACAAAAAATGTATTCCAAATGAAATTAAACTGATGCTAAAACTAAACATTTTAAAGGAAACAATTCCACTGTGTGTGCATGTTGTCATCTAGATCTTTCAGTTCTGTTTTTTTCTTAAGGACACTCCTCGTAAATTTCTGTGGATGCAGAGTCAAAGTATCAAAGTAAGATCATCAAACGATGAACAACAGTAATGCTACATATTACTTTAGTAAGACAATCAAACAATGAACAACAGTAATGCTACATATTACTTTAGTAAGACAATCAAACAATGAACAACAGTAATGCTACATATTACTTTAGTAAGACAATCAAACAATGAACAACAGTAATGCTACATATTACTACAATAAGACCATCAAACAATAAACAACAGTAATGCCTAAATATCATTATAGTAAGACCATCAAACAATAAACAACAGTAATGCTACATATTACTACAGTAAGACCATCAAACAATGAACAACAGTAATGCCTACATATTACTACAGTAAGACTGTCAAACAATAAACAACAATAATGCTATATATTACTACAACTATCATCACTGAGTTCAAACCTCTACCCTATCTAGTCCACACAAGATTTAGCCTTAACAGGGTGATAAATCGTATATAAATGGCACAACAGAATAAATGGCACAACAGATGAGGGTTCGTGGCAATACATTGACGTGGTGTGTATGAGGTACAATGTAACAGCTACAACAACAAACATACAACAGACCTCCATCATCCACCATATCTTGTGAGCCATCATTTGGTACATCATCATAGAGAGGTTGGTCACTAAGAGAAAGACATCAGGTGTTATAAATTTACATCAAACAGCGATACATATCTTTGTTTAACAATAGATCTATTGAGGACAAATATTTGGTAACATTTTATTTTGGAGAAGGGAATTAATAGATTTAATTGTCTAAAAATAAGAGAAAAATAAAGAGCACAGTTAAAGTAAAGAACACAGGTAAAAGTAAAGAGAATAGGTGAGAGTAAAGAGCACAGTATAAAGGTAAAACCTACCTGGTGACTGAAGTTGTTCTACAGCTGTCCATGGCCTGCAAGAAGGGCACATTTTAAAAACTTGTTAAAGAATGTTTATCAATATCTTGTTAGTTTTTGTTATTTTTATACACTAATTAATTATTTTTTAGGCAAATACAAGAAATTAATGTAAATAATAAACCTATTCAAAATACAATTTAAATTAAAACCAAAGCTTATCTTAGTTAAATTTAAAACATTTCTTTAGAGTCTGGTATTACTTAATTTTATTTAGCAGACCAATATTTTCTTAATGTTGTATGCATTTCTCCCTACTAAAACATTAACTTGTATCACACATTTCAGTGGCAGAAGACACTGAGCCCTCTTTAGACAATTGAAATAAAGAGCTATTGTGTTCAGTAATTATCCTGTAGACACATATCAAGTTATCCTACAATCAAAGAGTGGGGCTATTCTACAACACTTTATGTGGTTTTTTAACTTAGTCACATAACATTATAATAAAATTTATAAAAGGTTAATAGCACAATAAAACTTAGGTTTAAAACTGCTATAAATTACATCACGTGTACACATGTAAAAAAAAAAATTTACCACAAATTCCAAATAACACGGCTCCATTATTAAGACAGTTAAATATAGTTTTGTGACAGTAGGTAGTTTAATTAACTTTTATGAGAAATCACTGTTGACTAAAATAACAGGCTTCCACCAAGATGAAATAAAAAGATATACTACAAAAAGATCAATAATAGTGAATAGAACAATGACAAAGTATACTAAAAACCTCTCCTGTTTCAGAGTTCACCTCTACTAAATGACTAAAATTGTTTTTCAATTATTAATACCAAAAAAAAATTTTTTGTCTTGAATGATATTTTAATATTATTTTCTACATAATTTTAGTGTTAAAAAAGACTTTCTATGATGATCATTTCATTTAGTAAAACATCCATGCCATCACAACACAAAAGGTGCATGAAAGCCAGTGAGTTGTGTAGAACCTACCAACTGTGAGTTGCACACAGCTACTGCTACACTACACCACATTACAATTTACCTACAGACTGCTCATTTTACTATGGTAATTTTGTAATACCACACAAACAAGTCTAAAACAATTCTGGACCTAATTTAAAAAATGTAAATTCCAGCTTTTATAGTATTTCAACATGACTTTGATTCACTTTGTAAGCATTTATGAATAATTTCCTAGTGTCATAATTTATTCTAAAATGTAAAGTGTTTCTAGCAGATTGATATAACTATGGAATTAAATCTAGATATTTTTAAAATTTAATTTTGGCCCACAAACATAATATAAATATTTTACTATTTATTTCCACATTTTAAAATAGTGATTCATCCTGGGCTAGGACATTACCCCCATGTATTACCCCAACAGATACTCCTCAGAGTAATCCCCCCTCCTTGAGAATACATACAATGCATGACTTGTAAGGTGAGAAACCCTGCATTCTATAAAATGCTTAGAATAGGCTGGCTGAGTATACATTTGATAAGCTAATAAGGCATATTTCTTTTATTTTTTCCAGTACAGTTACATAAACCTTTCCCAAACTCTGTTGCTATCACTGATCATATCCTTAACCTTATCCATAACCATATAAGCTTTAGTGTCAGTGGGTAATTGACAGGAAGATAATGTCCTACAGCAGTTTCTTTTAAGTGGATGGAACAGGGGGGTAACTGACAGGGGGTATTTCATCAAGAGGTGCATGATAGGGGGTTACTGAGTACCCTATTGTTAAAAATGACATTTGAAACACATGCTTGTTAGCCTCCATCCAATGATCATTAATATTTCTTATGCTGGCACATAGTTTACACATAGGTTATTAGCTGCAAATCATCAGTGATTTTTTTACTTTCTCGTATATACGTTGTATAGAGAAAGTATTGTAATCGTGCAAAAAAAAAAAATCGAGATTTTTACAAATCTCGACGTTTTACACCTCACTGATACGGAAAAACATAATTTTGCAATCTTGTCCGTATGTCTGTGTGTGTGTGTGTCTGTCTGTCTGTCTGTCTGTCCGTGTGTAAACACGATAACTTGAGTACCGTTACAGCTAGGTTGATGAAATTTCATATATAAGTATTTTATCAAAATCGTAGATCCGTATCAACTTTTGAGCGATTTCCGATAACCGGAAGTGGTACTTTTCCTACTTTGAATTTTTTAAAAGCCTATAACTTGAGTACTATTTCAGATAGATAAATGAAATTTCACATGTAAGTAAAAGATCTAATTCTCTACCTTCTGTTAAATTTTGAGTAATTTCCGTTGACTGGAAGTAGTAATTTACGCTACTTCCGATTTCTCAAAAAACTAATGTAAATTTTTAAAGTACTAATAATATTGCGCACTATTATACGCGTTTTTATTCGGCGTTTGCTTGGTGCGCAATGTTTTTTTTATGAGATTCTATTCTATTTTTAAAAGTTTAAGTATTTAAAATGGATTAAAAATCATAACTATATCCCCAGTTACCATCCCCTGTTGTTTTATATAAGAATATTCGAGAAAGTTTAGGGGAGATCACTACCGGTTTATTTTAATTCCAACACTGAGATTGCAGATAACAATTTCAACAAAACTACCTTTTTTTAACTGGGGTCAATTTTAAAGTAAAAAGCTTGTGAAGCTGAAAAATTTTAACTGGGGTCAATTTTAAAGTAAAAAGCTTGTGAAGCTGAAAAATTGGGTAAATCTCATGCATCATTCATTTAAGGCTTGACTTTAGCTGCCCAATTTTGTGTCAAACAAAAATTTGACTTTAGCTGCCCAATTTTGTGTGAAACAAAAACTTTAAAAATTGCAAGATTTAAAAGAAGAAAAAAGCCTATAAGCACCACCATTTTATGGTAAACAAAATTTTAAAACTTGCATAAGTAAAGGAAATATACATGGTAAAATTCTTTTCTAGCCAAAGTACATTTATCTTGGTTAAATATAAGTATACTAAATGTTTGTTCAGGTTTATTATGTAAAAAAAGACAGTAAAAGAATGACCAGTTGACAATGTCCTGCTTGAGCCACCACCAAATATTCATGCAATACATGAAAGGATTACGTTCACTATGGAATCTCTAGACACCAGCTTAACCAGAGACTGCTCCAGGCTCGCTCTTGAAAAGGTACTGTGCATTATCTTTACAGAACAAAATAGGTTTCAGTAGAGGGTTAATGGTTGAGTCAGTACTCACTCCAACAGAAAAGGTACTGTGCATTATCTTTACAGAACAAAATAGGTTTCAGTAGAGGGTTAATGGTTGAGTCAGTACTCACTCCAACAGAAAAGGTACTGTGCATTATCTTTACAGAACAAAATAGGTTTCAGTAGAGGGTTAATGGTTGAGTCAGTACTCACTCCAACAGAAAAGGTACTGTGCATTATCTTTACAGAACAAAATAGGTTTCAGTAGAGGGTTAATGGTTGAGTCAGTACTCACTCCAACAGAAATCATCAACAGGTCTTCACACACAGCAACAACATAAATTCTATGGTCATGTGGTTTGCCAGTGGAACAAAGAATGGAGCATCATGCTAAGCTTAGGCTAACTGTTTGAACATTTACAAGCATTGAATGGCAGATGCATGGGGACATTTTCTAAGTAAAGATGGCACAATACATCTGGGAGAAAAACACTGTAATGTATGCAGAGAAATGGAATGGTTATTACCAACTTGTAAATGAATCTGTATCTGGTACAGCTATAGGGTCATCAATTAATCCAGTTTCAATTATTAAATAAACATAAAGTTGTTCTAATGGCATCATAAATAATACTGTTCTAAAAGCTTATTAGTAAAAAAATAAAAATAAACGGAGACTATTTCTACCAAGGTAATGAAATTTGTGTGACAGAAAAAGGAGAAGCTTACCTTTTTAATGATGGAAGGATCTACTTCAATGTTGCTACTCTCAACATAGCCAACTGGAGAAAAATACATGAGTTGATGTTTTTACTGTAGTCAATGGGGCTACACAAGAGCAAACTGCTTCTATTAAATGTGAAAACTTATGGTTAGAATCTGTTTGTTAAAGCCACTTGTTTTAAAATGTCAGAACTTACTGCTAGAATCTGTTTGTATAAGCCACTTGTTTTAAAATGTCAGAACTTACTGCTAGAATCTGTTTGTATGGGCCACTTATTTTAAAATGTCAGAACTTACTGCTAGAATCTGTATGGGCCACTTATTTTAAAATGTCAGAACTTACTGCTAGAATCTGTTTGTATGGGCCACTTATTTTAAAATCTCAGAACTTACTGCTAGAATCTGTTTGTATAAGCCACTTGTTTTAAAATGTCAGAACTTACTGCTAGAATCTGTTTGTATGGGCCACTTATTTTAAAATGTCAGAACTTACTGCTAGAATCTGTTTGTATAAGCCACTTGATTTTATTTTAAAATGTCAGAACTTACTGCTAGAATCTGTTTGTATAAGCCACTTATTTTAAAATGTCAGAACTTACTGCTAGAATCTGTTTGTATGGGCCACTTATTTTAAAATGTCAGAACTTACTGCTAGAATCTGTTTGTATGGGCCACTTATTTTAAAATGTCAGAACTTACTGCTAGAATCTGTTTGTATAAGCCAATTGTTTTAAAATCTCAGAACTTACTGCTAGAATCTGTTTGTATAAGCCACTTGTTTTTAGGGTTCTTGTCTAGCCGTAGGATTGTTACAGCCTGACCTGCTTTGACGGTCAAGTTCTGACCAGAGCCTTTATAATCTTGCTTAATTATCCCCTTGCCAACATCTTTCTCTGTGCCATCAAGCTGATAAAAGAAGAAATCAAATTACCAAGTCTGGTTTCTATAGAAACCCTAGCCATGGGAAAGTTGTTAACTTTATCCTAAATGACCCAAAAGAGTAGATCAAGTAGAGACCACCTGCTTGCCCCAACAGGTTCGGCATGAGTTGTGTTGCTCATGGACATGAACCAAAAACTAGATGTGTATATATTGTAAGCAGGCTCAAGCACACTCATGTAAATATTTAACAAACATTTAAACCTTGGGCAGGTAACAACAAGACTACACAATGTCTAATGTTGGTTTATCAACACCATGTCAGTGAGATGAATTAAAACCAGTTCTATGTTAACAAATTTTTAAAAATTTACCCCAAATTTCTTTAACTGCTTAAGCCGTTCTTTCTTTTCCTGAAATAGATTTTAATATACATTTTAAAGTATAAACAATGATTGATTAAACCAAAGTAAAGATCTGTACAAGATAACAAAATAGGTAGCTAGTTACACTTTCTAGTTCTAACTAAATGAACAGTTTAAATGGCTACAGAGAAATGTTTGGACAGGTGATTGACCCTACAATACAACTAGCAAACCTTTTCTTCTTTCTTTTTACGTCTTTCCTCTTCTTTCTCCTTCTCCTTTCTTTCCTTCTCCTCCCTCTTTTTGGCTTCAGCTTCTTCTTTCATTTTCTTTTTTCTGTCTTCTTCTATGCTAGCAGCAGGCACGGATGAGCCACTAGAAGAGAATAATAAATGTCAACACACAGAGTCTACAGAGTACAATATACATGGCTAATGTTCATGAAGTAAAATACTATGGAGTCTATCATTGTTCCAACATCACTTACTCTTCATATAGGTCATCAGCATTGTCAACCTGGAACAAACATTGTACATCAATTATCTGTCATCTTTATATATATCGTTCTTATTTTATTATTATGCTTATAGTAACTATTAATAATAACATTAATAATAACTAGATAACCAAGTTATATGTCTGTGAAGGATATTTCATTTTGAAAAAAAAAAGAAATTTCATTTTAAATAAATTTAAACAAAAAACGCAAATAATAAATATCAACTATGATTGTTTTAGCCCTAGGGCTGAAGGTCACCAACCTAGGCAATGGGGAAAAGTCTTCATTATTGATCCTGATAAACTTTTTTTTAATTAACTTATTTTTAGTTATGTCTGAATTGTCCCTAAATAAGCTTAAGTTTTTTTTTAATGTTACACATACTGTAGATATGCTGATCTCAAGATGTTGGTATATCAATATTCAAACCCTAGTGAGTTTCAGTTTAAAAGATAGTTATCACTAACAACCAGACTATAAGTTGTAGCATAAATCACATGTAGTTTCAGTTGAAAAGATAGTTATCACTAACAACCAGACTATAAGTTGTAGCTTAAATCACATGTAGTTTCAGTTTAAAAGATAGTTATCACTAACAACCAGACTATAAGTTGTAGCATAAATCAAATGTAGTTTCAGTTGAAAAGATAGTTATCACTAACAACCAGATTATATGTTGTAGCATAAATCAAATTTAGTTTCAGTTGAAAAGATAGTTATCACTAACAACCAGACTATAAGTTGTAGCATAAATCAAATGTAGTTTTCTTACCTGCTTTTCTGTCTCCCCATCAGCATATATTTCTTCTAATACTAAAAAATGAAGAAAAAAAAATATTTTTAATAATACATAGTTCATGTTTCTTTATTTTAAATAATTCACACACAAAGGTCATATCCAGAGTTAATGGCCTTTAAAAATGTGGTAAAATTCAAAAAAAAAATTTGATAACATAAACCAAGCAGTTAAAGTAAATTAAAAGGTTTTTGTATAGAAATATTGAGTACTAGGTTTTTGGGTAAATCCTTCATCATAGATTGCACCTTCGTCTTCAGCTGCAAGATCTGGGCTGAAAAGTAAACAAAAATTAATGTACAAGTGTAACTAAATATTATTTACTAACTAGTCAGTGAACAAGTCCAGTAAATGCTACAATAAAGATTGACAGTTATGCTGTAATGTTTTCTCCAGTAAATGCTACAATAAAGATTGACAGTTATGCTGTAATGTTTTCAACCAATAGAAATACTTTTGGACAGTTCCAGTTTGCTGCTACATGTGAGTACTTTGATGTTTAATGTACTCAGAACCCTCTCCATACCATGTCATGAATGGGTGAGCCTTAACTATTACGATTTTTAATAATACTTTTTACTTTAACTTATCCAAGCTTACATTTTAGAAACTTACAGAAACCTTTGACTTATCCAAGCTTACATTTCAGAAACTATTACAGAAACATTTGACTTATCCAAGCTTACATTTCAGAAACTCTTACAGAAACTCTTACAGAAACCTTTGACTTATCCAAGCTTACATTTCAGAAACTCTTACAGAAACTCTTACAGAAACCTTTGACTTATCCAAGCTTACATTTTAGAAACTCTTACAGAAACTCTTACAGAAACTCTTACAGAAACCTTTGACTTATCCAAGCTTACATTTCAGAAACTCTTACAGAAACTCTTACAGAAACTCTTACAGAAACTCTTACAGAAACCTTTGACTTATCCAAGCTTACATTTCAGAAACTCTTACAGAAACTCTTACAGAAACTCTTACAGAAACTCTTACAGAAACCTTTGACTTATCCAAGCTTACATTTCAGAAACTCTGGCAGAAACTCTGTGGTTGGCTGATCCAGCTCTGATTTCAACTTGAGTTGTTCCATCATCATAGATGCTATCAGTCTCATCCTCAGCTCCACCTTTGTAATAATTACATTTCTTAAAACCTCTACATATAACTGTGTTTTATAGCATACTTCAAGATATAAAATAATCCATGATGATAATAAATAATAATGGTCAACATTACTTGTCATGTATTTGCTTAACATCTTGTCAACATTATCTGTCAGGAATATCTCCATTAATAAAAGCTTGGCAAAATAATAATTAATTTTAAGATAATCAACAAAAAAAGCATTGATTCTTACTTAATTTTTTAATTGACTCCTGATATTGTTTTTCAATGAGGCTTAAATCAACATCAGTGGGTAGAGCAGGCTTCTCTGGTGGGCTGGAGGTTGTAGGCAACAAAAGTATTTTCCTAAACTTCTTGTTGTCACTCTTCCTTTCCTCTACTGGCTCATCCCTCTGCCTCTTCAGCTCTGGTGTTGTGTTTTCTTTGTTCAGTGGTGATCTCGGGGCTGGTAAATTTGGACTATCCTGTTCACAAAATCAACAGGTTATTCAGATTTTGCTCATGTTTTACTGTTATTGAAGATTTTTTTTTCAAATAAAATTTAAAAAATCAAAGCAATCTTGGCATATTTAGTAATTAATACGCTTGTATTTTTCTTTTTTTTTAATTAATTTATTAATTTTTAACTAAGACACCAGTAAAGAAGGATTTCAGTTCAGAACCAAAATACAATAATCAGTGTAGAGGTGCCTCATGACCAACAAAAAACTCAAATCAACCTTTGTTGTGGAGCGTCCCATAAGAAAGCTCAGAAAAAAACAAGTGGCCTCAGTGTTTGCAGATATACCTGTGAAATCATTTTAAAAAACCTACCTTGTTAAATGGAAATATCTTTGGGGATGTTGGTCCTGTGGTGATGGCAGGTTTTAAGAGGCTGGTCAACTCCTTCACAGCCTGACCGTTGGCGTGGGAGCTGGCTAGAGGCGCTGGCTTCTCCTGACCGTTGCCGTGGGAACTGGCTAGAGGGACTGGCTTCTCCTGGCCCTGAGCAGGGGTTTTTACCACCTGAGAGTTTCTTAAAGCACGAAAATCAAATTTCCCCCTCTGGTCCTCCCCATCAGTGTCATCACGAGAGGATGGAGATGGTGAGGGCACAGAAGAGTTTGACCTGCTGATCAGGGACTGGACTGAGGGTTTGGATTCTTCTGCAGGCTTCTCCTCTTTGAGCGGGGAGGTTGCGTCTTTCTTGTCACCATCTGGTAGCTTGGACGCCTGAAGTGCTTGTTGCCTTTGCTGCTGCCATGTTAGTTTAGGGGTAATTGCTGCCTTTTCTGCAGCTGGTTTCTCCGTGGGCTGGCTGGATTTTACAGGTTGAGGTGTCACATTAAACTGACGACCAGCCACTGGTTTTAATGCAGGTTTAAAAGGTGTGGCAGTCCCACTATCTGGCGTACTTTTTGGTTCTGTCTTAGCGGCAGGTGTATTAAAATTCTTTCTGACTTTATTGATGTCATCTGTGCTGACGTTCATGGGCTGCCATTTGGGTTGGATGTTGTTTTCATTGCCAGGTTTTTGTGGTACAGAAGGCTTAGGCCTGGCAACACTAGCCATATCTTCAGAGCCCTGAATGGACTCAAAGAGCTTAAGTCTTGTTTTCACGTCCTGGGGAAGATAATACAAGTTTACAATAAAATCATTCCACTTTCATTTTTATTTAGCTTTGATTTGAGTACAGTAAATCCACCTTTAAATACATATTAAAGCATTAAATTTTTTCAACTCCACTTTAAAATACATATTTAGGCAGCTAAATAAAAGTAAATGATTTTAAATATTCACGGAGTTGTTTCTCCATCATATAAATCTCCTAGGTGCCATTGGTTAAGGCAGTACTTATAAAACAAACTTCCCACTGGGTGGACAAAGCTTTCACCTGTTGTCAGGTGCCAGAGGGTTAAACCGACTGTCAGATGCCAAAAGGTTTAACCTGCCATCAGGTGTCAAAAGGTTTAACCAGCTGTCAGGTGCCTAAAGGTTTAACCTGCTGTCAGGTGCCAAAAGGTTTAACCAGCTGCCAGGTGCCTAAAGGTTTAACCTGCCCTGAGAAACAGACAGCTGTGCAAGGACTAATGTCTCAACTCAATGATGGGTTCCAGTGACAGCCGGTAGGACATTAGTTCAGTAATACACAGCACATAAAACATGGGATATCTACAACAGTCATATACACCAGATCTAGTCAACATGAGAAAGATATATACGCCAATAATCTATGTGATATCTATCAAGGGCTTACCAAGAGGATTGTTCCATCAGTAGTTCATGTCTTAACTATTGCAGATTGGTAATTGCAAATAAAACTGTATTAACATCCATATTTAACCTGTACCCCGTATAGACAACCACAGCCTGTCCCGATCCTCCCCTCTACACGACGCTCCCCTATAAAATTGATATCGTTGCTGCCAGCAACATCCGCCTAGCTTCATAAAAGTGAGTAGATTAAATTGAGAGACAAGTGTCCATGCTCGATCAATCTTAAATAGCCGTATCACAGGCGTGTGCGTGTGTTTAACGTAAGAGATCTTGAGCTTTGTTTGATTTAGTGCTCACCACACAACCCCTGCGTACAAACAGATAAACTCCATTTCCGTCTGGAATGGGATATTTTTTTTTAACTTGCCAAAAATTAATGTCGTGCTAACAAACGACTTTTATCTACGTGTTTTGTCATACAACGAATATGTTTTGCTATCACAGCGGCAACAACAAGGGGAGGGGAGGCCTACAGGCTTATCTCACGCAAACAGATAACATTCTGAACATCACAAACCACGCACTTACTGCGGAGATCGGAAACTAAATCTTACCGTGCTTTAATATTAGAAAATATCTGAGTGGCGCGCTTATGACGGGGAAGTGGATCACTCGTTCATACACACACCCACACCCTTCTACACACACACACAAAGACCTGCACGGGCTTACACACAAGCCATCACACACCACCAATCATCTCCTTCTGAAGTAAGTAACGACTGATGACGATTCAAAGGTTCCCAAATTATTCTTAGTTTTAAAATTATTTTTTTTTTATTTGAGGTGAACTTCTTAAAAACTCTTGAGATTATGAAATGTCGAGTGGTGTATGTGGGGACAGACGAGCCATGGGATGTCATGCTGGTAAAAAAAAAGGGGAGTATAACTGTGATTTGTGATCAGAAGATGAAAGGATGGTCTATTAAGGCAGTGTTAAAATAAACCATTAGCTGCAGTAAAGCCTGAGCACGTAGCAGTATTTACAAACAGATTTATTTTATTGACAGCAGGTCCCTGGCACGCGACGTCTACCGTTGACCTGACGAGCTTAAGATGACAGCCAATCACTAACTGGGAGACTACACTTGACCGCTAATCACTATACGACACCGACTGGCATTTTTCAAACGTTAAAAATTGTGCCACCCCCCCCCCCCCCCCCCACACACACAATATCAAACATTTTCAAAAACTATTTTGACCAAACCATCTTCACAAAGTGACATGATACCATCTCATCCCCTGGCGACAATTGTGTGTAGCATACATACAGAAATAAACGTATGTATTTAACTGAACTTTAAATTTCATTAGCGTGGACATTAACCATCCAGCTCAGTCAAACGTTGATCGTGTGGGTCTACTTTAAGTGGTTGAGGCTTAAAAACAGTGCTGACGGTAGATTCTGTGTCTACAACCCCTCACCCCCGCATCACAACAAAGATTTTAATATCCCATAATAAAAGTCGTGGCCGAATCGTGTGAGTAATCTAAACATTAAATTAGTGGGGTACTTGATTTCAATAGAAATGTATCGTCTTGAAGACACAATGTGTATCCATCAACTTATAAAGGGTTGATACGTTCCTGTGATAAAAGCATGCCGCTGGCTTGTGGCAGTGTGTGGAAAAAAAGTCAAGACTAGAGTCCGATATCTTTCGGTATTTTATACAATTTTACCTCTAGTAGGCATTGTTGCTACCAGCAGAGGCGTAGCGGGGGGGGGGGGGGGGGTACGGACCGCACCGGGTGACACCATTTAGGAGGGTGACACCAAGGCAAAAAATAGCAAAATATATAGACAAAAATGATAATTCCACTTAATTAAGTGATTAATTCGAGTGTTAAATAGTCTTTTAAGAGGTGCAAATCGAAAGTTTGAAGGGGGGGTGCAAATCGAAAATTGAAAGTTTGTTCCCGGGAAGGGTCGCTACGCCTCTGGGGGTGACACCATTAAGTGTCGCACCGGGTGACACCCGACCTCGCTACGCCACTGGCTACCAGATCTAGTCAGCATATATGATAAATGCTGAGATTTTTTTACAATTGCTATGTATAGTCTAGTGCGAGACCTTATGCATGTTATGTAGATTCTATAGTCAAGACCACAATGTATGATAAATAGTGAGAGACTTTACATTAGCTGTATAGTCTAGACCAGGGGTCTCAAAACTACGGCCCGCGGGCCGCATGCGGCCCGCGAGGTCCTCTCGTCCGGCCCGCGGAGATCTTTTTGTCCACGGAAAAAAACGTTTGTTGGTAATGGCTGAGGAACTTTGCTCAGAAAAATCACGACATGCCTAGAAACAAATTGGCCCCCTTGGCCCCCGAACTAAAATTTGATAGTTAATGCGGCCCTCGGACTGAAAAGTTTGGAGACCCCTGGTCTAGACCACAACGTATGATAAATAGTGAGAGACTTACATCAGCTGTATAGTCTAGACCACAACGTATGATAAATATATAGAGACCTTACATCAGCTGTATAGTCTAGACCACAATGTATGATAAATAGTGAGAGACCTTACATTAGCTGTATAGTCTAGACCACAACGTATGATAAATATATAGAGACCTTACATCAGCTGTATAGTCTAGACCACAACGTATGATAAATATATAGAGACCTTACATCAGCTGTAGTCTAGATCACATCGTATAATAAATAGTGAGAGACCTTACATCAGCTGTATAGTCTAGACCACATCGTATGAGATAGATCTAGTGGAAGACCAACGTTTTCTAAAGGTGAATTTACCTTGATGGGTTGTCGCTTCTACCAATACATGGGTGTACAAAAATGTTTACACCGTGCTCAACACGTCTGTAAAAATGTTTGTTTATCGACTGTGGAAATTCTTAAGACGTTTTAATCACGTGATGGACACAGCCAGACACGGCTGTGGGATTTGGCAGCTCGCTAACAAACAATATTTACACACGCTTTTCAATGAGACGCGGTTATTCGGCTGATTACAGGGGATAAGGCATAGCATAATGTATGTTTCTCGAGATCGCATGCTTTAAAATAACGTTAAAAACTTACACGAAGTTTACTCCAAGTTTACTGTACTGAATCACGTGATTTCCTAGCTACTCCAGTGAGTGACGTTAGTCTACATGTGACATGGTGTGTGTATGGTGAATGAGCAGATCCTCATTAAGACGGTTTCGAACATAAACCAGGAAGTGGCAGTCGAGTGTAGCTACACGCAGTGGACTTATTTACCTTACATAGAAGGGGGGGGGGGACACACCACAGAGGTCTCTACACATGTATCGTTAATGGTTAATTTACTTCCGGGGACAAATTATTAACTTCCCTCCCCATCTCTCCCTAGAGAAATATACTGTAAAGGTCTATAAACAAGGCCCCCCTATCGTCACTATATACCGTGGGTATCTCTAAAGTAGGTTACAGTTCGTGTGGTCTAAAATAATGTCTGACTATATACGGAGGCCACTGTGTAGCAAGGCTGGGATCTATAACATGACATCTAGACACAAGGAAGTAGTTTAGCCAACACTTGGACAGAAGGGCGTTCAAGCTATGTGTACAGCTGTTAGCTACAGGATGTTATAAAAGGCACTGTTACATTAGTTACAAGAAGAACACTTCAACGGGCAATGTGTAAAACGGTTACATAAAGGACAAAATGTAAAACGGTTATATCCAGAACAAAGTATAAAGCTGTTATATACAGGATAGTGTGTAAAGATGGTACACAGAGAACAGTGTAAAGATAGTACACAGAGAACAGTGTAAAGATAGTACACAGAGAACACTGTGTAACATTTTATATAAAACGTTACAACACGGTCTCAAGTAAAAAATAAAATTAAAAAAAAAAAAACAATCTGTGCAAAAGAGAACCCATTCACCGCGGCGTAACGTAATACTGTCTACGTCGGTCATGTCTGGTCAGTGATCACTACATCAGCACTGGTCACTACATCAGCACTGGTCAGTGATCACTACATCAGCACTGGTCAGTGATCACTACATCAGCACTGGTCACTACATCAGCACTGGTCAGTGATCACTACATCAGCACTGGTCACTACATCAGCACTGGTCAGTGATCACTACATCAGCACTGGTCACTACATCAGCACTGGTCAGTGATCACTACATCAGCACTGGTCAGTGATCACTACATCAGCACAGGTCAGTGATCACTACATCAGCACTGGTCAGTGATCACTACATCAGCACTGGTCAGTGATCACTACATCAGCACAGGTCAGTGATCACTACATCAGCACTGGTCAGTGATCACTACATCAGCACTGGTCAGTGATCACTACATCAGCACAGGTCAGTGATCACTACATCAGCACTGGTCAATGATCACTACATCAGCACTGGTCACTACATCAGCACTGGTCAGTGATCACTACATCAGCACTGGTCAGTGATCACTACATCAGCACTGGTAAGTGATCACTACATCAGCACTGGTCAGATATCACTACATCAGCACTGGTCAGATATCACTACATCAGCACTGGTCAGTGACCACTACATCAACACTGGTCAGTGGCCACTACATCAGCACTGGTCAGTGATCACTACATCAGCACTGGTCAAGAGTCGCGCAACAAGCATACGGCTCACGTATAAATACATATACATACGTATGTCATACGGCTCACGTATACATACATATACACACGTATGACATACGGCTTATTCATGATCATACAACTATTCAAATCAACAACACAAATTTTGGGGTTGATTCAGTTCAAAGTTTGTTTTAAATCTTGAATTGTGAAGACGTCAGAGGTTTATGTGGGTTTTTTAATTCACGCAGCATTGTAAAAATCTACGAGCTATCACCATTAATTATCAGTTTTTGTCACCATTAATAATCAGTTTTTGTGAAGCGAAACTTCAACGCTTAATGTATACATTGCTAGCGTGAAAACGTGTGGACTTCCTAAAATGGTGACAAATATTTAGCAACATGACATAAAAACAGTTGGTGGCGGTACTTGTGTAGAGTAGCTCCCCTTGTTACACAATCGGACCAGGAGACGAGCACCATGTTGCTAGCCGGTGCTTGATGATTTACTACATCCGTGTTGGGTTCAAGCAACCAAGTGGCCAGTTGGCGTGGGGGGGGGGGGGGGTTGAAGTATAAAACATTTTAAACGAATAGGACCGTCTATGAAAGAGACAAAATATATTGTAATCAAGGAATAAGGACTATGGTGTAGTTTCGGGGGCTAGACTTCGTTTCCCCCCCCCCCCCCCCCCCACGGCGAGCGGCACTTGCTTCTTTTTATTTTATTAAAATGAACTGTGGTGATAATTAAATTTTAAATCCAGCTCTCCCACACCTCGCATATGTACAAAGGGGCAGCAAAATGGCGAGTGCCTCGGGCGCTGGAGTGTGTAGCTAGGCTAAAGAGTAAGGATGGTTTAGTTGGGCACAAGGCAGCCAATAGAAACTTGTCGGCGTACTAAGAAATAAAAGAACATTTAATGATGTCCGCCAATCACAAAAACCCAGGCTAAAATTTTACATTTATGCTAATGGTAAAAGGCACAGACAGAGAGTTACAATACCAAACTTTGACATTAATGGTATTGCTAGTAGACTACGCCAATTTCATACCTAGACCAAACTTTGACATTAATGGTATTGCTAGTAGACTACGCCAATTTCATATCTAGACCAAACATTGACAGTAATGGTATTGCTAGTAGACTACGCCAATTACAAAACTAGACCAAACTTTGACATTAATGGTATTGCTAGAGACTACGCCAATTACAAACCTAGACCAAACTTTTACAGTAATGGTATTGCTAGAGACTACGCCAATTACAAACCTAGACCAAAATTTCACAGAGTAATCACCCTTCTAATAAATACAATCCAAATCGGAGGCAGAAAGTACCCGGAGTTTGATACACCTTTTCTTGGTTGACTACCTAACTCTGTCTCGAATAATGGCAGTACCATTATAAGGGCGTTATCAACATAAGACAACCCCATCTCTTTCTTATCCTAGCCAGCCCAGATTCCGACATATCTATTATCTAGCAGCTACCCACGTGACTAGAGATCTAACAAAGATGTTTTGATAACCTTCCTTCAGACTACAGCACGTCTCTCACCTTGTTGGATGTACACCTTTTTTTATTAAATACAGGTAGTCTACCTGCCATAGACAGAAATTGGGGAGCTGTATGCCAGCTCACCTCATTCTTTTTTATAGCATGTAGACTGTAATGTTGGCACAACACGAGCTAAACACTGTGTAGTAGTGACTCAAGAATACGCACGTGAACACAACACACAATAAATCATACACACGTTAACACAACACACGATAAACTGGACACACTTTAACACAACACACAATAAACTGTACACACGTTAACACAACACACAATAAACTGTACACACGTTAACACAACACACAATAAACTGTACACACGTTAACACAACACACAATAAACTGTACACACGTTAACACAACACACAATAAACTATACACACTTTAACACAACACACAATAAACTGTACACACGTTAACACAACACACAATAAACTGTACACACGTTAACACAACACACAATAAACTGTACACACGTTAACACAACACACAATAAACTATACACACGTTAACAGAACACACAATAAACTGTACACACGTTAACACAACACACAATAAACTATACAAACTTTAACACAGCACACTGGAACAAACATAAACACAACAAACTAGAAGCTGTACAAACTTAAACACAACACACTAGAAGCTGCACAAACTTTAACACAACACACTGGAACAATACAAACATAAACACAACACACTAGAAGCTATACAAACTTACACTAACATCACTGATTAAGTTTCCACACTTCTCATAAATGCATTGATTGGTTGCCATAGCAAACTAATAATTTGATATAAAGTTCAAATAAAACATCCAGATCTTTCACAAACCAACCGTCAGGTCCTAATGCTGCAGTAAACTCAACTGATTCAAGAAACAGGTGAGCAGCAAGCTAATGTAGGTTTATTTAACCATCAGCAAATAACACAACAAATGTGGGGCTAGACAGATATTAATGTGATGAGGATGATTAAGGTGGAAAATATTTTCTTTCCCTGCTCCTGTCTCCTCATTTATTACAAGATAAACTATAAAAACTTAGTTCACCTTTTAAGCTTAAACTTAACAATTAATTTACTTCCTTCTACAGATAAAGCAATATCTGTCTTTGTGATTATATAGTGTAGATAAAAAAAAAGTCAAGTTACGGTATATCAAGTCTATGCAAGCTGATATATATGAACGAAGTTTTTTGGTAATTATTATATCATTTATTTACCAAACATTTATTAAATGTTTGAATAGAATAAATGTTTTTATGTGCAAAGCCAAGATTGCATACCAGCCTCAATGTAAAGACATTCAGAAATTAAGTACACTCACAAATTCTGAGAAATTACAAGTGTACTGAATAAAGAGAAACAGTAATGAAACGTTAAAACAGTTTAAAACAGGGAATTGAAAAGCAATTGAAACTCTCTTAAAAACTTTTTTAAGAGAAGCACTCCTATTGATGGTTAGGCTACAACATTTAAAGCTAACACTAAGAAAGAGAAAAATTTACTGATCATGCAAAAGCAACACAGCTTTGATGCCAATGCATTATTTATCTTATGTGCCACAAAATATGTTTAAGTAAGTATTAATATTAACAAGTGATAATGGTATTAGAAGATGTAACTCACTAAAAAGATAATACAGGGCTAGAAGAAATATATATAAATATTACTGACTCAAAAGCTTTTCCATATTTATTTATTTTTATTCATTAGTAATTTTAAGAATGGAAAATGGTTTTCATTTCATACAATATTGTGAAATGGTAAACATATTGTGACATGTGTAATATGTAATATATACTTACAGTCATGGTAATGTTATTAATTGCTGATCAACCTGAATCAGTACTTGTATAACATCTCAAAAAATGAAGACATCAAATCTGTATCCAATATTGTTGTCTAAATGACAAAATTGTGTGCAACAAATTAATGTTTCATTATTTTTTAAAATAATTAACAAAAATAATATTGTGGCAAATGCATTAGCCAACACTATAAAGTTATTACTGTTTGAAAAAAAAAAAATCCTTTTCTTCTCTTCAAGTTAAAATTAATCACTCTACCAAATTATTAGAGTAGAGTTTAGTTAAATATGCATTGTAACAACTCTGATGAAATTTAGAATTAGATGTATCCAGCTGCACCACAAGAAAGGAATGGCTAGTTTAAGTTTAATATGAAAATTAATTCAAAGCATATATATCTACTAGACCTAAACGAATATGCCGACTACTACTACTAGTTATTCACTAATGTCAGTACCCAGTGCTGCTAATGGAATACTTAACCTAATAGGTTTATGCTTAATGTAAAGTAGATTAGTATTAGGGGTCATCCATAAACTATGTCACAGTCGTTGGGGAGGTTGGAAGTTTGTGACAACGTATGATGAGGGGAAGGTTCAGAAAGTGTGACGACACACTTTAGCATTTTAAAAGTTTAAAAATTTCTTTAAGCCACTATTTCACAATTTTTAGGGGAGTTGAAGTCTTAAGTATGAAGTCATTTCAAGGATAGGGGTATTGACGTTATGTGACAATGTGAAACAATGGAGAGAAGGGGGTTGAACTCTTAGTAAATAAGCATGTCATTTATGGATGACTCCTTATTGTTAATGTTAACTCATAAAGGACTTTGGGGGCAGTATAGACCTATATTTGCAAATTATTCCCCAAAGGATGCCTGAAGGAACCACTTTAAAAATTAAACATGCAAAGTAAGCAGCTTGATATAGATCTAATCTAGATCTAGTAGGTATAAAAATAAAATATAGGACAGGCTAAAAGTGAACAGCTTTATTCAACTTTATTGTTATACAGTGCTACTAATGCTAGTAAATGTAATTATTATATACAGCCTAAAAAATCTAATAGCCTAATTATTAACTAATTAATAATACTTAATACTTAATACTGAAGTTAATTATAATATTCATAATGTAGGGCCTAATACTATTAGGTAGTAGATCAACCTACCATAAAAAGGATCCTGTCCAAAGTGAGAAATGGGCCTACCTAATACTAATAGAAATCAGACTGTTTAGTTAGTAGCACAACACTATCACTAACACAGTGTAACAGTAACACACTTGACTACAACTAGATCTACAACATGAACAACAGTGTCACAGCAGTCTACACTAACACTCAAACAGTACACACTCTGTGACATAAGAATACCTTAAACCTAGTTCAGTGACTGTACTGTCATTGGCACTACTCAGAACACTGCTCTTAGTCTTACAATAACACTGGCCTAACTAGTAACTTAACTAGAAGATCTAGACTAGATCTAGAAATCTAGATCTAGAGTCTAGATCTAGATTGGCCAGCACTTCAGACGCTCAGATATTTGTATAGGAGCAGGTAAAAATGTGCATTTCTTTCATCGAAGAGTTACTTAACACTTGCGGTAGCCTACCTTCGAGATTTCGTGTAGTATGTAGTCGTAGTATGTAGGTTTAGGGGTTCTAAACTTTTGTGGGGGGGGGGGGATGACCTGTACTGTATATTAAGTATAAGCCTATTTCTCACGATTATGACGATTGTCACAATGCCATTCAGAGTTTCTTTCAGGCATCTCTTCAGTCTTCGGAGTGCTCCCCCCCCCCGAAAAAGTCTACCCACCCCCCACCCCCTGAACGAAGTGAAATTTATATAGAAAATATATATTTAACAGTGTCCGCCTCCCCCCCCCCCGAAGAATGTCTCCTCCCCCCCCCCCCTTCCGAAAATTTCAAGTGCCCCCCCCCCCCCCCCCCGAGAAAAAAGTCTGGAAGAAACACTGATGCCATTTACAGAAGATGTAGATCTAGGACTGTTATTTTTTGGAGACAAAAATATTGAAAAAAAGGCTGGCCTATTTAGATCTAATAGTATTAGTATTACAGCCAGTATTAGAACTAGAGCTAAATCTATTATTTATTACGAGCCGGCCCGCGGCATAACATACGCCGCTATTTAGTTGTTGTTTTTTCTACTTTTCAGTAATTCATAATTTTTGAATTCGACAGTACCAACCCTGACACTGAAAATATTTCTTTAAAACACTATAAGTAGCTCGTTAAGGACCATAACCCCCCCCCCCCCTTCCTCCCCCCCCCCCCAACGTTTAAAATCTTTTCAAACTATATTATCTGCCCCTAATAGCCGTCACTAAACCCGACTCCACGAAAGTAAACATAGCGTGAACCACAGCTCACTAAGACCATGTAGGGGTGGGGATGGTAGGGAGCGCGTTTACAGCTTGTTTTCTAGCGTCTCCCAGAAGAGAATGTTATATATATAGATGCTCTAGATCAGGGGTTCCCAACCCCGTGCCCGCGGGCGCCACAGCGCCCGCCGAACAATTCGTATGTGCCCGCCTCTCACTATTCGACAGAGACAGAATTTTTTTCATAAACATTATTGAAAGGTTAAAGGCGATCGAAAGTTTGAGGGGGGGGGGGGGGTGCAAATCGAATATTTGAGGGGGGGGGTGCAAATCGAAAGTTTTGTCCCCGGTTGACGGGAAGGGTCGCTACGCCTCTGGAAGGAGTTTGTCGATTTAAAATAGGTGGTGCCCGCCACCTTACCGATATTTTAGAATGTGCTCTAGAGTAAAAAAAGGTTGGGAACCCCTGCTCTAGATTCTAGATTTATGTAGATCTATAGTAGTATTCTATAAGCTACATGTTACGACCAAAGCCCGAAATGCGGCCAAAGCGTTATTTTATTTTTTATTGATCACGCATCTAAAAGGAAATAAACGCAGCAATGAGTAAAGTGTTGGTAATCATTAAAAGTCTTGTCCCGACTATTTATTTATGTGTGCGGTGTTTCTTTCAGACTTTTTTTCTCGGGGGAGGAGAGCCACTTGAACTTTTTGAGGGGGGGGGGGCAACTAAATTTTCCGGGGAGAGGGGGGGACACTGGTAAAAGTGTATTTTCTCTATATAAGTTCTATAGCCCCCTCCCCCCCCCCCCCCCCCCCAGAAGAGATACCTGGAAGAAGATCTGTATGTGTGTGTGTATGTATGTATGTACTTGTAGTATTAGTAGTTTTAGGCCGATAGAAAGTCCGCCCCCCCCAGGCGCCGAAATGGGTCGCTACGCCTCTGTAATCAATACAGTACTAATTTTACGATCACAAAGGGATGATGTATACAGGCCTATATAAAGCCCTATGCTTGAAAAAATTGTGGTTTTGTGGTATCATTAAATCGTTGAAATAGCGATATGAGCATTTTGTCGCCAATGGCCTATGGCAATTTACTTGAGACAGAATGTTGGTTTTATTAAGAAGTGGGGATTTGGACCCCCCCCCCCCAACTCAAACATTCGATTTGGACCCCCCCCCCCCCTCAAATTTTTTCTCTATATATTTTGCTATTTTTTGCCTTGGTGTCAACCCTTAAATGGTGTCACCCGGTGCGGTCCGCACCCCCGCCCACCCCCCCCCCCCTCGCTACGCCTCTGACTATATATATATATATATATATATATAGGCTTATATCTATCTATATATATAATTCTCCTCTTCGAGCCGTTAGAAAACAAGCTGCAAACGCTCTCCCTACCTCCCCACCCCTACATGGTTTTAGTGAGCTGTGTTCACTCTAAATGTTTACAAGCAGAGCCAACGATTTTAAACGTAGGGGGGGGGGGGGGAGGAGGGGGGGAGGGAAGGAAGGGGGGGGGGTTATGGTCCTTAACGAGCTACTTATAGTGTTTTAAAGAAATATTTTCAGTGTCAGCGTTGGTACTGTCGAATTCACAAATTATGAATTATTGAGAATTTGAAACAACTAAATAGCGGCGTATGTTATGCTGCGGGCCGGCTCGTAATATATAAAAACCTAATTAATTTTTTAGTATGCTAAATTAGTTTGTTACTTGCAAAGGGGCATAACCAAAAAAGACGCGAACACAGAACAAGCTAAGAAGAGTAAGGATTACGGGGAATGGGAAACAATTTTAGCATAATAGTTGACCGTTCTTCTCTCAGTAACTTGATATAATTAAGCTATTAAGTTACGATTTTCAATGATAACGATGAATGAATGTTACCCTAAAAGGTTGAAACATTCGTTCGTTTTATCATCCCATGCAGTTTTATCCTTGGAAACTGACAATAGAACTGAAATCTAACAAAAACCTAATTTAGAAATCATTGAATTTATTTTCATAACTGTGGCATACTTGCTTGTCGATTTTAAAAAAATGACATCGCTATTTACGGAACACTTGCAGGGTTTCTTCCAGGCATCTCTTCTAAGGGTCAGAGCCCCTCCCTTCCCCCCCCCCCCCCCCCCCCCCCCGATAAAAAAAGTCTGGGAGAAACACTGAACACTTGTGCTTGCTATGTCTTAATCGTAATTCTTAACCTAAAGATAAATTAAGGTAGTTTCTAAGTTGATATTTTTCTGTCAATAATAATTTATAATAAATTTAATTTAAAATATTTCTGTATTTTACTTTCTCGTATACGAGCAAAAAATCATGCAAAAAATCGAAATCGAGATTTTCACAAATTTAGACGCTTTACACGCCCAGGAGTCGGAAAAGCTTAGTTTAGCAATTTCGGAGGGGCGTGGTCGAGTCGGAAAAGCTCGTGGTTGTTAAACCGAAAAGTCTCGATTTCGAACCTTCGGGCAGACGAGGCTCGTTAGCTGGGGACAGCCACTATTCTAGGACAAAAGCTATGGAAGAAAAATCAAAAAAGAAAAGCAGGCTGAAATCGAAGTCGATGGCCTCAATGGCACATAACCAGTTGACACGTATACTTAATTGTGTTGGAGGGAATCCCTTCCAACGCTAAAATTAAGAACGAAGAAGAAGAAAGAAGAAGCAAATTTGGTGGTGTGGGTGTGTGTGTTTCTATCTGTGAACACGATAACTTGAGTACCGTTACAGCTAGGCTGAAGAAATTTCATATAAAAGTTTTATAACAAACGAACTGACGCCGCTAATTAAGTTTTTTTTTTCTACTTTTCAGTACTTCATAGTTAGTTAATTCGACACTACCCTCCCTTCTATTCCCCCCCCCCCCCCCCCCCCCCCGAAAGCAGCCGTCCATGACGATAGTTTACGGACGACAATGAAAAGATCAAGCAGAACTTGTTATTACTTTAAAAAGCAAAATTATTTGCCCCTAATAGCCGGCTCTACGATTGTAAACATTCAGGGTGAACCTTAGCTCACCAGAATGGTGGGGGTGGTAGCTATATGCCTAGAGAGCGCGGCAGTAACGGCGTGCGTTTACGTGGTGGTGTCTCGCATGGTCCCCATGAAGAGATAGATTTGCAGTTCTATAACTATATGAACTTTTCAGCTATTTCCCGGAAGTGGAGCTTGGGTTTTTCAAAAGCCTATAACATGAGTACATGAGTACTGTTTCTGATAGACGAAATCTCACATTTAAGTAGATGATCTTTTTACTTATTTTCTATTTCCTAGATTCTTGAAAAGGAGTGGAAAAAATGTTTAAATTTGTTTATTCACTGATGGGGGCAGTTATATATATATATATATATATATATATATATATATATATATATATATATATATATATATATATATATATATATATATGCTTAGACCAGAGTCGTTGCAACCCATTTCGGCGTCCGGGGAAAACTGCCCCCGCTTCCCCCATTTAGGCCTATATAGGCCATTATGGTTATCCACGTTGGCGAAAAACATTTTTTATTTTGGTCTTACACAACTGATGTAGGAAACAGTTAAATAAGACTGTAAAATTGAGTAGCAGTTTATTTTCTCAACTTTGGTAGTTTGTAATTCAGTAAATCACGCCCAAAATTAGCTTTTATTATTTTTAAAATTCTACTTTCTCTGGCCATCCCCAATGGTCGGCACCCGCCCCCTCCCCTAGCTAAACCTCTGGTTTAGACTATATTTATGCAAGTCTAAGCATATAACGTACTGAACAAGCATCACTTTGCACCAGTTGCATAAGCAGGGTAGGGGGAGATAGGGACCAGAACACAACATGACACCTGTTTCAGTTATGTTCTGAATTATGTGTGGACATCAAACAAAAACGCTTTTAGGTATCTACATAATATGTTGAAAGAAAATGTATATAGAGTCTACAAATTACATTTCCAACTAAGGCGAAATTCAAAAAGTAGAAAAGCATAACTGGACCTCATCTCTTGGCCATGCCTAATCATTAGGCTAGTATTAGTAAAGAGCACACTGTGTTCACGGTAGGAGTCGGTATTTAAACATTACTTTTTATTTATTTTCTATTTCCTTGATTCTTGAAAAGTAGTGGAAAAAATGTTTGTTTAAATTTGTTTATTCACTGAAAGCAAATGAACTAGTCTAGGCCTAGATATCAAGATCCATAAGTCCAAGATAGTAGATAAATCTAGAATCTAGTTAGGACTAGAATCTAGATTTCCATCGCCGTTCATTATGTTGTAAATCTCTAAAATAAATGTACAGACGAGATTGACTCCTCAGTGACGGAACCACGACAAGAATCAAGATTGAAGAGAGGTAATCACAGGTATTGAGGTAAAAATCTTGATCTAGAATCTAGATTTCTACTTCTAGATTCTACATGTGATTTTAATTAGAAATTTATGTAGGTCTAATCTAGCTAGATTAACTTTATTAATCCTGATTAATTTAGACAAGAATCAAGATTGAAGAGAGGTAGGCCTAACATTAACAATCAGTGGTATTGACTTAGTCCGCCTTATGTAGTTATGTAGTAATATGTATGTAGTGTAGTAGTATTGAGGTAAAAATCTTGATCTAGCTCTAGATTTCTATATCTTCAGCTATAATGGTATTATTTTTACAGCAGAACATTGCAATTTTTATTAGCCACTATCACTTTAACTATATTAGACGAAGTGTGGCATTTTGTAATTTGTTTACAGGAGGGTAAATATCGGCACAGTTTACAAAACACTGGGTGCATCAAATTCTAAAGAAAGTGCCACCATGAGGGAGGAGGAGGTGGAGGTGGCCATCAAGGTCGTTGTTGTTGGTAATGGAGCTGTTGGAAAATCTAGCATGATTCAACGTTATTGCAAGGGCATTTTCACAAGAGATTACAAGAAAACAATTGGGGTGGATTTTTTAGAAAGACAAATAGAGTAAGTTAAAGATTGGCTGTTATAGTTTATATAGCTAATATAGTTTGCCTATTAAACCTGAACATTTATTATGGTCCACAGATTTAAATGCCTAAGTCAGTTTGTGTGTGTGGGGGGGGGGGGGTCATGTGGATGTCTACATTTTAAATTAACTTTAAAATGCTTGTATGCTACATCACACAACCTAAATGTATACAGAGTGAACAGGTAAGGGTCAAAAATTACAATTGATTTTGTGGATGTGAACAATTGGTGAGCCTCAATACTCAATAAAGCAAGATAAATATAATTGGCAGGGTTGATGGTGAAGATGTGCGTCTGATGTTATGGGATACAGCTGGGCAAGAGGAATTCGATGCCATAACCAAAGCTTATTACAGAGGTCACTTTTACTCTTATTTAGATATTGATACAATAAAAGTAAATTTAACACATGTTTTTTTTAATGGTAACAACTGATAAAGTTTCCTGTTTTAGGTGCTCAAGCTTGTGTCCTGGCATTTTCTACTGTTGACAGGGAGTCATTTGAAGCCATAGAATCTTGGAAAAAAAAGGTTATACAATTATTGTTTTGCATAAAATCTTAGTTTGAAAAATAAAATTATGCTGTTTGAAAAATAAAATCAATCTGTTCAAAAAATAAACTGTTATGATAAGTAAATAACCATGAGGTTGAACAAGTAAAGGCTGACAATATGTTTGATTATTAAGTTATATTACCTATCCACTTTGTATCTAGCAGTATAGGCAAATATATCGGAAATTATGATTGTAGTTACTATATCAAAACACATTAAGTTAAAACAAATTTTGAGCAGCCTATATTTTTAAATATTAGAAAATCATAAGTATGGAATATTTGTGTTACCAAGCATGCCAGGTGTAAAATTAAATATTGCTGAATTATTAGCCACAAGTCTAAATTTAAAAACCACAATATTCATTTTTTCATACATTTTTTATCTGTCAGGTTGAGAATGAAGTGGGAGAAATAGCCATGGTGATTGTACAAAATAAAATAGATCTGATTGATGACGCTCTTGTTCAAACGTAAGTATTGAGTATTTACATTTTAATATATTTCATCTGTGGAATTGTGCAGATAATCTGTACACCGTTATCAAATTGAAATTTAAGTCAGATTGTTTCATTAATTTTTGCTTAATATATTTTAAATCCAGAAATGAAGCAGAAGATCTTGCAAAGAAGCTCAGACTTCGCTTTTACCCCACATCAGTGAAAGAGAATTTAAATGTTGAAGAAGGTAGTTTAAGTTTGTTTTGAGTTCTGTGAAGTTGTGGCTGTGTGCGGCACCGGATTTATGTGTGTTGGGTGTCAGATGTCGAATTTCAGTTTTGACCTAATTATTAAAGTATATCCATTTCTGAATACAAAACCACATAACATATTGTTGGAAAATGGTTATTTTTATTTTAAATTAATTTTTTTGTGAGGCATGTATATGCATGTTTTGTCTAATTTTTCAAAAACACTGCGAAAATTGCCAAAGTTTACTACTATAAAACATACAGATAACTAAAAATAGCTACCGCGTGTTTAGTATCGCCGGAAAGCTCCTTTTCTTGTCTATAACGACAAGGTAAATTTGTCAACCAATGAAAATATTCCATTTAATTTCGAATGTTCAAATGAAACACACTTTTTAAAGAGTTTGACCTACATATACCAAATTTTCCTACTCGGCCTTACCCCAGAAGCAAGGTAAAATTCTATTGGCTGGCGGACTCGGCATTATCAGTGTTAAAATTTTTGATTCGCTAGCTAGTTTATCGCTTCCGGCGTGCCTAGTGATGCACCCATTCTTGTTGTGGATATTCAATCAGCTGTTTACAAACTTTTTAGACAAATCTCATCGTATCAAATGTTTTTGTCGGTTTAATAATGTTTAAACTGTTTAGAAGTATCGTGATTTTATACCAGCCACCATTCTTTGTTGATTCACTGCTACTAGATTTAGTCTACACAAGCTAACGAGAAGAGTAAGCAGTGTTTTACGTGTGTGTGTAGATCTAGTAAGTTATTACACAGCAAGAAATACACTATCACCCTGTGATCGAACCCAAAACAGACTTATCAGATAGAACGATTTTGGTAATAACTTAAGTAATCCCCGGGTGAAGCTGGCCTAAACATGTTACAAGTGTCCTAATGCCTAACAAGGATAACAGAGTACACAACAAACTAGGCTCATGTGTTTTACAGTCTACAGCTGATTATGACAACTACAGCCTTAATTTTGTTTACAAAGAATAGATGCACGGACATCAAGCAGTGAGTATTTCAATATCCATTAAACTATTTGAATTTAAAGATTAATTAGTAGACCTACATATTTTTTTTTGAACATCTTATTTAGGTTAGTAGACCTGTTTGTCATTAGACTCATTAGTGGTTCAGATACTAGCTAGATCTAGATCTAGTTCAAAAGATTTTTATCTCCTCAAACTAATGAATCAAATTCTATTCAGTGATTCTCCTAATCTTATATTCATACAATATATCATTATAGTTTTATGATTACTTTTCTTTTGACATTTGTATATTTTATTAATAAATTCATTTCCCCTATGATTTAGGCCTACAGTGTGTGTTGAAAACCCTACAAGTTGTCCTGGTTCAAGGTAACTTTCCCTACACATAATTTTGTTTCACATAACAATATCTGGAGAAAATGATTGAAGAGCTAGTGACCAAGTGAACTCAGTGAAAGAATATGGCAACTTTTAAATACTGCAAAAAGGAAAATCATATATCCGAGTGACGGTAAACCGCTTTTCAAAATCTTGTTCTGGACCCAAAACAGTTGTAAAATTTATTTATAGCTTATAACTTACAATGATTTTGCAACTTAGTTTAGGATTCAATAAATATTCAATGCAAAATGTGTCTGTGGTAAAGTGTGGTTTTTTTTGTCCACTGAAATAACTTGATGTTCTACTTTCCTTTATAGAATTGACCTTTGCCAAGAGAGAGCCAAGCAGTATGAAACCAGACAATAACTTAGAAAAAGAGCATTTATTTTGGTCAGTGCACAAGTATTAACAGGAAGAGATAAAAAGAGCTGAAGATATGAATAAATCAATTATTATAGTTATAGTGGTAGCAAGGATTTAAAAAAAAACCCATTGAAACATTTTGCCGGATGACTAATCTGGAAAAAGAAAATGCTAGATGGCAGTAAAAAGTAGCAGTTGCCAAAATGAAATGTGAATATGCTTAACTAAATAGAACTGTTAGGTGTGGTTCAGCCCATTTTTTGAAACAGTTTATTTTAAAAAAATAATAATGTTTTTTACCTTTACGTATTTGACGCGTTATCTTTGTACGACAATTTTTTTACTTTATTATTTAAAATGTACTTGCAAGTTTAATACTTCATTGCATGTTTATATGTTAAATAAACCTGCATAAATTAAAACCAAATTTTGTTAGTATTTGTTAGGTTATGAATGAAATTTTTCATTTTTCTTTAGTTTTTTGCGTTTTTCTCAAAACGTTAAAATTCACTCTTCAAATCCCTACTCCTCTGTTAGTTCTGCATGTATTGTAATGAAACTTAGCCTGATTATTCTTCTAACATATATAAACAACTTCTATAAAGCATTTTTTAAAGATTTTTCTTACTTTAGATTTTATGGACTGAAATATGTTGAATTTGAGCAAATTTCAGCTTTTTTTAACAGTCTAGGATTTAAAAATTAAAAATAATTTTTTTAAACCCTTTTCTTAAAAAGTACTTTATAGAAAGTTTCAGGCTAACATCACTCTACAAAATGCTTGCATTTCTGTGTGTTTACCTCTAGTGGTTGCTGAGCCTTAGCATTTTGAAAATGATAAACAAAAATCCAATATGGCGGACGTAACCATGGCAACCAAAAATATTTTTCTTTTTGGACACCATTTTTAAAAATCCCATTGAGCATACATTATATGGGTGAAGTTTCAGTGAATTTGCTTGGCTAATAACAAAAAAGTGTTTTCCCTGTAGCTCCTAGCCTTAAGGATTTGTTTATTGTGTCCTTGTTGAAAGGGTTTGTATATAGTAAAGTTAGTCTGCTGTTGAAGTGTCTTGAGAACTAGTGCGTAAAAATCTGGTTATCTCGGTGTTGTATGTTACAAGTTTATTGATTGGTAGTTTCACCTGTCTTTATTTTGTCTTAGTGTTTAGGTACCTGGCTGGCAAATATCTGGAAAGGTTGAATACAGTGATTGAGCCAGAGACAGGTACTCAGAGAATTGGAGAAGGTAATGCTTGGTGGCTGGTAGTTTCAGCTGTTAGAAATTGAAACTGATTTCCACCTTTTGATATCTTAATGTACTTGATTATTCATCTGGTTACTTGTTTTTTTTTTCTTGAAGTGGGTGACATTCTGTAACCTCTGGTTCAAATAACACTACAGCTTGTATGATCTATTTTATGCATGGATGGGGACCCTTATATTTCTTTACTTATCTGTTTGCTATTTTTGACTGTTTCAGGTTTCATCCATATGGATTCTTCTAACCATAACTCAGACAGAAATACAATCAGCTTACAATCTGGCAAGAAGAGAACGCTGGGTAAAAAGTCAATGTTTACTCACAAGTGTTTGTTATGATATTATTCTTATGCTCTGGTTTTTTAGCTATTTTATGGTAGTTACTGAAATATTTATCTAGTTAAATTAACTTAAAAGATAATAAAAATTTCTTGTATGCCATTAGCACCTCCACAAAGTATAATGTGAAAGAAAATATAGCAAAAGCCTTTTGGTTTATAAAAAAAATTGTCCACTTCTATTGTGTTTTTGTTCCTCTGGAACTTTTTGTTCCTTTGGGACTTAAGAATTAGTGACTTAAATATTATGTTATTGTTCTGCTCTTGCAGGCACATTGTACATTTACACTGCTAGTCCATTAGAGTTGTACAAAAGTTTGTACTGACACAATTTTTTACCAACATTAGTTGCTTAAGGTCACCAACATTACTGCTAGTTTATAGTGGTCCATTTGTTTGTAAGAGTGATGTTAAAATTTGCAAATATTTTTTGTTTATTTTGTAAAAGCCAGTCAGTTAGAGCCAATGTCAAAGGACTTATAAAATCTCTGTTTAACTTGTGATGCCATAGTCTTGCTGTTGATGACTAAAGGAGCTGAGTGTAACCTAGGACTTTGTGTATACCATGTGGTGGTGGACTTATAGTATTATTCTACTTAACTCATTGTTTACTGCTGTACGTGTGGCTCATATTTATTACTGTGTGCTGTTTATTTTTTGTTTTATTATCAACTAACCCTGTTGTTTATTTAAATACCTGTAATCGCAGGGAATCTGAGGATCGTACTTCGCATTTCATTTTTTTTTTTAAATTTGTTTACAAAACTTACTTTGTACTTGCAAGAAATATTTTTTGTTAGTTGCAATACTCGATGCAATTTTATGCTGTTTTAATGTTTAAATTATTGTTAAGACTTAGACACAAATTACTGCTGAATATCTCTTGTATGCAAAAGGTACTTACAATGCAAACATTGTATTGAAATGTATAATTGTATATTTGCTGATTATTACATGGCGCTTTCTAGTTGAGGTTATGCATGACATGTACATTCCATTTTACAAAAACATTTTTAGAACTATTCCATTTACCATTGGTTTTTTTTAAATCTTTGTATATTTTAAAACAATCTCATTACTATTTTTACAGAAAAAAAAATGATTGTAGATTTGAAATATTTTTTTAAACAAAGCAGTTTGATACTGAATATTTTTAATCAAAGTACAAAATAAAATTCAAGTGTAATTGGTAGAATTTTCACTCTGAAAAATAATTGTTCTTTGTAAATATAATATACACTAAATCAGGAGATTCTGCCAATGTGGCATATTTGTATGAATATATTTACAGCTTTTTGGTGTAGGAGTGAAGCAATCTCACAGCTAACTATTTATTCTGTGCTTCTCAACTTTTGCTAATGCAGATCTCTATTTTTTCCTTTACAAGCCTTGTTGTTAAGGTTGAAAAAGGTTGTGATGACAACAAATGAAGTATATTTTACAGGAAGTGATGAGTCCTTTAAACTAAAATTTGTTTCATGTGATCAAGTAACTTCATGTGATGTATACTTCAAATAGGGAAATATTTATTGACAAATGAAAGGTTCAAATTTCGTTTATATGCAATATTATACCAATGCCAAGGTGACCTAGGAGTCAGTGTGGCCCAAGAGTCAGTGTGTAGTTAGCACCACCTAGTAGCCGCACCTGACGACTCCATAGTCCAACACTGTCCACAATTTGTGATATTTTAAACATTGCTTTAAGAAACTACCATATGTGAACAAAAAATTGTTATACGAGTAAATACATCAAAAATAGATTGTGATAGCAATAATTACCTTGCTTCTTATATAATCTTCCCTAGGCCAGAAAAGCCAAGTATAATTTCATGTTTTTTATCATGTATCAGTGATCTCTTGCCAGTGGTCCAAACTTTGTACTTAATTTGTACTTAACTAAGTATTTTTAAATTGGTTATTATAACAAGCTGGTCAACATTTTTTTTATGGTTCAGTCATGGGAGTGGGAGGTTATTTTTTATGTTGATTTTTTAATTATACAGATTGATCTGTTTAACACATTTGATTGTAACATTATCTGGCAGCCTAGGTTTTTTTTGCTATGTTAATCAAAATGGGTGGCCACTGGAAGTTGCAGCCAAATGTAAATGTATGTCAGCATCAGACTGGGGTGGTGGGCTAGTTGTTATCATGTATTTGCTTAACCTGTTAATCCTTTTTTTTTCTCATTTTTCTTGCTTTAATGGAGTCTTAAAATAAGAAAACATTTATTGTTATCATTGTGCAAACATCTTTATATTCTTTAAAAAAGGATGTAATTTAAAAAGAGCAAAACCCTGTCTACTTACAGTCCTCATAGATTTACTGCTGTATTTTTAAAGCTCATATTGTTGAGGGGTGGACTTTTGTTTTGACTTGTATCTTTAAATGATTTTATTTTAAATTACTTTTTATCTGTTTCTTATGACTGTCAGTTTTTAAGTTGTTTTTTCTTTGCCAAAAATAGTTTACACCTTCATGGTTTTCTTGTGTCCAGAGGAAAATTTTTTACAGAGAAATTTTTTTGATATTACTTTCTATTGTTGACCATTCACTTCACCCTGTATAAATGAAAATATAGGCCTACTGCTCCTTGTATGACTGACAATATACAGCTACTTATATTACCGACCAATTACTGCTGATTTACTCTCATACTTTTATAGTCATAAAATTTTTATAAAAAATTGTCTTATTTTATTTGTAAAAGTGTTGTGAAAGAGAATATTTCTGAACTGTTACTTAACGTATTCAAGGAAGTTTGAAACCACATTCAACTAGGTGTTTTGACCCGAGGTCATCCAGTTCAATGTTTTCACTTTTTATGTTCGTGTATACAGATTATAGAGGAAGTATAATAATCATGCTGAATAATTAACAGATATTTTGACATTTTTACCATCTTACACCTTCCTACTTTATCAGAAGCCAAATTTAAAAAAGATTTATTGGAACTGAAAAATGTAAACATGACATTTTGACAGCTTTTAATGCTTTAAAACCTTCCAGAGCCGGAAAACTTAGCTTTGCAACTATGTCTGTCTGTATGTAGGTTGACGCAATTTCTGGTAACCGGAAGTGGTACTTTATCTATTCCCGGTTTCTCAAAAGCCTATTACTTAGGTAGATGAAATTTCACATATACATATTACATTGTATGTGCAGCTTTCTTTCAACTTTTGAATGATTTCCTGAAACCGTGTTACTTTACTCTGTGTGAACATGATAATTTAAGAACTGTTTCAGTTAGGTAGATGAAATTATAAGTATTATTAAGTATAATATGTTTGATCACTTTCAATAGTGACCTCCAAAAATCGGAAGTGGTACTTTACTCCTTATCTGGTTTATAAAATAACGACAATTTGAGCACTGTTTCGCTTAGATGGACGAGCTTTTATACATACTATAAGATCTTATTCTCTTGATGATTTTAAATGTTGATTGATTTCCGGTGACCTAAAGTAGTACTTGACGCTATTTCCTATGTCTCAAAAAATATAATTTCTACCAGCTCGATTTCTTTGCGTTCACGTGGTCCGTAATTTCTATTCTTTTTTTAAAAATTAAGTATAAAAAAACAATTTTAAAGTGCCACCCTCCTAACTGATACTATTAATACTGTTATATAATAGAGCTAGAGTGATCTCCCCTAAACTTTCTCGAATATACTTATATAACACCGCAGGGGAAGGCAACTTGGGATATAGACATGATTTTTAATCAATTTTTTTATTACTTATAGAATATCATAGAAAAAAGAATTGCGCATAGCAAACAATGTTTGTTTAATAGTATTGAATATTAGTACTTTATATGCTTTTTTTTTTAGAAATCGCAAAAAGCGTAAAGTACTACTTCCGGTCAACGAAAATCGCTCAAAATTTGACAGAAGGTAAAGAATTAGATATTTTACTTATAAATGAAATTTCATCTATCTATCTGAATTAGTACTCAAGATAGGCTTTTGAAAAACCAAAAGTAGAAAAGTTGATACAGAACTACAAATTTCATATAGATCTTATACTTGTATATAAAATTTCATCTACCAAGCAGTAATAAGTTATCGTTTTCACAGACATACACACAGAAACATACGGACGAATACAATACTACTTCCTCTATACTCCCTATACGAGAAAGTAAAAACACTCGAGAAAGTTAAGGGGAGATCATTATTAGTATTAGTTTAAAGGGAGGGAATCTGACCCTAAAAAAAAACCTGATTGACATAATTTTAATAAGGGAATTTCTAATAGCCAGCACTTCACATACTGATCTGGAAAACGTATAGGCCTACTGTTTCAAACAATATTCTTCGAAAGACAATTTTCAATAACTTTAAAAAAAAAGACGTCCCCTCACTCCTGAAAAATAACAAGTAGAGTTTATATTACTTTCATTAGATATATGAACAGATGTCTATGTGTCTGCCTAATGGTAAATGTTTTATATTTTAATGGTAGGTGCGTCCTCTAACTATCAGGCTAAAATGTATTTTACTAGGCTTTCATTTTGTTGCGCCCTTCTCATCCAGGAATAACACGCTGAACATTCTCCGCCGCTGCCTAACTAAACAATACAAGTTGCCAGGTAAACAAAAACAAGCCAGACATTATTGAAGCCAAAATATTTTTTTATGTACACAACAGTCAAATTTGGCACAACGGGTTTGAATTTTAAAATTTTGCTTTTTTTTTTACATTATTTTATTGTTTTGTTAGAAAATAACAGGTTTTTACTTTTTGTTTAAAAAATTTAAGGGGTGCTTTACCATTTCATGTAGTGTAGTAGTAATGGAGAGCAATGTTTAATGACATTCTTTAATCTGTATTCTTTTAAAGAGGAAAACAATCTGCTTTTGTTTTTGAATGGTCAGACGAACACAATGTAACATTATAATACAGTAGTAAGCTGTTATCGGTACAATTTAGAATGGATTCATTCACACTTTTTAAAAACTTCATTGCTGTATCACTAAAATATGTCGCAGTTTTTTTTTTTTTACAATGGTGTGGGGGAGGCGGGGGGGGGGGGGGGATAGAAAATTCCTAACAAATAGCCGTACTCCAACCGGCTCCCGATCCTACACCAGTGAAAGGTATTTTGACGTCATGATTTCCCGCCTGGAAAAAAAAACATCTCCACACTTTCACAATAAGTTACACTATAACACGGAGCTCTCTCTCATAGAGTCTTCCACACAAAAAATGCATCACGTGCCTAGAGGCTAATGGGGTGGGTGTCCGAGTTGTGTGACGGCGAGCCACTTGGGATAAGGCGTGAGTTTTTACTGCAAAAAAAAACGTAAACAACATCAACACGTAAATTGTCTTCAGTAAATGGGGGGGGGGGGGGGGGGGGTGAAGTCTGACTTTCTTGTGAGGGGTTTGCGATATCATCGACTAAAACTAACTGAGGTCACACATGGACACCTATATCTAATAGTTTTCAGCATGAATCAAGATGATTGCGAGAAAAGATAGGTACAAAAGCAAGATAACTGCAACATAGTTGTGCATTAATTAAGCACTCACAAATTATTAGTACACATCCTGTACATGTTAAATCAATCTGTTTTAATTAGGACAGTTTTAAATTAAGCAGTGTTTGACAGAGGCGTAGCGACGGGGAGAGGGGGTACATATGTCCCCGGGTGCCAACCTTAGGGGCGCCAAAATAAGTTAGAAAAAAATTAAAAGCTCATTTTGGCTGCATTTTTTAATTATAAATATAAAAAATATATGGGTGGGGGGGGGGGGGCAAATTGAAAGTTTATCCCCGGGCGCCGGGAGGGGTCGCTACGCCTCTGGTGTTAGATCATTTCAAGGTGTTTCGTCTAACAACGAACACGTCCAATATGATTCACTGACGCCTGTGGATCAAAGGGCAACAACCACATCTCTAGATTCCCTTAGCTAGATTCATATCACTAGATCTATATTGTTTTTTGCTTCCAATGTCACTCTTAGCCAACCCTTTCCTTTTCGTTTGGTAGACCGGAAACCATTGTAACGACCTAATGGTACAACCATCGTAGTAACGAGGTTTCGCGGAAAATGCGTGTTACCTGCAAGTTTCAACCAATCATGTCTCCCTGTTTCTTGGAGTCGGCATCTTCACTCAAATTGAACCAGAATAACATAAATATTTAACACATTATAATTGGCACATGTTTTTCTTTACACTGTTTACAATTACATGTAGCTTTAAAAAAAAAGTCTAAACAGTAACTGGCATTTCACTAGGGTTATTTGAACACGGTCGCATTTCCTTAATAGCTATAAATAAAACAATAGAATTTAATTAAGCTCGCGTCTTCTTGCGACATAATAATTTCAGGTCGCCCACTTCTCACTTCTGATTTCAATACATCCAAAAGAAAAAGTACGGAGATGCAGAGACAGTAAGTAGATAGAAACATTTGTAAATGCACTCCGAGTATATAAACAATGTTCCAAGTAAGTCTATAAGCTAGCGTCATGTAGGCCTAAACTCTTTGACGGAATTGTTAACTTATTGTCAGTATTGTTAAGCTTCCTCGTCAGGAATTGTTAACTTATTGTCAGTATTGTTAACTTATTGTCAGGAATTGTTAACTTATTGTCAGTATTGTTAACTTATTGTCAGGAATTTTTAACTTAGTGTCGATATTGTTAACTTATTGTCAATATTGTTAACTTAGTGTCAGTATTGTTAACTTAGTGTCAGTATTGTTAACTTAGTGTCAGTATTGTTAACTTAGTGTCAGTATTGTTAACTTAGTGTCAGTATTGTTAACTTAGTGTCAGTATTGTTAACTTAGTGTCAGTATTGTTAACTTAGTGTCAGTATTGTTAACTTAGTGTCAGTATTGTTAACTTAGTGTCAGTATTGTTAACTTAGTGTCATTATTGTTAACTTAGTGTCAGTATTGTTAACTTAGTGTCATTATTGTTAACTTAGTGTCAGTATTGTTAACTTAGTGTCAGTATTGTTAACTTAGTGTCAGTATTGTTAACTTAGTGTCAGTATTGTTAACTTAGTGTCAGTATTGTTAACTTAGTGTCAGTATTGTTAACTTAGTGTCAGTATTGTTAACTTAGTGTCAGTATTGTTCACTTAGTGTCAGTATTGTTCACTTAGTGTCAGTATTGTTAACTTAGTGTCAGTATTGTTAACTTAGTGTCAGTATTGTTAACTTAGTGTCAGTATTGTTAACTTATTGTCAGTATTGTTAACTTATTGTCAGGAATTGTTAACTTATTGTCAGTATTGTTAACTTATTGTCAGGAATTTTTAACTTATTGTCGATATTGTTAACTTATTGTCAATATTGTTAACTTAGTGTCAGTATTGTTAACTTAGTGTCAGTATTGTTAACTTAGTGTCAGTATTGTTAACTTAGTGTCAGTATTGTTAACTTAGTGTCAGTATTGTTAACTTAGTGTCAGTATTGTTAACTTAGTGTCAGTATTGTTAACTTAGTGTCAGTATTGTTCACTTAGTGTCAGTATTGTTCACTTAGTGTCAGTATTGTTAACTTAGTGTCAGTATTGTTAACTTAGTGTCAGTATTGTTAACTTAGTGTCAGTATTGTTAACTTAGTGTCAGTATTGTTAACTTAGTGTCAGTATTGTTAACTTAGTGTCAGTATTGTTAACTTAGTGTCAGTATTGTTAACTTAGTGTCAGTATTGTTAACTTAGTGTCAGTATTGTTAACTTAGTGTCAGTATTGTTAACTCGGTGTCAGTATTGTTAACTTAGTGTCAGTATTGTTAACTTATTGTCAGTATTGTTAACTTATTGTCAGTATTGTTAACTTAGTGTCAGTATTGTTAACTTATTGTCAGTATTGTTAACTTATTGTCAGTATTGTTAACTTAGTGTTAGTATTGTTAACTTATTGTCAGTATTGTTAACTTAGTGTTAGTATTGTTAACTTAGTGTCAGTATTGTTAACTTATTGTCAGTATTGTTAACTTAGTGTTAGTATTGTTAACTTATTGTCAGTATTGTTAACTTAGTGTCAGTATTGTTAACTTAGTGTCAGTATTGTTAACTTAGTGTCAGTATTGTTAACTTATTGTCAGTATTGTTAACTTATTGTCAGGAATTGTTAACTTATTGTCAGTATTGTTAACTTATTGTCAGGAATTTTTAACTTATTGTCGATATTGTTAACTTATTGTCAATATTGTTAACTTAGTGTCAGTATTGTTAACTTAGTGTCAGTATTGTTAACTTAGTGTCAGTATTGTTAACTTAGTGTCAGTATTGTTAACTTAGTGTCAGTATTGTTAACTTAGTGTCAGTATTGTTAACTTAGTGTCAGTATTGTTAACTTAGTGTCAGTATTGTTCACTTAGTGTCAGTATTGTTCACTTAGTGTCAGTATTGTTAACTTAGTGTCAGTATTGTTAACTTAGTGTCAGTATTGTTAACTTAGTGTCAGTATTGTTAACTTAGTGTCAGTATTGTTAACTTAGTGTCAGTATTGTTAACTTAGTGTCAGTATTGTTAACTTAGTGTCAGTATTGTTAACTTAGTGTCAGTATTGTTAACTTAGTGTCAGTATTGTTAACTTAGTGTCAGTATTGTTAACTCGGTGTCAGTATTGTTAACTTAGTGTCAGTATTGTTAACTTATTGTCAGTATTGTTAACTTATTGTCAGTATTGTTAACTTAGTGTCAGTATTGTTAACTTATTGTCAGTATTGTTAACTTATTGTCAGTATTGTTAACTTAGTGTTAGTATTTTTAACTTATTGTCAGTATTGTTAACTTAGTGTTAGTATTGTTAACTTAGTGTCAGTATTGTTAACTTATTGTCAGTATTGTTAACTTAGTGTTAGTATTGTTAACTTATTGTCAGTATTGTTAACTTAGTGTCAGTATTGTTAACTTAGTGTTAGTATTGTTAACTTATTGTCAGTATTGTTAAGCCTCCTCGTCAGGGATGCTCTCAAGCATGGGCGACTTGTCACGCATGGGTGACCTCTCTCTCTGGTACAGCCCTCTTGACGGCCCCAGCTCTGAGCTCAGGCCTCGTGAAGGCCCAAACTCCGAGCTCAAGCAGCCCTTTGTCCCTACTGGGTGTTCCCTGGCATCCTCAGACTCGCTGATTAAATTCTCCGTGGTCTCGTCGGGAATAATTGGCACTCTCCCCAGGAGGGTGCCCGCGGCGGCCGCAGCGAAGGCGGCAGTGGCTAAAGCGGGCGGCGGGCGCGTCGCCTTGGTAACGATATTGGTCGCTGTCTGACACGTCTGCTTGACTTCTGAATTCCTCTGCAGGTACTCGTCGTAGTAGTCGACTTCCGTGCCCTCCCGCCGCTGTCGCTTGATCTGGGTGATGATGAGCGTCATCAAGGCCGTGGCGTAGAAGACGATGACGATGATGACGTAGAGCAGCTCGTTCAGCTGACTGTCCTTGAAGGCCTCGTGCGGCCCCACGCCGATGTGCGTGCTGTTGATGACGATGATGTGCTGCTGCTCCGAGAGGTGGATGTTCAGGATGCTGCCGTTCAGGACCATGATCTGGGACTGACCTCGGGGCGAGAACTTGGACATTGTGGTCGGCTGGTCAGTCTGGAAGAAAATAAAATGGGCTGATCAGTCTGAAAGAAAAATAAGTTTGGCTGATGAATATGTCTATTGAGTACGTCTATTAATAGGTACTATTAACGCACATATGGAAACCACGTGACGCCATATTTAATGTAAGTAAACATATAGTGCAGTGGCGTCTTCTGATGTGAAACCCGATGTTGTGACCAGTAGCGTAGCGAGGGGGGGCGACATATGTCCCCGGGCGCCGACCTTGGGGGCGCCAAAATGGGTTGGAAAAATAAATTGAAAGGTTGAGGGGGGTGTAAATTGAAAGTTTGAGGGGGGGGGGGTGCAAATCAAAATCTTGAGGGGGGTGCAAATCGAAAGTTTGAGGGGGGGGGGGGGTGCAAATCGGAAAGTTTGTCCCCGGGCGCCGGGAAGGGTCGCTACGCCTCTGGTTGTGACTAAGCGTGTGACCCACCTTTATACACGTACCAACACGATATTTACTTGTAGCTAGTACAAACCCTTCTTGTTAATTGAGACACTGGAAACAACAAATCATTAAATAGAGCTCCAGGTTGATCAGGTATGTTTTAATGCATGATGAAAAACATTACTGAGACCATAAAAACATGAAAATTATTTTTTTTTAAAACAGAAAGTAATATTTTCTATTTGAAAGTGAAAAAGTGGTAAAACGGGCAACCATATATCACTAGTCAGTGACGGCCCTAGGTTTACTGTGGCACTGGAATCGATAACGTATAGCAGAACGATTTCTCTTGCCCGGACCTTCTGTGGAAAATCTATCAGGGAGTTCTATCTTCATACAGGCTGTCGGGCTGTTGTTCTTAATCCTGGCTGTACGGTTGTTGGTCTTAATCTTAATCCTGAATGTTGATTTTAATCCTGGCTGTATGGATGTTGTTCTTAATCCTGGCTGTACGGTTGTTGGTCTTAATCTTAATCCTGAATGTTGATTTTAATCCTGGCTGTATGGATGTTGTTCTTAATCCTGGCTGTATGGTTGTTGGTCTTAATCTTAATCCTAGCCGTTTTTTGTTTTAATCCTGGCTGTATGGCTGTTGTTCTTAATCCTGGCTGTATGGTTGTTGGTCTTAATCTTAATCCTAGCCGTTTTTTGTTTTAATCCTGGCTGTATGGTTGTTGGTCTTAATCTTAATCCTAGCCGTTTTTTTGTTTTAGGGGACATGGATGACCATTAGGGGACATGGGTGACCATTAGGGGACATGTGTTACCATAAGGGGACATGTGTTACCATTAGGGGACATGTGTTACCATTAGGGGACATGTGTTACCATTAGGGGACATGTGTTACCATTAGGGGACATGTGTTACCATTAGGGGACATGTGTTACCATTAGGGGACATGTGTTACCATTAGGGGACATGTGTTACCATTAGGGGACATGTGTTACCATTAGGGGACATGTGTTACCATTAGGGGACATGTGTTACCATTAGGGGACATGGATGACCATTAGGGGACATGGGTGACCATTAGGGGACATGTGTTACCATTAGGGGACAAGTGTTGCCATTAGGGGACAAGTGTTACCATTAGGGGACATGGGTGACCATTAGGGGACATGTGTTACCATTAGGGGACAAGTGTTGCCATTAGGGGACAAGTGTTACCATTAGGGGACATGGGTGACCATTAGGGGACATGGATGACCATTAGGGGACATGTGTTACCATTAGGGGACAAGTGTTGCCATTAGGGGACAAGTGTTACCATTAGGGGACATGGATGACCATTAGGGGACATGGATGACCATTAGGGGACAAGGATGACCATTAGGGGACAAGTGTTACCATTAGGGGACAAGTGTTACCATTAGGGGACATGGGTTACCATTAGGGGACATGTGTTACCATTAGGGGACATGTGTTACCATTAGGGGACATGTGTTACCATTAGGGGACATGTGTTACCATTAGGGGACATGGGTGACCATTAGGGGACATGGATGACCATTAGGGGACATGTGTTACCATTAGGGGACATGTGTTACCATTAGGGGACATGGATGACCATTAGGGGACATGGATGACCATTAGGGGACATGGATGACCATTAGGGGACAAGTGTTACCATTAGGGGACAAGTGTTGCCATTAGGGGACAAGTGTTACCATTAGGGGACATGGGTGACCATTAGGGGACATGGGTGACCATTAGGGGACATGTGTTACCATAAGGGGACAAGTGTTACCATTAGGGGACATGGGTGACCATTAGGGGACATGGGTGACCATTAGGGGACCCCTCACACACACACAGATCATAGCTGTGTGGAACAACTCACACACAGACACACACTACTACACAATCCGTCACTCAAAGTTAAGATAGAACTCAAGCAGAAACATCACCTTACGCTAACACGTAAAACACACAGCTACATTCATCACTGTTCGAACTTTCCTTTGGAAAAAAAACTGTTTCGGTGAAAATAACAGCGTGGCCAGGTTTACAAACACAGGTAAACCTCAGCACAGAGCAGACGTACAGATAACTGTAGCAGATCCCACGGGAACCAATCAATAGCCAGAGCTTTGCAGCATGTTAGTTTCCGATTTATGCAAAATTTCATTAAGACATGGCTTGTGGCTATTGTCAGGGGCCAGTACTCGCTTTCCCGCCACACGATTTGTCGAACCTGAAGCTCGTGTAGGGTATTTTGGAAAGGGGAGGGGAGCATTAATTAATTACAGTCTTCGATCAACAATTGGGCGTGCCTTATCAGTAACTGGTTTGCCATTTTAAGATAAAGTTCTATATAAGAAATTCGTTTCCATGGAGATTTTGATGTGATGTTTGGCAAACAATTACTCCCGTTAACTCGCCAGATAAATTTGTCTTCATTTGACTTCAAATTTCTTAGGACTATATTTAGGGGTATTTTTCAATTGTTATTTACGTGTACGGAAATAAATGAAGAAAAAGTTGAAAATTCGATAAAGCTTTTTGATGCTCAAGCTGAAGATTTTTGTTTAAAACCAAACAAAATACCATGTCACGTAATATCTTATCACGTGATGTCTAGCACATTACGTCTGGTCTTGTGATGATCACCACGTGATGTCTAACACATCATGTCTGGCTGTAATGTCCAACATTTTACATTAACGCTTTTAATTTATTAATTACTGGTCATTTAGCCCCCTCCCTCCTTCCCCCCCCCCCCCTCCCCATGACTTGAAACTGTTGTCGCCCAGCTTCTCACCAGGAACCTCTACTGCCGTCTGACGCACGACTGAGAGAAAGTTGTTTGTTTCAATTATTCAATGATTAACACAGGCCGCGTCTAGTTAAATCAACATTATCATTGGCTGAGATACTGAGTACAAACGAACCTCGTCAACTGGACAAACAAGATTGTTTTTTTAACTAGCTCGTGTGTGTGATTTAAGATAAATGCGATGCAATATTAAATAGAAAAAACAGGGCAACTATTTAGTTCTACAATAAAATAAGAATTATATTGCTCTAATCTTTGATGAAGCGGCCAATCAACACCAAATTAAAAAAAATTAAGATTTTGAGTCAACAACTAATGTGTCAGTGAAGGTTATCAGGGCGGCAAAAGGCTGAAAGTTTCAAAAATTAGAGAAAGGAAAAAACTTCACAGACGTAAAGTTAACTTAATGTTTGTTCAATGTTGTCACGGGGAATCACCCGCTATGATGGCCCAGTGAGACGATCTACAGGGGAGGCAAATCGTGTTATTAGATAAAGGGAAAGAAATCAATTTTAACCTGTCATATTGTCAGACAGGCAACTAAAATAAACATGGATCTGCCCACACTGATGTAAAGCTCTCTATACATCGAGGGTTCTGTCAGAATTTTAGGACGTATGACGTTATAATTTGAAACATTTAGGGACGTACGATATAACTTGAAACATTTAGGGACGTACCTTATAACTTGAAACATTTAGGACGTATGATACTACTTGAAACATTTAGGGACGTACGATATAATTTGAAACATTTAGGGACGTACGATATAATTTGAAACATTTAGGGACGTACGATATAATTTGAAACATTTAGGGGCGTACGATATAACTTGAAACATTTAGGAACGTACGATATAATTTGAAACATTTATAACTTGAAACATTTTGGGACGTACGATATAACTTTATAAGCTTGAGAGACGTACGCTATAACTTGGAACAACAAAAATCAGAAAGTTCCATTCACATAACTTTTAAATTAGTTGAGCTCCTTATCTCTTTTAGCTTAGCAACAGCTATCGGACCTCTTTTTGTTTGGCGGTTGTACAAAACATCTAGGAGTTTATGAGCTCACGGTAGTCTAACGAGAGCTAAAGGAACTTAAAGCTCGCTCTCTCGTGTTGTTTACCATATCTGTCTTGGATATTGGTGCAAAGCTCTGTTCGGAGGGAGACGCTAAATTTGTGTCAGAATGTGTGTCCACGGCTAGTTTTGCCCTAAATCGCCACCCACTTTGTTGTTAACTGAGGGCATCATGTTCCTTGCCGCAGTAGACGCTGGTATGTATTGGCCGTCATATTAAAAAAAAACATCAGTGTATTATAAGTTCACTGTCTGAATGGGCCTATCGTGAAGTTGCATCACGTTTTGAATACAATCGTTAACGTTGTTACAGTTCCTGTAAAACATTCCGCGTATGAAAGAAACAATCAAATGGCAAGATCCAGGGTCAAATTGATATCAGTGGTCTTAGAAAAATGGACGGTCTATACATTTACATAATATAACAAGTCCCATGTAATGACTTAAATATTAAACTTCTCCGCGTCTATTATAAGCACACACACAAGCACGTGCACGTATACACGTGCTGGACATTACCCCCCCCCCCCCCCCCCCCCGTAGATTACATCCTGTTGGCCATCCCTTCCAATCTGCCACTCCCCGACAGATCAATTGACAGCGGGTAATTGACGGGGGGGGGGGGGAACTAATTGCAGGAAGGAGCGACCGGGGCTAATTGACAGGAAAGTATAGATAAAAACAACCTAGCCCATGCCCGCCCCAGCCTGAAAGTCTGGATCCGCCTATGAATCTGGGCATCGCAATATCGACGATGTTCTGCGGCACGGTCGCATTCAGACGGACATGGTCTCAATAACCAGATGCACACAATCTCAAATCTCCGGGTAAAAGATCTATAACGATCGCTGTCTGGCTAAAAATATAACAGCAACTGAAAGGCTTCACCCATGTGTCATCTATGAGCTTGAATCCCTCTAACACTATTATCTCACGCTCAAATATTTTTTTTTAATCCCTAAAATCAACACTCCTTGCAAAAATACTGATTTTATTTTTATTTTATATTTTTAAAATATTTTTTTGCAAGACGGCGTGCAACTGCACAAAGAAATTATGTTATTGTTGTTGTTTTTTTATTGAGATAAAAAGATTTATATTTAATGAAAAGTAAAAATAACGATTGTGTTGCGAGAATAGCTCGGCTTTGTGTGAATGTAACTCGAATTTTTTTAGAAGCAACAATCAAACGTTTCTTTCGTTTAGCAATAAAATTAGAGTTATATTTATATAGCCTACTCATCAATATAAGGTAGAGCAGAAAGGGCAGCTCAGGACATTACAGCACGAAATGCTTAGGGCACTGAGGCATTAGAACATTGAGGGGGACCAAGGCATCAAGGCATTCACTGCTAGATCTAGTAGTAAACATGGTCAACAATATAGTATGGCCAATAAAAGCTTTGTCAACGGCAAGAGTGGATAGGGGCAAGCATGGATAGAGGCAAGCATGGATAGAGGCAAGCATGGAAAGAGGCAAGCGTGGATAGAGGCAAGCAGAGGCAAGCATGGATAGAGGCAAGCAGAGGCAAGCGTGGATAGAGGCAAGCAGAGGCAAGCATGGATAGAGGCAAGCATGGATAGAGGCAAGCTTGGATAGAGGCAAGCATGGATAGAGGCAAACATGTATAGAGGCAAGCATGGATAGAGGCAAGCATGGATAGAGGCAAGCATGGATAGAGACAAGCATGAATAGAGGAAAGCATGGATAGGGGCAAGCATGGATAGAGGCAAGCATGGAAAGAGGCAAGCGTGGATAGAGGCAAGCAGAGGCAAGCATGGATAGAGGCAAGCATGGATAGAGGCAAGCTTGGATAGAGGCAAGCATGGATAGAGGCAAACATGTATAGAGGCAAGCATGGATAGAGGCAAGCATGGATAGAGGCAAGCATGGATAGAGACAAGCATGAATAGAGGAAAGCATGGATAGAGGCAAGCATGGATAGAGGCAAGCATGGAAAGAGGCAAGCGTGGATAGAGGCAAGCAGAGGCAAGCTTGGATAGAGGCAAGCATGGATAGAGGCAAGCTTGGATAGAGGCAAGCATGGATAGAGGCAAGCATGGATAGAGACAAGCATGGATAGAGGCAAGCATGGATAGAGGCAAGCATGGATAGAGACAAGCATGAATAGAGGAAAGCATGGATAGAGGCCAGCATGGATAGAGGCAAGCGTGGATAGAGGCAAGCATGGATAGAGGCAAGCATGGATAGAGGCAAGCATGGATAGAGGCAAGCATGGCTAGTGGAAAGCATGGCTGTGACATGTATAGCTTTTGGTAGGCAAGACCAATGCAAACTGCAAGAATAACCAATGACAAATATTGCCGACGTCAAGCATGGCCGACCCCAATAAACAGAGATTAGCCCGCTGACGTGTTATAAATTAGGGTCGATAATAATCAGCATCGATTTTTCACGGCATCGCTACTCATCATATAATTGAACATATCCTGCTCCATAGTCGCTGATACCCCGCCACACAGGTCAACTTGCCTGATACACCGCCACACCACCGCCACACGGACTGGTCAACCTGCCTGATAAACCGCCACACGGACAGGTCAACCTGCCTGATACACCACCACACGGACAGGTCAACCTATCTGATACACCGTCACATCACAACCACACGGACAGGTCAACCTGCCTGATACACCACCACACGGACAGGTCAACCTGCCTGATACACCACCACACGGACAGGTCAACCTGCCTGATACACCACCACACGGACAGGTCAACCTGCCTGATACACCACCACACGGACAGGTCAACCTGCCTGATACACCACCACACGGACAGGTCAACCTGCCTGATACACCGCCACACGGACAGGTCAACCTGCCTGATACACCACCACACGGACAGGTCAACCTGCCTGATACACCACCACACGGACAGGTCAACCTGCCTGATACACCACCACACGGACAGGTCAACCTGCCTGATACACCACCACACGGACAGGTCAACAGGCACGTTCCTTGACAGCAAAAAAAAAAAAAAACCTAGCAGCGAATATCTGGCTTCGTAAAACTAATTACATTAAACTAATATCAACTAATTATATTCATTGATTTCTTTATCATTGATATTGAATTTTGAGTCATCTTTTTTTACATTACATTTTCTTGTTAAAGCCTTCAATGGCTTGTGCTGGCATTTACACGAATCACGAAAGAAAAACCTTGACCTAATCTATTTTTGGCTTGTTCTAATGTCCAAAACAAAGGCTTCTTTTTCCATCAACTTCTTTCACTATTCTAAGGCCTTTTAAAAGATTTTGATGCATGAGCATTCTATAGCTTCTACAAACATTTTTTATAGTAAATTAGATTAGTGCCGCGGCGATGTTTTGCTGACATTATTTTGTTGCTTGATAGTTTTATCTTTGTTGCTTTAGCAGCGGGTATTTAGAAACTCCACTTCAGAACCTTGCTCTAAAAATATCACATGTTGTTCCTGACACTGCCATTGGGTCAGTCACTCGATTTGTCATTAGTAAACGTCACATGCTTCTTTCAAATTGATTTCATTATTTATGGAAAAACATTAGGGGCTAAATCCAAATACTTGACATGGCCACTTAAAAATTTGTTTCCAAAATCACAATCAGAAACTTTCCCAAATGAATTAATTTTTATTCGATGGGTTAAAAAAAATTGCATCCGCCTGGCCTAGATTAGGTGGTATAGAGACGCTTTTTACATCTGACAAAAGTCCGAACTGCCCCTCCCCCTAGAGTGTTACGTTACGTTATTTATGGACGACCTTCTTCCCCCCCCCCCTCACCCATGACTTTAAAAGCTGTCGATGTGACACAGGTCTTTGCAGAATAACGTTTAAGGTACGCTTGAATTCGTACTTGGAGGTAATATCAAGCCAAGATATAAAAAGATTGATGGTTGTAGAAAATATTCGGATGGATGAATGGATAAACGTGAAAACAAGAGTATGACTCTAAAACCAGGTACCGGGTACAAAAACAAACTGAATGCGCCAATCTAATTGTAAACAAGAGAAAACACTAACCCGCAATCCTCTAGCGCGCATGCGTCAAAGCAAATGAGTTTTCTCACCCGACGGTTCACGTCATCAAAAGATTTGTTTAACGGAATCCGACCAGCGCGGTAAATAGACAACACGTTAGTTGCGTGCAGCTTAATGACACGGTGAAATCAAATAAAGGACCCACCACCATTTTGTATTCTCGGGGGTTCGAGACACGCTAAAGTGTAACCCGCCTCGCGTTTTTTAAAAATATCCTCTGACCCGCCTTGTATTGATGGAATATTTCAGGTCGTGCTGTGCAAAAGATTACGAGATTTAACTTCCCAATTCTATTTCTAGCTCTGCAGGGGATAAAAATGTAAAACAGCTTGCAATAGCTATTGGGAATACGTTGCCTGTTGTTTTTTCAGCACTATGTAATTAGTGTATTTCGAATCTCTCAGAGCTATTTTAAGAAAGTCAATGTAAGCAGGCCTATTTTGGAGTAGTCGATATAAGCGGGGCTATTTTAGGGTAGTCAATGTAAGCGGGACTATTTTAGAGTAGCCGATGTAAGCGGGACTATTTTAGGGTGGTCAATGTAAGTGAGAATATAAAGGTTTACGATATTAGCAGGGCAATTTTAAGACAGTCGATGTAATTGTAAACAGACTACATTTGAGGTAGCCGAAAAAATGGGCTACGTTTGATGTAGCCGAATGTCGGGCTACATTTGAGGTAGCCAAAATGCTAGACTACTTATGAGGTAGCCAGGGTAGGGGTTACATAAAAGTTGGATGAATGTGACGATGTTACAAGTGTGCCTATGTTTGTAACAACACTATCCGGGCAATCAAATCTTGTTTTTAAACTACAATTAACCCAGGATGTAGACCTATAACTATAACTAAAGAGTCACGTGATCTTACCACAGTCGTCATTACTAAACACGCGCACACACACACACACACACACACACACACACACACGCGCGCGCGCGCACACACACACACACACACACACAAACACACTCATCACTAGAGGCTCTTACAAATGTGTTTAATCAACGACACGGAGTAATTGAACAGTATCGATACACAAAGTATTACTTACTCCCCCCATCCCCCCTCCAGCCTCGTCCCCGACCAATCCTGTCCCACGTGACAGGCGCGATGTACACGTAGCAGTGATAAATGACGTCACTGTGATGGTATAAATACGGGTTTTACAATTCACATCTCTACTGACGTGAGCATTATAAAATAAAACACATAGCTAGGTCTACTAGATCTAGTACATGGACACGTGGAATGCACGTACAACCGTTCGTCCTGGGTGAGTACTCACATGTGTCCAGCGATGTCTGCGTCATGCTACGGCATACGGATGACACATCAACAAAACATTGTCACGACCAAGCCCAAACGACAATAGGTTTAGTGTCTGTCACACGTTCCCGATGCCATCCTGGCAATGCCTCTGTGACAACCTGAGCTACGGTGCTCAGTTCGGTCATTTTGTATGAGAAGCTGAAATAGTTTCTGGCAACCGGGTCGATGGGATGCGTCAGTGCTGGCGATAACGGTGCAGGTCGATATTATACTCTGATAGAAATAATGTGCACGTGAGCAGACCACACGAATAGCGGGGAGAAAAATCTCAACGTGAGCATTTAACGGTTTTATAATTTGAAGGTTTACACACTGGAGTTTGTGTTTCTTCCAAACTGATGGACGCCTTAAATGACACCCCATACTTAGGACAGAGAACGGCCTTAAATGACGCCCCATACCTAGAAAAGAGAACGGCCCTAAATGACGCCCCATACATAGAAAAGAGAACCGCCCTAAATTACGCGCTATACCTAGATCAGAGAACGGCTTTAAATAACGCCCCATACCTAGGACCAAACCTATGAAGTCCAGCCCATAGCTAGAACGGAATGACCCCAAATGACGTCTCACTTCAAGGACGGGCAAGAGTGCTAGTATTTAAATACTCTGTAATCTCTTGATATATTATAAAAGCCCATGTGCGCACTTCTCTCTCTCTCTGTCCGCAATTTTCTATATTATATATTTTATATAAATTCTATTTCGTTGGGGGGGGGGGGAGGGGTTGACCAGTGGCGTGCTAAGTCGGGTGTCACCCGGTGCGGCACTTGGTGGTGTCACCCCCAAGAAACTATATATATATATATATATATATATATATATATATATATATATATATATATATATATATATATATATATATATATATATATATGTGTGTGTGTGTGTGTGTGTGTGAGAGAGAGAGAGAGAGAGTGTGTGTGAGTGTGTGTATGTGTATAGGCTTTAATCATTGCAGAATTAATAGCAACCATGTTTATCTATAGTCTGTTAATAATACAGTTGCGTGAAGCATTGTTTTCTCTATATTTAGCAGGTTTACGTCATAGTGTCACCTCCACACTCTTGTAATGATTTTCGATTTGTACATAAAAGACTATTTAACTTTAATAATTAATCATTAATGGAACAGGCAAAAAAGCATTTTTCTTCTGTACTTTTTGTAATTGTTTGCCTTGGTGTCACCCCCGTAAATGGTGTCACCCGGTGCGGTCTGCACCCAACGCTAGACTCCCCCCCCCCCCCCCCCGAAGAGATGCTTGGAAGAAACTCGGGTAGGATGGTTAGAAAGATTCTTTGTTTTCTTTTATATTCTGTCGACGACACAGGGGCTTTTCAAAAAGTCATTTTTTGTCAGTTTTAATTGTATGTGCTATATAGATCTGGTCCTGCCTTCGAACCTGGTGGATTTGGACTCGTTTATTTTTCTTATGTTTGTGTGGATAGCCAACTTTCAGTCGTATAGATAATACTGAGAGAGCCACGTGATACATATGTTAAGCGTGTACACAATCTTTTGCTAAAATCTCATCAGTTGACATTTTATTTCCTTTCTTAGAATAATTGCGTATTTTTATTGGCATTTGTTTACTTATTGTTCAACAGTTTTTCATGTAACAGACACACACATAGATATTATAGGGCCCGCAAATTATTTCCGTCGGGGACCCCCGCTTAAACTTAATCCGTCCCTGCTAGGCTCTAGGTGTGTCAAAAAACTTGACGGACCAACACTTTAAACATTACAACATTTTGTGCAATCCATGGTGTCAAGTTGTGGACAGTTAGGTCTACTGCACCACAGCCTCCAATGGGGCTCACTCTTCATTAGGCATGTCACAGCGTACTGGTCACGACCTGAGACCTAATCTAGTACAGACTCTACAGATAGAGCAGTAAACAAAACTGTTTACATCTCTCTGACCTACCAGTGAGAACCCAGTGTGTACCTATAGATAACAAGTCAAATAGTTGTTTTTTGTACTAAGGCACTCAGATTTTAAGTTAGTTTCCAGCTTTACATTTATATAAACATAACGGTTTTTGTATGTATGTCTGTAACAGTAAATTCAAACTTGTAAATAACTTGTGTCACAAGTGTAAGGTTTTTAAAATTCATTTTAAAATTGAGGAAGTTTCTCCTGTATGTAGTGGCTTATACTTTGTTCAGACCTCCAGACTTTGGTTTGCATTTTATGATAAATGTAAAATATTTGTACAAAATAAAATTCTTAAAGAAAACAGAGAACATGATTGTCATAAGTATGAATATATTTCTCACATGACACACAAAAAGTGGTGTAGCTGGTAAAGTACACCAGAATTTGAATACAATGCTTTATTAATTGCATTATTAAATAATTCATCTATTGAATACATAATTAAAATTGTAGATGTTAAAAAATCATAGTGTTTTTTTTTTTGTTAAAAGAAGAACGAATATTTATTCTAGTTTACAGTTTTGTAGCAAGGGAGAGAACTCAGTTTTGATTGACTGTTCTGAAAAATGATTAACTTCACAATGCAATAATACTTCTAATTTATTTAAATTTATAGCATAATGATAGCTTTCTTTTAAAATAACTAACCATATCCTGATAAGTATCCCATGGTCAGCAATGGTGTCATGTAGGTGACACAAAGTAGTTATTAAAAAGTTCGGTTAAGTTTTATAAATATATAAAATGTAATAATTTACACAAATGATTAAACAAACTGCTGAAAACAGGACAAAATGTACATGTAAATGATGCTATCTGTGTGACTAGAAACTCTGAACGTCACATCACTACCATACGTCTTGCAACTTTTCACTTCACACATACAACTATAATACTAGCAATAGAATTAAGTCTTTAACACAATTTAACTATTATCAAGTACATGGCATACTAAAGAACATAATTCAACTATTATCAAAAACATAGCATACTAGCAATAGAATTAAGTCTTTAACACAATTTAACTATTTTCAAGCACATGGCTTTACTTTATATCCAAAATTTTTTAGAGGTTTTAACTTAACTTATAATGGTGAAAACTGTAAAACATTGCAATGAATGATTCAGAATGTTATTCAATACAGTTTTCACTTTAATAAAAGCAGAAATATTTGAACATAATAAAAAAGACAAAAAGTTAAATGCAACAGACAATGTAAAATACTTATACTCTAATCTGTGGCTTGTAACAAGATGGTACTGATGATGGTGAGACAAATGATGTAAAAACAATAATAAAAAACTGACTTACTGACAACATAATGCTGCATTTGAGAAGTACCTGCTGACAAAACTTTAAGAATAGCAGAACATTTTTTGTACTGATTAAAAAGCTTTGTTCTATTTGTTTCATCATAAAAATCTGTTGAAAACCTTTGTTCCGTCCATATAATTTATATAGATTTATCATAAAGTAGATGAGTTTCCACAGCAGTGATGGCAAGAAGTTCCGCAGCCACAGAACAGAGCTCATACAAAAAGTCTATGTGATGACCAAGTTATGGAAACTTTTGACTTATGCATTTTTCAAATGTTAAACTATCAAGCTCACAGTTTAAAAACATGCTAATCTGCCTATGTGAACAATAGTGACTTGGTTTCACCCCATACAAGAGGAAATATGATTCCACACGCACTGTAAAGGATCATCACGGAGCGATAGAGCACACGATGGAAAGCCCAGAGTGGTTCAGATATAAACACAAAGTACACAGCATACAGGGCCACAGCAAAGAAGTGTCCAAGTAACACATGTGGTTTGGGGTTTAAGCTGGGGAAACAAACAACAGATTCAGTTTTGATAAAACAACAGTAGAGGTTCTTGTAATAAGAATGGCAAGACTTCATGGTATAACATCAAACATTTTACTATTTACAGTGATACTAGCAAAAATAATCTTGGCAATATCCTGTAAACTGGAAGAAAGTAAAAAATATATTGGTGTAGTTGTCTGTTATACATACAGTGTATGTCAGTTATGTTTCAAGATGGATGTACTCACACAGAAAGTAAGCTGACAGGGCCTGCTACACATTCACCTCCCAGTCTGAAGTACTCAAAGCAAGCTTTCTTCATGCTAACTAGATGGGCTGTTAAGACATGAAAATTCATAACTTAAAGTATCATCTAAGCTTAAAGTTCAATTAACTAATAGTACTGGTAAATTATTTCAAATTTCAGCTAATTTGACTTCTTGTAATAAACACATTAAACTTACTGTTGTCAGCTGCAAACAATTCATACAAGGCTTGAGCAAGGACGTTGACTACAAATGAATGGTTATTTTTTCTACAGCGATGAAAAACTCTTAAAGCGTCAATGATTGATTCATAATCAGTGAGGTCAGGAATGGTTTTTAAAAGATTTCTCCAGATGACAGCATCATTGAGGCAAACGCTCATCCCCCCACCAGTTAGAGGGTGTCTCATGTTGTAGGCATCACCCAATACAAGAACACCTGGTCGTTCAATTGGATTTGGTGGTAAAAAGCTATTCGGCATACTCCTTACTCTTCCATTTATGACTCCATCTTTAAATGGCTCTTGTATGTGCTCTGCAATGATAAATTTAAAAAAAATGTATTTCAATTATAAATAATATCCATATAAGTAGTCAACATATAAATAACTTGTTGAAGCAACTCAAAAAATTATTCATGATTTATTAATTCATAACTTTTAAACCATTAGTTGTGAAATCTATACCTGGAAGTTGTGGACAGACAGAATCTAGCAGGTATTCTTTGATGTTTTTGGGCATCACTCCTCTAATATCAACCAGCACTCTTGTGGAATCAGAAGAAATTTGGTACACTAAGATTGGACTGGGTTTAGCAAGCACTAGTTCTGCATGATTATTCTTTTTCTGAGGGCAGTGGTGCATGAGAAGGCCAACAAAATGAGAACTAACACGAACTGGTTCTTTAACCAGCTCTTTCCTGAACTTTGAGAAACAACCATCGACAACAAACGTAAGAGGTGCATAGATTTCCTGCAGTAGAAGAAACATTTTATAGCAATTACATTATGATGAAGCTGAATTTCACTAACTAAAATAGGCTCACTTTTAGAAACTCACTTTTGTGTCCTCTGCGTCTTTAGGTTTATACTGTACACCAATGACCACACCATTCTCTTCCAGGAGTTTGGATGCAGTTCCTTCAATGTATGTCACGCTAAAAAATAAAAAAATTAAACAAGTCAGACAAGTATTTCCAAAGGTTTTAATAATTTATTTTCTATAAATTGCATTATCATGCTTGAGGGCAGAACAGTTGTTATATTATAGCCTCTCAAGTGATTGTGTCAGAATCTCCAATCATAAGCACAATTTTCAGCCACTACTACCAAGTTTGACCTGTTGAGCCACCCTGGCACACTAACTAAAATTATTTTTATTACAAAAGTAGTACTAGTAGTACTACTAATTGAAGCTAACTTCTATAATTTTAAATGAACTAACTTTGGCTCATTCTTAGCCTTTTCCCTTAAAGCCATTATAAATCTTCCATGGTGAAAAGCTGTTCCTTCTGAATTCACTTCTTCATTTCCTTCCGTTTTGTTATATTCTTGATAAGGTACAACTACCTCTGCTTTGGCTTCTAAATTATGTATAACATATCCTTTGATTTTGTGTGCATCCAGATCTTTTATACAATCTGAAAAATTAAAAATTAGGATTGATAAATCAAATTTTTTAAAATTATGTCACAACGATGTAATAAGTGCAACTTTTTTCAAAAATCATTTATTAAAAAGGAGATTCAGTGTAAGTTTTAACTCACCCCCTAAACCTAATTTTGTGAGTGCATTAACGCCTCCTGGTTGAAGAAGTTCACCAACAATACGATCTGGTTCTTTCAGATCACGCTCAATTACTGTGACTTTCCTTCCATCCCTAGCAAGGACTGTAGCCATGGCAGAACCTGCAACTCCTGATCCAATAATAATAACTTCTGGACCATCTTTGGAGAAAACTTTTGTAGGCTTTTTGACACAAACATACTACAAAAAATAAAACAGGTAAAGTTAATGAGCATTATTTAAGTAAAAATTGGTAGGTGTACATTGGAAAAATTATACTTCAAAAAGAATTGCTGGCATTAATGGGCTAATTTATTGCTGAAACTAAAGCTACAAATAAGCAGCATTGTACTGACTGGTCAGTTTGCCAATATTTAATATTTATACTAGTATTAGTTCCAAAAAAGTCTGGGTCTTAAATCTCAATAATCGAATATGTTAAATAGTACACATATATATTGCAGCATATCACTATACCAGTCAAAATGATGTACAAACCTATAGTCAATAGTAAGTATCATCATTGTTTCCCATTTGTGCCCAAAATAGATACGGGGATATGAAATAGAGCTTATCTGCTTTAATGACTTCAGCATATGAATAGATAGTATGGTCAACATTATGCCCAACCTCCTTGGCTTCCCAAGTAAAAATCTGAGCTGGGCGGAGTCAGGAACTTCTTCAGAGTCAAACCTGTTATGTACTCGAGACTTTCAAGTTGGCAATAGAAAGCTCTACCATCTAAACACCACGTCACCTAGTGTCCTAGTGAGTACGTTTTTTTGTCAACTAAAGTCAATTTAAAAGTTTAGTTTTTGTTTTTTTTTACTTTTACTATTTAAAAATTTTTTTATAGTAAGTCTGAACTTGCAGTAGGTAGTCCAAACTGAAATTAACTATTGATTGCAGACTTCTGGAGTGAGTATGTCATGAAAGAACTTTTAATTGTAAGGTCTATGCCACAAATTTTATAAAAATATCTCAATAAATAAAAAAGTTATGCGATTTTTAAAAAAGCAAAATTTGGTAAAAAACTGATTTTCAAAAAGTGCCATTTTTGAGAACCCATATTTTTTAAACTAAATAACATAGAAGTGTAGAAATTGGTAAAGTTGCTGCAAAGTTTGTAATATATATGCCCAATTTTTTTCAGTCATCTAAAATGAGTCTTTCTAAGGTAAAAAAATAATTGAAAATGACAAAAATGCGTTTTGGTCACTTTTATTTTCATTAAAAAAAAAAAAATTCAATTTTTTTTTTTTTTTTGCTTTGGAATAACTCTAAAACTATTGTGTTGGTAACATCAACGTGGAAAAATGTGTTAATTATTTTCAAAAATCACATGAGTTAAAATATTATTTTAAAAAATACCACAGTTATCTAGTGCAGGAGAAACAGAATCAAAATTTAGTAGAGTAAATGTAATGTAATGTATTTTAATAAAGACGTGATGCCTACAAGTGATGCAGCAGTTGATGCCACATGCTTTGGTTTCTTTTCAAACCTATACGGTTGATAACTGCTTTGGGGGAACAGTTTTTAAAACTACAACTCCACATCTTTGTACGTCTTGTTTCCCTCAACCTTGATCTTGTGGAGCATCAAGAGTAAGTAATATGTTTTGGGAATTGTAGGGGGGAGTGGGGTCTTGGCCTTCTTCCCTTCCCTTGTAAGGAAAGTTCTGGATAGGCCACTGTAAATGTCTCCAGCTATGGAATAAACAATTGATTTAGTGATTAATAAAATAGAATTAAATTTACTACCAGCCTATTGTGTAGGCCTACTATTTGTCCTATGACTATAACTGGAAACATATGAAAAAGCCTGAAAACACCTTTTTGTTAAAAGTAATTTATACTTTATATATATTTTTAAGAGTAATTCTACTGAATGAAATTTGAAATATTCGTTGCTTGTGCCACACTGGTTGAGATATCCAATAATGAAGATGCCATACTGTGGTTCTCAACATCCTATAGGACAACTTAACTGTCCTTCATTGTTACTATTATATGCATATAAAATAAATAAATAATGAGAAATACTACTAGTACTACTTACACTTACAACTAATATAACATTTAAAACTAAGTCACAACATGTAGAATCTTAATAAATTGCACCACCATCTAAAAATTGATCTGGTACATTTTATTACGGAGACTGGTGCAGACCATTTCACATTATTTAGCAGGGGAATCAGAATCAGAGCACACAACAGAAAATAAAAAAAATTAATCACATTAGTCCTTAAAATTTAGTGTCTTTTGTTTTAAATAAATCGATAAAAATGTATAGTTATTATAATTATACATTTCTTTTGTGTTTCATTAATATTTTATAAGTATTTAACCTTCGTTCCCTGTAAATAATTGAGTTCGTCCACATAGTAACCAGGATAGTCTGGTGGCCATTTTGAATTTGTCGATTCATAATTTTGACGTGATAGTCCAGATAAACTGTAGTAATACGACCCTATCATTGATCCCAGTCAATAGATTTTAAAGAATTAGTAAACACTAGCATCTAATAGTTAAGGGCATGGGCGGGTGATGAGTACCAACTTCCTTATTTCCGAGTCTAAAGATGTAATACTTGGCTAATAGTTATAACTCAAAGAGATAAGCATAAAAATATTTTTTTTAATTTTTTAAATCCTCCGTTGCCATGGTGACGGCGGCCATATTGGATTTTATTGACGATTTTTAAATGGAAATAACTCAAAAATGGTTTGTACAAATTTCATAAAAACTTAATATAGTCTGAAGACACATGTGTTTAACACTTCTGATAGATTACATTTTCAAAAAAGACGATAGTTTTTTTTTTACTTTTTTTTCCTATACATCACTGTTAAAATTTCATTATTTCGTCCAATTTTTTCACTATTTCAACAATAAAAAAAAAATTTTTTTTAAATTTCCAAAAGTGTTCTATCAGTTTTATTTGAACATATATACAGAGTAACTGGAGCAAATTTAGTTCAGTTCTGATAATTATTAACAAAGTTATTTCACTAATTGTACACAAAAGTATCAAACTGAGAAAAACGCAAAAAACCAACAAAAAGTTGCAAAAAAAGAAAATTTACAGCTGTATGTCACTAAAATTGACCACATTTATTGCCTGAAGTATGGTGCTGCTGAATATATTTCTTCTGAGCTTGTTCAGCTGTTAGTTTCCTTTTTTTTCTGGCTTTCTTTGTTGTACCTAGAGCTGTAGTAAAGCTGTTGCGAAGGCGTCTTTTTTGGCGTCCTTCACTGAGTCTTCGACTATGGTTTCCTTCTTTTGACAGCAATTCTATAGCATGCCTGGGCCCAATACTGAATTATGCTATCGCAGAAACAGCAGTATATTTTGCATGGTCTCATGTCTAAAGCCAATTATGATAAGACGATGTCTTTGTTTATTATGAATGGCCTTGTTCTGGATTCTTTTGCAGTTGTATACATACGGTTTACAACATTTTTATTACTGCCACACCATGCTTGAAGCAAACCCTTTACACTTTTTTCATCAATAGTAGCCACTACATCACAGTTACACTCTGGGCAAGGAAATGTATTGATAACATCAAGAAGCAAATCACAGTCGACAATAATTCTGCATGGCTGTTGTTTACAATTAGCACTACCATACTAGATGTAACAGTGCTTTCTTCTGTCTGTAAAAACTGTCTTACATTGCCGCAGTTTCTTAGTAAATGTGCATATTACATCTGCACCAGTGCTTGTCTGAATAGTGCTAGATTGAGTAGAGGTAGATGCAATCAGTTGCATTCGGATGTGCCTTTGCTTTAGTAAATTCGTTAGATGTGTGTATCTATTTTTAGCGAGTGTTTTGTTCTACCCATTATCGAAAGAGAAACAAATTAAATCGTCTGACTGCTTATGATAATTCACACAAACTAATCTAAACTGTTAAAAGTATATTTAATTTAAATAATTATATGTTAAAATAATGTAAGTATTTCACAGAAGCTTAGAGAAACAAAACTAGATCAAACTTAGCAACGCGCTGAAACTAAGGGATTGTTTACTTACGAAGCGAAACGACCAATCGCTAACTAGCTTCCGCCGTTGAATGCCAATGAAAAAATTGAGGTCAAAAATTTGCATACCGGAAAAACCCGACTGAGTAAAATAAACAACTTTATGACGTAGAAAAATAATCACATTAAAATAGGTATTTTGATTGGTCCTTTAATTTTAGAACAAATAAAGAAAGGAGGTCACGGCCTTTCCATTGATATGAAACACATTAGGCTTCCGCAAAATCTAATAGTACTTTTCTAGGTCGAAAAATGGCTATTTTTACCGAAAAAGTGAACAAATTACCCTGAACACACTACTTTGAACCCGGTTTTTCATAAATAAATAATGTTTTCAGGGTCATAACAATGTCATTTTTAGATTCAACGATGGTTATTCTGTATAGATCAAGTAAAAGTGGGAAATCGATGATTTAGTGGATTTATGACGAAAAGTACACCCGCCCATGCCCTTAAGTGCATCCATATTTTAAGTCCCTAGAATGTCCTGAATTAAATAGCTTCACGTCTAAACACACCCTGTGTACAAGCGTAGTTCACACGCTAAAACCGTGGACTTGAAGCGTTCAAATTTACATTAATAACGTGTACTAATTAAACCAAACTGACATTCAAACTTAAAATTCATTTATTAAAATGGAAATGAAACTTTAAAAATGATACTTACAACTTGTTTGAAGGCTCTAGCAAGGGTAAAATCCGTTTAGCATCATCGGTCGTCAACCTTTAAAACCGTTCGGTGAGCAACTTACTCGGGGCTGAAAGTCGACTCGAGGGTTATATGTTTATTGGGGGTACGGCTTCGCGACCGTAAATCAGAAATACTTGAATTTACAACACAAAGTAGTTATAAAACTGAACTTTACATCGGTGTAAAAATTGAAACAGAATTAGTTTGTTTCCGTGTATATATCGTCATTTAAAGTTTAAAATCTGTATTTTTTAAATGAAATAAACAAGTTATTTTTTCAATCTATACATCAAACGATAGCCTAGAATTCGATCTTTAAAATGACATTAAGATTATGCTTCTACGATGCTTCGTCGCGAAGCCACGACCAAATAAAACAGTGTGGGGTCGATCGGTACACGCAAAACGGTGAAATTTGTTGACGTAACTGATACTTTTCAAACAAATATAAAACACATTCAGACATGTGTTACAGATATAAAAATACCAGATTACGACAGATAAAGACTTAAACTTTATTGACATATAATTTTTATTCTTATAGGACAACTAGAAGTAGTGAAATTTTTTTTTTGAAAACCGCAAAAACTGACCCTAAAACGCACTTTTTCGCCAGTTTGGACTACCTACTTGCAGTGATGTGCCACTCATCATTAAAATGAGTTTTTTTTTAAAAATCATGTTGAAAAAGCCATTGGATTGGTTACTTGAACTTGGCTGGGTAGATTACACTACAGTGCTACACTATACTCAACTATTTTGAACTATACTGCCTACTTGAGCCAAGTTACTAATACCTAATACTAGATCTAGTTCTAGATCGATTCTAACTAATATGAGAATGTAAAAAGTAAATTAAACTACATCGTCATCTAGACTCTAGATCACTATTAACGACTATAGATAGGCCCCTATCTATTATTATCTATCTAGTTTTAAAAATGGAAGTGGCTATTCGGACCCGGGTCCCAATAGCCTCGGCCGCTATTGTACAACCTGTATTGAAATTATAGTTAATTATACCTTTTTTGTGTATATTATTTTTCTTGTGGATTTGCTTGTATTTTGTTGTCTTTTATTGTATTTAGTTATGCGGATTAGCTAGCGTTAGTTCTAGTGTTGCTATTTCTAAATAACCTATTTTTAGCTGCATATACAAAATCATTAAATAGTGTATAACTATCGCAAGACGTCGTGGTCGAGTGGAGAACGAAGTATCTCCCGCTTCTCGATCAGTAACGGGATCGGAACCTATAAAAGCTCTCATTTTTGCGTGAAGTAAAGTGTATTTATCTAAGTTTAACATTCCATACAGTTGTTTGCATAAGTGTCTTTTATTAATTGTTTTTTTTAAAAAATAGATTATATATTTTTGTCTAGATTTAGGTTTTTAAAAACGCCAATTATAAACATCGTTGCTCGATTGATCGCCCGCTCACGTTATCTCGTCAGCGCAAGAAAAATACCGACACGGTTTGGCCAGGGTCACTGTGAGTTCATATTGGTTTAGATGTGAACAGTGTAGGAGTGTAGCATACGTCATAGCATGAACATTGCTATGAGCTTGTCGAGATTTGTCGTCGTCGTAGTCCCCCCCACTCCAAACCCAGCAAGAGGGAAAACCGATTTGGGGTCATTGTGAGTTCAAATGTTACATATTGCTTCTATTAAAGCGTACTACAACGCATGCGAGATATTCGTGGTCAAGAAAACGGGCCCGGGAGCTGTAGTCTGCAGCCTATACTATAGAGTTATAGAGCAGTAAGTTGCTAGTTGTAGAATGTAGATCTAGATACTTGAATCTAGAATCTAGATAGATCTAGATCTAGAATCTAAATCTAGAGATTTTTTTATCTAGAAAATAGTAGACTTAGATCTAGAATCTATATCTAAATAGTAAATAGTAAATTAGTAAATAGTAATACTGTAATAATTGTAATAAGTGTAATACCTTCCTCCGAGGCCGTAGGGCGAGCATTAGGAACAGCGTTGCCGCAAGTATAAACACAAAGAAAAACATATTAGAAATACTCATTTGTGAGTATGCCCATTCTCCTCCAATTCGAATAATTTGTGTAATCATCTTGAAGTAAATTGAGAGTTCTAGATATATGATTGAAATTCTATTTCACCCGCAGTTATGTAAGTGGTGCTATGAGATTAGTCACGTATGTCGGCCCAGATAGAGTCATTAGAGACCAAATACAAATTTGTCTGCTGATGTTTTCTAGCCAATCAACCAGTTAAGCAGTATTCGCCGCGTGATAGTTTGATTAAACTATAAATAACTAGACCTAGTTTTTTTTTTTTTAAATTGCCGACATAGGCTGAAGACTACTTCCGCTGAAAAATAGTAAAGGTTTAGTCTACTAGCCTAACTAACCAGCATGGCGCGAATTAAAAAATTGGCCTAAAGTGTTTAAAAAAACTGGCATTCCCTACATGTTATATTTGTTTTTGTTGTTAGATGAAAGAAGGAAACATGACGGATAACGTGATTTTCCAAACCATGACAAGTTCAGCATCAGACAGGTAGACTAGAATCTAGATTTAGAATTTTAGATTCCAGATAAGATAGAAATAGAAAGCACAGTTTTGTGAGTTTTTAGACGATTATTTTGATAGATCTAGATCTAGATTTCTAGATCTATCTAGTCTAGCTAGAATCTACACTGTAGACTACAGTACAGTGAGTGTAGAATCTAACTCAGGTCAGATTTTAGAACATTCTAGATCTAGATATTTTTCGGTAATCTATCGTTTTAGGTAGATCTAGAGTCTAGAGATCTACGTAAAATCGCCCGCGACTAGTAATGTGAAAAACAGGTGACTCCTTAAATTTTAATAATTATTTCGAAGTGACTAGAGGAGCTTACACTTTTCGGACACACATAGCGAAAAAACGCAACGTAAAAATTCCATGCGGTCTCATTCAGTAACCGCTTAACATAGAAAACAAAAAAAAGTATCATATCTATCCGCAACCATTCTACTTTAATAATGTGTGTGTCATTTTGTATTCATACGCATAGAACTTAAGCTAGGTTTTTCGATTCGTGAAATCTCGTTCTCGCGGTTTTGAAGCACCCGTGTTTTGGGCGGCCATATAAAATATCGAATCATTTCTTTCTCATGAAGTACATGATAGTTAAAACTAAGGATTGTATCGTAATCGGATAGATTTTCACTCGAAACTGCCCATGTATTTACGGGGCGAATAATTAACATTTTAATAATGGCAGCTTGACCTAATTTCTTTATTTGTATTTAACGAGGCAGTCGAGAGAAAGTCACGCTGACCTAGCTTGCGTTTCAAGTCGAATAAACTAAAAGCAGGTGCGTTCTACAATAACTTTATTGTAATATACAATTTGTATATCATCTTTACTATCAAATAAAAATAGAATTGTTTAATATAATTAGGGTGGAAACAATGCTTTTGAGGGTGTAAGTAATAATGCCATTTTATTATATTCTTGTTTGGTGAAAACGAGGCGCGGGAAAATGTGTGCCGCGCAAGAATCCAATCATTTGGCTAGATTTATGACTGTTTTTTATGTCATACCTAAAAATAGAATGGGTATACCATTCGAATCGTCCTTAGAGGATTTCATAGTGTCAGCCGCCAACCAATCAAACGCGCGCTTTCTCCGCGTTTTGGTTGGCGGCTGACGTCACGGTGACGTCACGCGACGCGTTTTTGGAGCTAAAAAGGGCCGTAAAAGCCATTTTTTTCTACGTGTAGTTCGGATTTTTTTACGTTTTTTAAAATGGGCCCGAAAATGACACTTTTTAAAACTGGACTTAGCCATTTTTTCAAACAAATTTTTCGAAAAAAGGCCGTTTTGGGTGATTTTTGGATGTAAACAATGGCCTAGGTCAACACGTGTCAAACCACGTGAAGGCACCCAATCGACGATTTCGGTCACGCATGAGTGGTTTTCATACGTTCTCGTGAACTAAATACCAGTTTCTTGACAACAAAATGGAAAACGACAATTTCGTGAAAATAACGACCCTAGAGGAATGGCTCTTGAAGATTATTAAATAAAAATCGGTGTGTTGGCTCTATGTATTGATTCTAAAGTTGTCTATAATTGACTAGTAGGGCATGCTGAAACAACGGCCTGAGGGCGCCGTGTAGTGTGTTGTTTCGCTAAATGTAAATTAATCAGCCCGGCCGCAGATCAATCGCAAACTGTTAAAATGGTTGGATGTGAAAAGCTTCTACTTACAAATTACTTCTGAATAATCACATCACACAAAATAATCCCAAAGAAAGCACAAAATAAAATCCTTTAGAAAAGCATCACCATGAAATTTGAAAACCACAGTTTGTCAACCTTAACCAGCCATCTTTGGCTCGATCTAGAGGTCATTCTTTAGCCTACACATGTGTCTTGTCAACCAATTTAGTTTCTGATGGTACACGACATTTAGATAAATATAATATAACAAACTAACCGAATTCCAACATTATATACATCTAATCCAATATTGAAACAGAATTTGAAGCACAATGATCTAACGAATAAATCCAACTCTATGCGAGTGTCGCAGCTTTAGTCCTGGATACAACCATAGTGTGTAGTCGTGTTGTGAGTAAATTTGCACGAGATACAACACCGACCTAGACCTTCCTGGTGTGTATGGCCCCAAAGTTAAGGGCTGCGAGTAGGGGAGGGCAATTTAACACCAGAACAGTTTTTTTCAATAGTTATGTCATCAGTAGTTCACGCATCCTAACGGGGTTGAAAGTGTAACTTTAAATTGAACTAGGTGAGAGGAGGAGGGTGAGGTCATTTAAACAACGGAGCTATATTTCTAGTAGAAGAATACGGGGAAATCATAGCTTGAAGTTTGAAGCCGGCATTTCATTTTTTTTCATTGTTATTGAGTACAGCCATTTAATGCACGACTAGGCAACTCATTATGAAATCTAAAAATGTAGTTGTGCTATCATGCAAAAGTAGCCTAATAGGTCTTGTTTATTTAAATGCAGATCCCGTTAGCCTAAAAATATTTGGATACACATTTTAGTTATATCGTAATGATTAATGTTATAATACAATGCATATATTCTGGCAGTCCAAGTTTTTGGACAATCCATAACTTGTATTTCAAATTTATAATGAGCGGGATGCACTCGATGTTTTAAGTGCTACATTTGGTAGCTGTTACTTTGTGCATGACAGCATCCCAATAGTTCACTGTTAATCATGTAAACTGAGCTTGACGAGACTCCCATCGCCAAGCAATCGTATGATGATAGACCCAGCAAGCATCACTCGTTAAATTCGACCTTATTGCTATACCAGTGCTTGATTTTCATTACAGCCTTTAAACGCCTAGTTCTTGGTTTAAAAAAAAAAATTGTCCCCCCCCCCCCCTCCCCGCTTGCGCCGACGTCATCATAGGCCAATACTATGTTGCGATTTTTTTAACGGATATAACACACACCCCTCTCCCCCTCACAGCAAACGCCAACAACGTCACCGAAGGCCCAAGGCCAATAACACGCACCGCGGTGGATTTTTTCTTCAATGAGTATATACCCTACCCACCCGCCGCCTCACAGCATACCGCACGTCTCTACGAACGGGGTTAAAAGTTTAACTTAGAGTTCAAGAAGGGGAGAGGGTGGTATTGAAACAACGAAACTGTTTCAAATCTGTTTCTTTATAGTACAAATATATAGTTTAAAAAAATAAACTTACCCTAACTTACCTACTGCTATAGCATCATACATAATTTTATAAATTAGCAAATTAATTAATTAATTAACTAATTAAATATATCTAATGATAATGAAGGGAGATAGTTTATTTTGGTTAAGGCACGACACACAACACTGTGTGTGCCTGGTATGTGGCCTGACCTACTGAAAGGAGATTGTTTATATTATTGTTTTGAGTTTATATTTAACTCAATGCAACAAGCCCGCCGGTTGGTTGAGGCCACGACGGGGGGACGATCTGACCGGGATTCAAAGGGTCGACTCGAAATATCATCCATAGAATGTTTACGCTTTCTTCGTTGATGATCGTTTTTATTATTTTTTAAAGTTAGATTGCGGATTTTGTAACTTGGTATACTTACCTTTTATCAATTTAAAAAACATAGCATGCTAATTGTGAACAAATATAGTCATAAAACACAGAAATATAAAGTTATAATTGCGATGTGCCACACCCCCTCAAGAAAGCATGTGTTTATTAAGCTGTTTATCTCACTTTACAACAGTAATTAAAATTAATTTTCAAATTTTTATCACTTATTGGGTAAGATTAAGCACATGTTTACCAAAAATAAAAATAAAACAAAAGCAAATTCTGTTTTAATGAAGGTCACGGGTGAAGTTTTTTTTTCCTTCTGTCACGTTCAGTGGAGGGTGCCACAGGCTGACCTGACTTTGGAATTTTTTTCAGTAATAATGACTTTGCACAGAAAGTTAAAATATGCTAAATTAGCTTAGTTTACTAGTGTTCTAGCTATTATTGATACATTTTTAATAAAAAAATCATTCTGTAATTCTCATCAAACAGCCTAACTTAAGCTATTCTTGTTATAGTGACTGGGGGGTCTTAACGTGTGTTCGAACACATATAATACAGTTTTACATGTGTTCGGACACCTTTACCCGTCATCGGACATAGCACTTTTTGTTCATTTAGAATAATTTAAAGTCAATTTAATGAATAAAAACATATATTATATGCATGTATATTGTGTTATTGATTGTTTGTGAGGTAATTTTAATAGTATAAAACCTTTTTCCCACACTCCCAAAGTTCATCCCATTCAGCCATTGCGGCTCGCGCAGTACGCTGCTAAGCCAGCCAGGTCACATGATTCCCCCTCCTCTTTTGCATTCCACTGCCTTCTTGACCTTATTTTGACCCTTTCCCTTCAATAACCAGCCCCTTTTATGCTCTAAATTCTTATTTAGTAATATTTTTGTGTTGCTGTCCGCTCCCATGTAAGGCCAAATAAGTTAGCGAACACCCCTTTTTTATTGTTCAAGCACAAAAAAACCCATTAACCTTGACATTTACGATGTTCCATACATATATAGAAGCTATTTATAGTGTAACCTTTTAGCTAAGCATTGATTGGTTCAAGTTTTGCCCCTAAGTCCAACCCTAGGTCACTTCATCCGGCTGGTGTAAAAATAGAAATGTGCGTACCATGCAACGTTAAAAAATTTCTAAAAATAATTCTTGAGAAAGGAAACGGAAGTACTTGACACGGAAGTGTTCATAAATGAACAGTTTACGTGCAGGCGCCGTGGTTTCGCGTGAGACATGCTAATTAAAGTTTCTATGAGCCAAAAACCGACGAAGTGTTCGCTCCTACGTAATTTTTGGTGTGTGTCCGAAAAGTGTAAACTCCTCTACTCGGAAGATTTTTCTCCCCAACGTCTCCACTTAGTCGGCAAAAGATAGCTCTGCGCATGCGCAGTGACCTAGGGTTAGGGTTGGTGTTAGGGTTCTGCGGTTGTAAACACACGCATGCGCAGTACCATCGAAAACATCGCAGCGAAGGCAAGTCATAGTTTCTCTCCATTGCGCATGCGTATCTTATTCCGGCTAGCATCGGCCTAATTATTTCACATTTTGAGGGGGTGGGAGGAAGAGAGAAGTGAAGACATGATCTCGTGAACTTGTGTTCATTCTATGACATATGCTTTAGGTCTGCTGAACGCACAGTGACCTCGCCGGCTGTGGGCCGTGGTGGGATTTTCCATTCACTGGATAGTAAACTTAAGGCAAGCAAGCAATCATGCCGGTGACGATGTTTGGAAATTTTATTTTTAAAAAAAACTAATCATAGTCTACGTCATATTTTCAATATGAAAAAAAAATGTAAACAAAAAAAAATAGTACCGGCCGAGCTAACCCCGGATTGTTGACTCAACCACCAGATGTGATAGAAATGCAAAAAGTAAGCATTTTCAATTACAAGATGGCAAATCCAACCTGCGAGAGGCGAAGTCTATTCCTTAAGGGCCACGCTCTGCGAGACGCGTAGTTACTTCGGTTTTTTTTTTTATTGTAAACTTATAGTGCAAGATTCAGGGGAAGCCACTCGAACTTACAGATGGCCGCTTTTTATATAGCAAATCCTGCTAGCAAACACTGCTGTTTAAAATTTAATTTCTTGCCTATATTGATATATTTAGCAATTGATTTAGGTTTATTATTCATTTATCTATAATGTTTGACACAAATATATCACAATATACTATTAATTAAAACTACAATATACTTCTATTAAAGCCTTGACAATGAGGTAACTTTTTCGTACATTACTAGCCGCAGGCGATTTTACATACCTAAAACGATAGATTACCTATTTTTCTAAATCTTCAACCTTGATATCTAGCTAGATTTAGAACAAAAATAATAAATTTTACTAAATCTTAGGCCTATATCTAGGCCTATTTACTTAAGTTTAATTTAAATATTTAGGTTAGGCTTATCCCACGACCTGTCCTAAAGTAAGTAAACTGCTGTCACTGAAGTTAAGTAGATTTTCAGTTTTCTCATTACAATTTTAATTAAAATTTTCTGTCACATATCATACACCATTACAAACCATATTTTTTACGGGTTGATTGTTTTGAGACCAAAATTAATTATCTAGCTTACTCAGGGGCAGAGAAATTTTAAAAATTGCCTGTCCCGACTACGTGCATCATTGCGTACACCTCTGTAACTCTCACTTAGATTAAATAATAATTGAGCTGTTATTTGAAGGTTTTATGCTCAAACATTGGTAGTAAATATGTCCATTCTTATTGAATTTTGATCCATTGAATTACCCACAGAGTGGGATATGAGCAATTGAAAGCAACCTGTCATGTAAGCTGGCATTTTTATATGTTACCGGGACAAGCAAAGCCTCGTCCCAACATTGTGTCTTAGCAAAACAATGTTTAGTTGTTGTTTTTTTTTTTTCAGAAAAAATACTGAAATTGAATGGGATAAACCAAAGAACACAGGCTATAGGGCCTATAATATGCAATTTTCTTTACTAAATACATTTTGGTGGGGGTAGTCGTGAGGAGGCTGAAAATTTTATAAATTATATTATTTTTGGCATTAAAAAAAAAAAACTGCGCACTGAAACACAAAACTACGCACACAAAATGTTAACAATATAAGATTATTTAACTGAGCTAAAAAAGAACAGAAAAAAATATAGGCCTAATATGTTCTGAAGAGAATATATTTAAAAGTTATAATGCGAATGGAAAAGTGAATATATATATTTATTCTTCTTTGGCTGGAGATTATTTCTATGCTTTTGTTTTCATTTTATGTCAAATAGTAACGAATTTAGGTACCTCAAACTGGAAAGGAGTTTCAGGGTAAGGGTGTTCTGGACTGGTAAAGTTACTCTAATTACTGCTTAAAATACAAAACTTTTTTTCCGCCATCGAAAAGGTCAAAAAGTTAAGTTGGTGTTCTGTATTATTAGTATGATGTCATGGTTATTATGACAACATTGGCTATTTAACTTTTATGGTTCTATAAGCTTGCATGAACTTAAAATGGCCCTAATATTGCTTGGTTTATAAGGGGAGGGGTGGGAGTGACCACCGACGATCTCTAACCGCAATTTTTTTTTATTTAAAGGCCTACATTACTATCAAGCCCAATGTAGACCTAAATGTTATTTATTTTAAAAACATGTAAATGATTTAGGCCTGCATCTAGGCCTATAGCATTTTTATTATAATATATTAGATTGGCCAGACTGAAAATACATGTCAACACATTTAGTTTTTGTCTAATATGCTAGCCACCTAAATGTAAACTAAAAAACAAAAACTATTTTAAAGTGATAAGTTGTCAGCAATAATTCCGAATTTAAAAGTTTTTTGCATTATTTAATAAACTACTGTTTAGCCTACTTATGTCACTTTATACTTATTAATGACTATCATAATTATTATTTTACAGCCTAAAATATTATACAGAAAAAACTGAAATCTTGTATGACAAGCTGTAAGCTATTTCTGTAACAAATTTTGTATATTATTTATTAAAAATGTATGTGTTGGACTATATATTTTAGCAGGACTACTTTAAAGATGTGGCGATTATTGTTTTTAATTTGGGAATTATATAATAACTTACAATTTTGTTTCTTTTAATTGATTGTAATGTATCTCATTTGAGATACACATTATTTAATAAGACTAGTTAGTAATAGCAATCATATTTTCGCAAATACTAATTTGCTTTGATATAGATCTGGTTGTGTGTTATTGTCATGTTTAGCTAACATGGTGAAAATTTAAAAACACTGAAATTATTTAAAAATATAAGTGGTTTTAATTATAGGCCTATACATTTTTTATTTGCATCTAGCTTTAATGGTATTTTATATTTATGTGCATCAACCTTAATCGTTTGTTAATCTTTTTACTCTTCAGTATAATACATTTAATATATGTCTGATATTTACAGTGGCAGTGGAGAGGATATGGATAGCCAAGATGGGAGTGAAATCCTCCCTCTGACAATAACAACAGATTTAGGTCCACATAGTCCTAATGGGCCCTCAAGGGCACCTAAGAGCCCCTCTAAAGCTGCACTTAAAAAGAGAATCAGAGCACCCCCAGGCTCTGCCAAACCAGAAGAAACAAGAGTTTTACACACTCATGGGAGAAGAACACTTTATACTGCTGGTCGCCCCCCTTGGTATAATAAAGAAGGGCAATTAAAAAATGCTTTTGTTATAGGTAAAACAAATTATCATCAATTGTTTTTAAATGTTTTTTTTTTCACTTTGTGATACTTTGATTAAATTGACCTTACTTTTAGCATCTTCATTATCTTAGGGTTATGTGGAGGAAGTGCATCAGGGAAAACCACAGTTGCCAGAAAGATAATTGAAGCATTGGATGTCCCATGGGTCAGTTTGGTCAGCATGGACTCATTCTACAAGGTATTTATAAAATTATTTTAATTTTACTCCCTTTATGTTGTCCCAGTGTTCACTTACTAGCCTCTTCATTTGGATATCGAGTTAAAGTCTAGAATTGTTTTACTGTTCTTTATGTGAAGTCTTTAGCTGTTGTGTGCCTTAAGCCAAAACATCTATCTACTGGTAGTACTGAGGCTACTAACACTATTTTATGAATAATGGATAGAAATTTCTAATAATTTGAAATGTAATTAAAATAAATATTTGCTTTATTTCTTTTTTATATTCCTAGTCAAATAATCAGTTGTCTAAAATCTGTTATTGAGCTAATTTTTGTTATGAAATAGTTTTATGGTAGGTAAATGGCTACATTCATTGACAAAATGAGATAATGAAACAGTATCTATCTTAATCAAGCCACCCCTAAGTTTTAAACAATGAGCAACATGAGAGAGCCATTTAAAAAAAAAATATGACTTTGTATCTGTCCAGGTTTTAAACCATGAGCAACATGAGAGAGCCATTAGAAATGAATACGACTTTGACCACCCTGATGCTTTTGACTTTGATTTGGTGGTTTCAACAATTGGGCGTCTTAAGGAAGGCAAAAGTGTCAATGTTCCTATTTACAATTTTGCGACACATTCAAGAGAAAAAACAATGGTAACACTGATTTTAAATTTATTTTTTGTTACTTCTTTTTTGGTTTAGAACATTTTCCAGTTGAAATCCACTTCTCATATTTAACTCAAGACTAACAAAAAGAGATTTTAAAAAATCCTCATAATTCTTGCGAAAGTAACTTTTTCTTTTCTTTTATAATAAAAAATAAAGCAGAAAATAATTTACGAACACCATATTTATTTTAATTATAATTTTGCATTGTGTTTTAACAGTTATTCTAGTATTTTCTTTATTTATTGCAACATTTGTTAGGACAGTCTACTGGTTCAGTAGGCATAAATTTTTTTTTTAAACACGTTTTTTAAAATGCTTTTAAATTATTTTTTCCAGAAAATTATATATGGTGCTAATGTAGTCATTTTTGAAGGTATTATGGCATTCGCTAATGCAGAGCTCTTAAAGGTAGGTTTCTGTACCAAGTATTTAAGTTGATGTCTTTTCATTTGTTTCTATAGTTTGCATTAAGGTTTAGTTAATTTTTTTTTTTCAAATTTAAAAAATTCATACTAGTAAAGTAAAACTTCATATCAAGCCTTTCTTTTACAGCTGATGGATATGAAAGTTTTTGTTGACACTGATTCTGACATTCGACTTGCTCGTCGTTTACGTCGAGATATTGCTGAGAGAGGGAGAGAACCCCAAGGTGTACTTAAGCAATATATGACCTTTGTGAAGCCATCATTTGAACACTACATTGAGCCTTCAATGAGATCTGCTGACATCATTGTGCCTAAGGGAGGGGAGAACGATGTAGCCATTAACCTGATAGTGCTACATGTTCATAATCAGCTCCAAGCTGTAAGTGTCTTTGCTACATCTCTGCTCATAAAGTTAAATATACTTTTTTGGACCTGGCGGTCTATAGGGTAGTTAAAGTATCGTTCACCTGTTTCTGAGACCTCTGCATATGAGGGACAGTGTGATCAGTTCTATGCCTAGATGCCTTTACTTTCCTCAATGTGAGTCAGGAACCCATCAGAGCTGGATGCTCAGGAAATCCTATAGACTTGCTGTTCTGGATCAGACCCAGATACTTAAGCATGCATGTGCTCTACATTCTGACCAGCTATTGGCTCATTGTTTAATGTGTTTTCAGAGAGGTTTTAAGCTACGTTCCAAGCTTGCGCAGTCAGCTCACAATGGTCAGCCCATGCCAGGGACACTTCACATTCTAGAGAAAACTCCCCAAGTTAATGGACTACATTCATTTATAAGGTCAGAAAGATTTTTTTATAGTTTTGAGGTCAGAAATGTTAAGCTTTACTTTATTCGAGAACTTTGTTATAATTTCATTTTTTTTTGTAGGGACAAAACAACTTCTCGTGATGAGTTTATTTTCTATTCCAAGCGTCTGATGAGATTACTCTTTGAATTTGCCTTATCTATGCTGCCTTTCAGGGTAAGCAATCTAAATGTTGCATAAATTTCCATTTTGAGGAAAAATTGTTTTATCAACAAAGCAAATTGTTTTTAAAATAGAAATTGAGAGAACTAACTTTATCAAAAACTGAATGATCAAAATAAAATTTTACCTACTGTTATATCCACACTAACATTGTTTTAATTTTTAAATGGCAATATAAACTGCTTCAGACTGTATTTAAATTGTAATTCCTTTAATGTTCATATTTTTCTCAATCTTAATGTTAAAATTATTAATTATAATAAAACGTGCTTGTAGTATTTGGCATCTAGATATTAAAAGATCTGTAAATAGTTTCTAGAAAAATATGTTTAAGTATTACAAAAAGACATCAAGCCATAATTCACTTTCACCTGTACATCTTTTCCCATTCGTGCCCAAGACACGCGGGGCAGTTTTAGTAGAGTTCATATGTTTCAATGACATCGGCATATGAAGGGATAATGTGGTCCGCACTATGCCCAGCCACCTTGGTTTACCCTAACGTTAGTTAGGTACCCATTGGAGCTCGGTGGACTCAGTAACGTTTTACTGAGACTAACCCAAAAGTCTTCAAACTTCGGGTTAGTCCAGTGCCCTAGCGCTAGGCCACGCAGTCCCCAACCTGTACATATTGCATGTTATCCCATGACTACCGATCCAAATCGAATACAGAATGAATAGAACCAATACATTTGATAACACTTTCTTTAAGTTGGTTTTTTAACACATGTTTGGGGGAAAAATAATAAACATCAAAAAAGTTGTACACAAAGGCTCACCTTTTCTTCCATTTGTATCTGGCAGGCTTCATTTTCCATAAAAATGTTCAATCATCCCTGAACACTATGGTCACAAGTAGTATTTAATAATTCCATTTTTTACAGGAAGTTTTGTTAGATACACCGCAGGGCATTCCTTATAAGGGTAGAAGACTGGCTGTGGAGAAGGTGTGTATTTCTCTGGTTATTATTCCATTAGTAGATAAGCTTCCTGCTGGGAATGTGATCAAAATATAACCAAGCTAGTGGAGAACAATGCTGTTTGTTATAAGAGTTTTAATAGAGTTATTACTTAATTGTTTACAGATTGCAGGTGTATCCATCTTAAGAGCAGGTGAAACAATGGAGCAAGCCTTGTGTGAAGTGTGTAAGGACGTCAGTATTGGGAAAATTCTAATTCAAACTAATTTAGATACTGGTGAACCAGAGGTAAGTCTTTTTATCTACAGACGATATAGTATTTCCAATTAAATTCCGTGTATACAAACCTTATTAAAAATAATTGTTGTCCAGTTGCACTATACACGTCTCCCGAGGGATATCAAAGATCATCACATTTTCCTGCTGGATGCTACAGTGGCGACTGGTGCTGCTGCGATGATGGCCATACGTGTGTTGCTTGATCATGATGTGCCTGAAGAAAAAATATTTCTCTGTTCTCTGTTGATGGCAGAGTCAGGTTAGTTTTTCTTGAAATAGTTGTTGGTCTTCTGTTTCATTATAAAGAAAAAAATGTTTTTTAGCTCTGTATTGATGCAAATATATTTTTGTGCTTTATTTTCTTTTAATTTCCATGAATGAAAATGTTTTCAGGTATTCACACTGTAGCCTATGCATTCCCAAAAGTAAATATTGTGACAACAGCTGTTGATAAAGAGATGAACGAAGATTTCCATATTTTACCTGGAATTGGTAAGTCTTGTGCTCTATTTCTGTTTTTAAGAAAATGTGTTTAATGTTCTATTAATTGCTAGTTGTTACATTGACTTGCATTTATTTTCTGCTGAGTTTTGGTGAATTAAACCCTGGTTAAATGCCATATTGCTTTTCAGGCAACTTTGGGGACCGTTACTTTGGAACAGATTTTTCAGACTAATTGCATGATTATTGAATCAAATGGTCTCAGCATATACATTTTATCGGAGTGAAAAAATGAGATTATCTCTAGTGTTGTTGTGTAAATAATATACAAGGGAAGTAAATTTGTTACAAATTGTTGTTTACAAAATACTTAGATAACAAAATATTCAGCTGATGTTGCTTTTATTGTTATATTGTGTGATTCGTTTAATTGATGAAAGCTTATCACATTTGTCTAAGGTATACAGCTGTAAATATGGAAAATTGACAATTCTAAGAAGAAGAACTATGAGCATTCAGCATTCATTGGAATGATTTTCTCTTTTGTTTGACTGGTTAGTGCTTATCACAGATTAAAATGATCTGCATTTATAACTTGTACAACCTTGATAAGATTTCTAGGGCATTACACACAATTTGTTGTCTATAATTGTCAAATTGAGCCAAGATTTTAAAGTCTTTCTTTTCAGAGAAAGGAACTAGGTTTACAGCAGTTTTGTTCATATACATTTTATTTGATGTTCTGTTTAGTTTCTTGTAATATGATGTGAGTTGATTGCTTTGTGCCATAATGTGTTCTCACTATTCAGGGTGGTAGAAATTATCAACGCTCATGCTGTTTTAACTTGCCAAATGAACCAAGTTTTATGAACTGTTACATTGTTATCAAGAAATTTTGGACTATTTAGTGGATTTTTTTTAACTTGTATAATTTGTATATTTAACAAAAAATGTATGTTGGTGTATCAAGATCCTTCTACTACATTCTTTACTATGCTGATTGTAAAGCTAGTCATAGCTACTTTTTTATTTTTCAACATCATTAATTATCAATTGAAAGCCCATAATGGTACCAGTTTTCATATTAAAAATACTTTAGTATAAAATAGTAAAGTATTACAAAATCATTGAAGACTAGCTTTTTAAATCTGGGGGTTTAAATGTCTGTATGAGTACTAGCAGAAATATTTCTTAAAGAACATAATACTACAAAATGACTTGTCCTTTTTGAAGTGAGGGATATCAATCTATACAATAACATGTCAGTTCATTAGGTGGATACACCTGAATGGCTTTTTTTAAATTCCATCCCTTTGTTTTTTTAGAATACAGTTAAAGCTAATATAGTCTCATCTGTATAATGTTTAATGTGGAAATTAAATATAAATTTTACATCAAACTTGTGTACCATATAAAATCCCCATGCTGAATTCCTTCATGAAACATTTATTCCACATTTATTCCAGAGATAATTTTGCTGAGTATGTATGTTTAGAGGCATCTTTACAACCAATTCTTTTTTAGGCCCAAACTTATTTGAACTACCACTTCTGGAAAGTGGAGCATTGATAAACAAAACAAATATTGTTCTTATAACTTTATTTCTTACTGCTTTTTGGTGATGCATTTGACTTTGCTGTGTTTTCTTTTATCATTTGTGTAACATACCAGTGAGAGTAATTTAAATTTTGTGCACAAAATATTTTGTTCAAATATGTACACTTCCTTTACACTTATTGTGCTGCCGTTTATTGACTTGCTATTGATTTTTTAAAAGTGTGTGGTTTTTAATTATTTCTTAAATTTGCTGTTTTGTTATAATTTAACATATCTGTTAAAATTCAGAAAGAGAAATTATCTGCTGCTTTAATAATGTGTGAAAATTACAACTGTAAACAATAAGAAATAATTGGTTGCTCCAGTGTGCTTGATGTCTTTACATTAAAACAAGTTATCTAACTAAAATGCTTAGGCGATTGTAAATTTTAACCAACCAAAATTAAAACTGATTACCTGTGTATGACTGCATTAAATAGTAAGAATGTGTGAGACTGATGTGAACTAGCCCACAAAATGTAAACAAACATGAATTCCAGCAAGTTATCTGGTGTATGAGAGACAGTTGTTTCAGTGCTTGGGTCACTTGTGTGTGGATGAGATCTGATTTACATTCTGAGTGTTTTGTGGGACCATGTCAGTGTCAAACTGTACAGCTTGTTGTCATGTTATTAAAGGGAGGGACACCGGTTTAAAACATTGTGTTTTTTTTTATTTGATGCTTGTTTTTTTTTCAGAGGTTATAAAATGTCGGTCCATTGGTTATAATTTATAAAAATTTATATTTTTATAATAATGGGATTGGTAAAAAATCAAAATAGAAGCATGTAAAAACTAATTTGCAATGCAAGAAATGAGGGTAAACAAAATGGCAGACTGGAAAGATAGCTTTAATGGGCAATGAATGGTCAGTAATACCACAAGGCAAAAAGAAAATATAGTTAACAAATTTTCATGGACTTGATACATTGACACAGTGTTCTCTCACTCAGACATAGTAGTTGAACATGTTCTCAAAGTGTTCTTGTTGTCCTGACAACAAGGCAGGCTCTCCATTCTGTAGGATAAATTCCTAGACACAAAAGGTATACATTTTAGAAAATGAAATGCTTGGAACAATACATAGTGTATAAGATTTTATTTTTTTATTCAAGAAAGGATGCACAAAAACAAAAGGGGGGGGGGGGAGCTACAAGCAAGTGTGGACAATAACCCATCAAATTCATTATTGAGTATACTTATAGGTAAAAAAAATACTAGATTTATCCTGTATGGTGAAAGTACAATTTTAAACAATAGTACTCTAGTTTGATAAAAAATTAAACAGCCTGACCGCTTATTAACTTACTGTATTTAAATTAAAATTGTTAAAATGACAAGCTTTTAAATGTGCTGATAATAAGAAAATACATTTTTATTTTAAAATAAAGGTGCTTATTGCTATGCTAAAATAACAGAGTTCATGAGTGACTAATAGATGACTCCATGTCAGACAATACAGAAAGTATTTTAACTTCTTTCATGGAAATAAAGTAGGTATCTAGATCTATCTTTTTAAATGACTGAATTATGAAAGAAGTATTCATAAGAAATATATTCACCTCTAGCTCCTCTAGACTTGTGTTTCCACTTTCAATTTTTGCACCTATTCCTGAGCTGTAGCTATCATAGCGCAACTGCATTGTAAATAGAATTTTTAAGAAATTTTTATTCATTTAATTAACTTATAGTTTTAAAGAAAATTATTATTTTCCTTTTCTCTTACTTGTACTTGCTGGCTAATGACACCTTCTTCTAAGATTCTCGCTGCACACTTCAAGCCCCGGGCAAATGTGTCCATGGCACCTTTGTAAGGGTAAAAAATGTTGACATCAAATACTGATACCCCCAACTTTACAGCTAACAAGTTAGAAAATCATGTTTTTTTTTGTGGGAGCTAAAAGATTCTTTAAAAGGTTATACTAGAATTATTAGCTTAATTTTAGAAAATGATGTCCAAAGTCTGCAATAAAATATACAGAATCTACAAATGTTGCAATAAAATGTCCTAAGTTTACCAATGCAGGGGTGCCACTTTTCCGGGATATCCCGGATTTCCGGATTCGAGAATCATATTTTTTTCCCTTTCCGGATTCGCAAGATTTGAGTTTGAAAATTTCCGGGTTTGCAGTTTAAAAAAAAAAAATTAGATCGTTTTAAGCTTGAAAATTTTGGCATTGTAAAAATCGTTTTTATCGTCAACACTCCCGCTAATGACTTTTTCCGAAAAAAATGAATAGTAAATGACGTCAGCAACAATCTCACGCGTGCGCCAAGGACCAAATACAAATGGGCTGTATCAGATGGGTGAGTCTGTAGACGAAACTTTTTGATGTCATTCGTGGTGTGGTTGTCTGGCTATTTATGACCATATGGGTTGGGGGTAAAACTCGCATTATTTACGTGATGTCATCAATAGGATATCGCTAGGCTGTGTAATAAAAACAACTAAATCCTACAATTACTAGATCTAGATCTAGCTCACTAGCATCGCCGATCGTCTTTTAAAAAAAAACAACCGAAAGATTTTGCTCCGATCAAATTTTTTTTTTTTTTTTTTTTTTTGTATTTGGTATTACCAAAAGAAAAGGAAAAAAAACTATTTGAAGGACTATTTTATGTATGAAATAGAACTGTGCTGTTTTCACTCAACTTTACCCTCACTTTTTAACCACCTCTTACCCGCTTCTTCAAGGTCGCGCTGACCGTATGACCTACGTCACGAGACCACGCAAGCACAGTCTGAGTCGTGTCTCTCGGTCAAGGCAGTTCTACAAGTACAAGCGCTGTTTAATTTTAACGTGATTATTTTTTTTAATAAGGGCCTTCTTCTAGATTCAAGAAAAAAAAAACTAGAACTGCATCGTTTAATATCATTAAACAAAATATGTAGGCCTGCTATAATTTAGTTACACAATCTAGCAGGGTCTACATCTAATATTTTTTTTTACTTTGGTAAAACGTCATTGAAATGTTTAAAAAAACTTGAAGTACCGCGTCTGAGAAAATAGCCGCTATCACTGCCCCCTCACAACCGCTTGTAAAAAAAAAAAATCAGCTTTTCACTTAGTCGGGCGGCTACATCTCTGACATGAGTATTACTAGCCAGTGGCGTAGCCAGGATCGTCTCAAGGGGGGGGTTCCAATTTTTACCCGGGGACAAACTTTCGATTTGCACCCCCCCCCCCTCAAACTTTCGATTTGCACCCCCCCCCTCAAACTTTCGATTTGCACCCCCCCCCTCAAACTTTCGATTTGCACCCCCCCCTCAAACTTTCGATTTGCACCCCCCCCCCCTCAAACTTTCGATTTGCACCCCCCCCCCTCAAACTTTCGATTTGCACCCCCCCTCATACTTTTTATATATACCGAGGGGTCTATGGGGGGGGTTATGACCCCCCCTAACCCCCCCCTGCCTACGCCACTGTTACTAGCGTAGTTACTTCTAAAATCATTTTTAAAATTAACTTAATTCTGTTATTCCGCGACATGAACTTAAAACTTCCACGATATTTCACGATCATGTATATCAAAGGTGGGGGCATTGGGGTCGTTCATAAATGACGTCACACTCGTAGGGGGAAGGGGGTCCGTAATTTTGTCATGAGGGGGAGGGGTTCAGATGGTGTGACATCACACTTTTGCATTAACCAAAAGCTATGTTAGAAAACGAATTTTAGCCGTTATTTCGCGTTTTAGAATATTGTTTCAATAAAGTGTAATAGGAATTGAGAATTGATTAAAATACTCTTATGTTGACAGAGGTCAAGCAAGATTTTTGGAAAAATATCGTATTTTAAGAAACATTCGACTGCAATTTTTAGGGGAGGGGGGTGTAGGCTGAGGTGTGACGTCATTTTAGAGGGCGGGGTCTGGCTTTTCGTGACGATATGTGACCGAGGGGAGGTGGGAGGTAAAAATCGTCAATAAAGCGTGACATCACTTATGGATGACCCCATTGGTGGTTGATTGGCAAAACAGGGTTTAAGGTTTTTGTTGTGGCTGCTAATAATTAAAGCCTTGAATAGCTACAGTAAGTCAACCCTGTATTTTAATACAGTGACAATCTTATTAAGGGTCTGCATATAGTGGGCTTATTATTCAATAACAAGACATAGAGGTTAGCAAAACATGTGTTACTTAACAGTTGGCTGACTACACACTTTAACTCAAGCTAGGAAGTTCTAAAAAATTAAATAGTTATGTTATAAAAGCTGGCTGGGGGGGGGGGGGGAGAGGGAAGTTCAATAGCACATTATGGGGTAGGCCTAGAGATGGGACTAACATTGTAAACTAATTTTATTGTAAGCACAATCCTTTAAAGATTAAATTTTATTTGAAGCTTGTTACAAAGAAAATAAATCCATTTTAAAGGAATGTAAATTGAACATAATATGAATCAAATGTCTCAGAAAATAATGAAATAATAGTCCATTTTATTTTGAAATTCCGCGCGGAATTAAGTTTCAGGGTTTCAAAAATTTCAAATTTTAGTTTCAGGATTGGTAAAATTTTGGGATTCATTTTCAGGATTCACTTAAAAAATGAGTGGCACCCCTGCCAATGTTATTGTTAACAAGAACATGTCCAATGTTTACCCATGTTATTTTTAACAAGAAAATTCCAAAGTTTACCAATGTTAACAAGAAAATTCCAAAGTTTACCAATGTTAACAAGAAAATTCCAAAGTTTACCAATGTTAACAAGAAAATGCCTAAAGATATCCAACATGAGCATATTGTTAAATATCAAGAGCTCACCAATGTGTGCAATGAACATATCCTTCAGCTCCGTTGATTCACGTCGTACTTTACAATCAAAATTTAAGCCACCTGGTTGTAATCCTCCTTGCCTTAATATAACCTAAAATGTTGGATAGATTTGTTACAGCAGGTTACAGAAAACTTAATCAGCAAGTAGTGATAGTTGATGTACTTAAATATCAGGCTACCAGGTTTGAGTAGAAACTGTACCTGCATTAACAAAGTTGCATTTTTAATGTCCATTGGAAACTGGTCTGTGTCCCAACCCAGATCAGGTGATCCTGTGTTGGCGTCTACTGACCCCAGCATGTTGTACCTGAGCAATGTTTTTGTTTAGTATGTGGTCAGTGTTTAGCCATGCAATAAAAAGCTATTTTTTTAAGAACAAAGAACAATAACAAGACTTACGCAGAGGACATAACTATATCATGCTCATAAGCATGGCCAGCCAATGTGGTGTGGTTAGGTTCTATGTTCAACTGAAAATATGAAACTTTTAAATCAATTTACATTCTAATATCTGGTAAAAAAAAAAATAAAAAAAAATAAAAATATATATATATATATATATATGTATGTATATACATGTATTTACACATACATATATACATACATAATTGTTGATCAATTTTAAATAGAATTATAAATATATAATTTAAAATCTACGATAAACGATGTAGGCCTAAACTGTCTGCTAATGTAGCCTGTTAAAAATAATGTTGTCAAGAAATATATTTACCTTCATCTCTTTCTCTAGCCCGTAAGTTCTTAAAAATGCAATCACTGTCATGGCATCTGCATAATAGGAAGTAACAATATTTTGTTTTTAAATCCTGGGTTAATCAACCAAATAGGCTTTAAACTTTAAAGGTGAAAACAAGTAGAATTCCTTATGGTAATAACCAAATTGAAAAGCTTAATTACCATAATCATATTGGTGCTTAGATGGTTCCTTTGGTTTGGGTTCTATCAAAAACACACCTTTAAATCCAATCTTTTTTTTATAAGCTGAAAATATTTGTTTTTGTAAACAAAACATAAATTATTGAAAGCAGGATAAAATATTTAAACAATTTAAAAGTTAAACATCATTTTCTTGTAATTTTATAAACATCTTTATTAGTAATTGTAATTGGGGACTGGATTTCCTAAAACAACAATTAAGTATTCCATGTCAACTTGTTATGTGCCATATAGGCTGTTGCCTCCAATTTCCAACTGCTTTTCTTTTTGGGTTTGCTTTCATAGCCCTTGTCTATCAAAGAACAAACTACAAGGCCACAGTTGTTTGATTTTGGAGCTGTTTCTCCTAGATGGTTTGCCGTCCCCAGCTATTGAACCTCAGATGGCTACTTGTTTTAGATACATTCAGCAAGTACTAAGAATCTTAATTAAAATAAATGAATGTACCTATAGCCAGCTTGAAAAATGTGGCCATGTGGTCCAGCTCACTTCGAACATTTGTGTTCAGCAGTGAATGAAAGCCCTCACGTCCACCCCAGAAAACTGAAAGTAAAAATTAGCTTTATCTTTTCAAATCATGTGAAATTTTAGTGTGTATGCTGGGGTAGATTAAAAATCGTATTGCCTTTTAGTGTGTATTTCAAAGCATTTTATAAAATTATGATAAATCAGCATGATGACATTAATGGGAAGCTATGACATAATGAAAAGTAAACATATGTTGTCTATAAAGCTACTTTCATGCATACTTTTGAAGTTTTCAATGTGCTGAAAGATAGTGTCAGATTGATACTTTTGTTGTTAAATAGCCACTGTCTGTATTTTGGTAGGCCTAACTCAAATGTATTTTTGTATTCTGAGTATACTGTATTTAAAATGATGTAAAGCCTACCAAAATTTTCAGCACCCAATTTTAAAGCAATGTCCAGTCCTTTCTTCACCTGGGCAGCAGCATAGGCAAATACATGTGCATCAGGGTTGGTGCTTGCACCATTCATGTACCTTCAGAACAGATGCAAAGAATAATAAATTTATAGCTAAAGAAAGCTGTTTATTTTACTGTAAAAAAACACAATTGAAGCTTTGTTGAACTCACTGGATTGGCTTTAATATGTGACCCATCTAACACAACTCTAAAAAAACCAAACAGATCTTTTTAAAATCTGAACACTACACCAGATAATAAATTCAGATCAAAAGACCCCATCAGAAAACCTGCTTTAAAGGAATTCTGCTTGCTGCAACTGACCTGGGGTTTGAAAATAAGTTGCATGTGGCCCAAAGAAGCTTGATGCCAGTTTTCTGTTGAAGCTGTCCAACAAAGTCTACAATTTCATCCAAGTTTTTGTTGGTCTCAGCCAGATCCTTCCCTTCAGGTGCAATGTCCCTGTACAGGTGTTCAAAGAACAGACCACACCATTAAAAGATTACCACTACAGTTATGGGACTTTAGGTGTTCTTTTCTTTTGTTATTATATAAACAGTATGCATTTCTAAACTAAAATGTTGTAATCAAAGTATGTGTTATGAAACACAATAGTGTTTTAAAATATGGCTTTGAAAGTAGAACACCATGTATTATATATGTAGTTCGGACTAGATCTACGCACCTGTCATGAAATGTCCAATATTCAACTCCCAGTTTTTGTAAAAATTCAAATGAAGCCCTCAGCCTCCTCTTGGCATTCTCTAGACTGTTGCTACCATCATCCCAAGGCCGAGCTAGGGTTGGTAGACCGAATGGATCGGCACCTAAATTTGACATGTGTCATACAAAAACATAAGTGAAAATCATTCTCTCTATGTTTTACACATTTACAAAAATCCTGGCATGACGTACATTTAAAAAAATAACATTTTGTTCAAAATATGCCCTGACCAAATGGGTTCTCTCATTAGTACCTCTATTTCAAACATTTCTATTAGATTCATGTTTTTAAGAGATGTGTATGTTTAATTAATGGTACAATTTTAAATATTTTCTCCTTTTTTTAAATATATATAATTAAAACACCAGATGACTTGAGTCAGTTGTTAGGCTAGGGCTAGCCGAGCACTTGTGAGATTATAAAGGATGTTTAATAAGCAAGCAAAATATTTTAACATTGAAAGTTGGGATATTTTTTAGTTTATTTTGACATGGTCTACCTGTTCCCCTAAATGTGTGCCAAAAACAAACGGAAAATCGCAGCCATTCTTTCATTGTTTTCCCCATGACAACCTGAAATACAGAAACACAAGGTGGTTTTGTACTGAAGAACTAATGAACAATTTACATTTGTTTTTAAAGCTAAACAAGATAACTTTTACCTTTGATGCGTTGTAATGTTTAAAAACAAGAGACTCTGTTGGTCCAGCTTCAGGCTTGTAAATAACTTGATCAATTCCTGCAGTAATACATTACAATGGCAAAGTTCAAGTTTTCTTTTAAATTTGTTTCTAATTTGACATTTGTACGCGACCTTTTAGAGAAAATGCTAAAATCTTCCCTGAAAAAAAAAGAAACTGGCTATGCTCCTATGCCTACAACTACCCAGTCTCCAACAGGAGACAAAAAATATATCTGATCTAACTTTTTATTGTCAACTAGTACAGGATCTAGAGAATATATCTGAAGCAATGGGTGATGTAAGAGAGATGTTATAATACACAGCGATGTAACAGATGTTGTAAAATAGAGTTGCTGTTAGAGAAATGCTATAATACAGAGTGCTGTAAGAGAGATGTTCTAGTTCAATAGAATATTATATTTTCATTAGTTAGTCTCTCCTTCCTTTTCCATTACCAACTAAATGAACTTTCGAACTAGATCTAGGCATTTTTCAAAATGTTGCAAACGCCGTTTAGAAACTACACTTTAGCGAAAATGTTTAACCCTTTACCTATAAAATACTCGGCATCTTCCTTGTCAAAGTCCTCACATGATTTTGATGATGTAGCAGATGATGTAGGGGCGAAAGATGACATGTTGTCTGATGCTGTTGGTAGAGATTTTAGATGTTGATTGACGCTGTTGGTAGAGATTTTAGATGTTGATTGACGCTGTTGCAGTGGCGTAGGCAGGGGGGGGTTAGGGGGGGTCATAACCCCCCCCCCCCATAGACCCCTCGGTATATATAAAAAGTATGAGGGGGGGGGTGCAAATCGAAAGTTTGAGGGGGGGTGCAAATCGAAAGTTTGAGGGGGGGGTGCAAATCGAAAGTTTGAGGGGGGGGGTGCAAATCGAAAGTTTGAGGGGGGGGTGCAAATCGAAAGTTTGTCCCCGGGTAAAAAATTGGAACCCCCCCCTTGAGACGATCCTGGCTACGCCACTGCGCTGTTGGTAGAGATTTTAGATGTTGATTGACGCTGTTGGTAGAGATTGATATAGTTTTTGTGGAGTTAATCATTAGGCTTAGGTTTTTTTTGTGTGTATATGTTAAACCTGTTTATAATTATATTTAGTCAGTCAGTAGAGACATCTTTTAAGGCCGATGTTTATTTTGTTTATGTTAAGCCTATCGCCTATCATAGACAGTCAGTTTAAGAAAAAAACATCTACAGGATAGACCCAAATGAGCATAGTTGTACGCTGCCTGCCTGTAGACCACACATATACAACACTATGTTGTATGCTACACACGGACCACATTCAACATAACACTGTTTTGTGCTACCTGTAAACGGCGAGTGCATATATGGAGCCATATATAGGCCCATATGTTGTATATATATATATATATATATATATATATATATATATATATATATATATATATATATATATATATATATATATATATATATATATCAATCATATATCATATATATATATCATATAGGCCTATTTCAATTGCACTTATTAAAACATTTCACCTAAGAAAACGTATGTGCACCACCATGACGCTATTTGACTGCGGCATTATCAGACCCACTACGCTCCGGGCAAGTTCTATTTTTCAAGGACCGTGTTAACCCGTTATACACGAAGATCACGGCTAATTAATTTGATCTCGTATAAAATGTGTTTCTTCATTTGAAAGGTTTCTCAAATCCAATGCCAAGTTGTTTTTTTTAAAAAAAGGAAGTCAATCTCATCAAGGATTCCCACAAAGCCACTTCCAGACTTTTTTCTCCGAGGGGGGGGGGGTACTAGAAATTTTCCGGGGGCGGTAGACTTCTGAGATGTCTGGATGAAACTGTGTGTGTTAGATGTAAAAATGAGGCTAAACTATAAGCTAAAGTGTTACAATATGAATGCTACGTCACCAGACAGGCATAGTACCAGAAACCCTATGAGCAGGTTGCCAGGGCATAACACAAGGGATAATGGGCAGTAAATGACTTACAACTGGAGTCTGTTTTGATTTCTGTGTGGAACAAATTTCCGAAAACCCGAGACAAATCTAAAGCGTCCCCATCTAAACCCGTGTGTAAGCCAGCATGTTTTCAATATTTGTTTACAGCTTGATACAAATCAAACTTGCAAGTCAGTTCTGTGTTTATGTAGCGAAAACTTAGTCATTGTCAATGTTAGCACCGCATGTAGTGTTCCGTGTTCTAATCTAAATGCACGGGTAGCTTCAAGATACGTGCGACTTCTGAAAGAAACCAAACTAATTGTCGCAATGAAATGGTCCTATTTCTCCAGAAGTCAGAGGTAACAAGCGCGACATTCTGTTGTACAAAACTAGCTCAAAAATTACATAAATTAGCAGGATAATAAAGGCCTAAACAGGGGATATTTATTTGTACACCTACATTGCCATTTTCTCTAGACTTCAATCACTTATACCAGGACTTGCTTTAAGCAAGGAAATAGAGCGTATACATGTCTATGGCCCACTGCATTTACACACTACACAACGATTGAAACGATCACAGCTAAAAGCTCGTCTATAAACACGTCAAGAGAATGTAAAGCTATTTTTGCGACGGCATTGCGACCCCCAGTCACACTTGCAATCTGAGGTAATTGAAAGAAAACAATCAACCAATTAGACGCAATTATCCACCCAAACATTTATACTCACTTGTCAAAACAAACTTGTCTGATTTCTGGAATGTTATACAAACTAAGGTCCTACCATCAAGTGTCAGACTACAGGTCGTGCAGTCGATATGGAGAAAAAACCAGCACTTTACGCAACGGTTGATTATCTTAGGCAACGCCTCCTTTCCTGGCCTTTATCAGACGCGAACACCGTCAGTGTCGTCTGCACACTCCACCCGCTCCCCGCCCTGAGCATCAGCTTGACAACGATAGGACCTTCGGTAAAATTTTATGTTTGTGTGTCGAAAGTCAGTCAAAGCTACTAGATATTGTTTAGGCCAAGTGAACTTAAAACTGTTCACCCCCCCCCCCCCCCCCCCGTACCAGTTGTGACCTTGAGTGAGATAATCGCCTTAACCAGTTTATCAGTCACTGGTAAAAAATAAAAGTCTAGGCAAAAATAACTAGTACTGTGTACAGCTGTGTGACTAACATTTGTCCTGTGTACAGCTGTGTGACTAACATTTGTCCTGTGTACAGCTGTGTGACTAACATTTGTCCCGTGTACAGCTGTGTGACTAACATTTGTCCCATGTACAGCTGTGTGACTAACATTTGTCCTGTGTGACTAACATTTGTCCTGTGTACAGCTGTGTGACTAACTTTTGCCCTGTGTACAGCTGTGTGACTAACATTTGTCTTGTGTGACTAACATTTGTCCTGTGTACAGCTGTGTGACTAACTTTTGCCCTGTGTGACTAACATTTGTCCCATGTACAGCTGTGTGACTAACATTTTGTCCCATGTACAGCTGTGTGACTAACATTTGTCCCATGTACAGCTGTGTGACTAACATTTTGTCCCATGTACAGCTGTGTGACTAACTTTTGTCCTGTGTACAGCTGTGTGACTAACATGTTTCCTGTGTACATCTGACTAATTTTATCTTATAAACAGCTCTGGTTACTAAATTATTATTAGAAAGATTATCCCTGCTAGAATGATATCAACAAATTTAACATCAGAGTATGACACAAGTTTAGCATCACATATTACTGACAGTACATGTTTTATACAGCTAATCCTCTACTCACTGTTTTGGCCATTTAAATTTGTCATGCTAGGTAACCAAAAACACCGTTCAGGCTAAAAAGCTGATATCTAAAATGGAATTGAATGGTAGGTCACAAGCTGGGCAACTATTTGGTCCCTCAAACCTCCTAAAGCCATCTCAGCCTGGTCAATTTTCAACACAAATGCATCTGTCGCATCCTTTATATAAATAATATAATTATAAAAATAGTTACCCTTTGAATCTGGCAGTCAGATGAAGTAGAGTTCACATAATTATGTGACCTCAGTGTATGAAGGAATTGTACAGCTATCTATTATTTTCCCTAACACAAGTCAAGTACCCAGGGTGGACTCAGGGACATCCTACAGACTGGAGCCATGTATCCAAACTTGAGACACTCTCATCATACTACCAAAATGTTAGTAAGGTGGTGGTTTTGGTGCGACCTGCCCATTTCTCTAACACCAACAACAACAACCTTTTGTTTTAATGTCAATTTATTTCTCTGTACATGAACATAATGGCATAGAGAGCACACATCCACACAGGCATAAAATGTTCAACATCAGCTTAAAACAGCAGTTAAAAATCTTTTAAAATACACAATGCTATCTTAATAGCAAACTTTAAAACAACTAGTTGGATTTAAACAGCATACAATACAAATCAATAAGTTGAATAAGTTAAACAGTTCAAACAACACAGATATTTCTAGAAATTTTATCAATCATTTATTTTGGGCTTTAAAATTTTTTATTGGACTAAAATGGTGCTTAAAAATATATAAAAGCTACATGTTGAGGCTTGCACAATTTAAATTCAAACAAACCAAATTATCTCAGGTATTTTCCTTAATGTAGGTTCTAAAACCTGAGCACATTTCATTTTAGTTATAGATTCAACAAAATAATAGTGATCTGACACAACGACAGAGCGATGTAAACTAGTTCATATTACTTTAGATCTATGATAATGTTTTCAAAACTGAGATTAAAGTCATGCTATATTACATAACCCAATAGCTTGAAACCACTGACATTGAGCATTAGATGTAAACCTTATCAGTTCTGTAGATGGTTGAGCACCTGGCCAGGTGACCAACAGTTCAGCAATGATTATCTACCCTTAACACTAGTCATCAGCACTGATTATCTACCCTTAACACTAGTCATGGCATCCAAAACAAAAGAACTGATAACAAACATACTTGCGGCAATGTTCAGCATCAATGACTGCAATACTGAGTTTTAAACATGGCCGTAAAACTTTTAAAACAAAATAAAATGTGCATTTTCTGGCAGTTAGATAACAGCAGTTGCTAAAAATTGAACATAATTTAAGTATAAAGTAGATAACATATTGGAAGAGAAGCTAACATTTAACAAGTGTCCTTAATGTCAGTGATTAGTGTCACCATTCTCAATGCTCTTGGCCAGCACCACAGTATGTTGACCTCCAGCTGACACCATAACAGCGGACCTGTCGACAGAAACGTGATAACAGTTAGCATTTCACATAAATATGTGATACGTTCAAAAACATTTCACTAAATAAAGGAGGAAACAGACACATAAATTACACAGCTGTTGGCACTTCACACATTAGAGGAAGATACTAGCAAAGCTATCAAACTGGATCATATACAAAAAAAACTTGAGATGAACAAACCAATGTAACAGCTAAGTATTTGACCACAAAGCAATTTTTTTTCAGCTGTAACCTTCTATATGAGTAGTGCTAATCATGTTCAACGGAATACAAAATAATAATACGCTTATTTCAGTCACAGGGCTGGCGATGAAATAAACAATGTGCTTATATTCGCTTACAGTTGATAAGCTACAAAAAATGCTTATTTCGTTAATTCTGTTAAATTTTTTATATTTGCTTTGATAAATATAATTTTTTTCTTAGACAACCCTAGCTCAAAACTCAACCCAACCCTAAATTAAATATAATCGTTAAAAAATAATATTATAAATGTCAGTTGCATTATTTAAAAAACCCTACAGTTCTACTTGGTTCTGTGCTTAAGGGTCGTCCATAAATGACGTCACACTCGTAGGGGGAGGGAGGTCCGTAATTTTGTGACAGTGTGTGATGAGGGGGAGGGGGGTGCGACGTCACACTTTTGCATTATAAAAAAGCAATGTTAGAAAACGAATTTTAGACGTTATTTCGCGTTTTAGAAAACTGTTATAATAAATTGTAATAGGAATTGATTAAAATACTGTATTTTGACAGAGTTCAGACAAGATTTTGGAAAAATATTGATGTTTTAAATAAAATTCAACAGCAATTTTGATGGGGGGGGGGGGGGGGGGGTCGTCTGGCTTTTTGTGACGATGTGTGACAGATGGGAGGTAAAAATCGTCAGAAAAAAGCGTGATGTCATTTATGAATGACCCCTTATGTAATCAAAATATGTATCACCAATTTATGCAAACTGTTTATTAGGTTTATTTGGAGACCCCTGCTCTAAATGAATACATCCACTTAATTTTTTTTACACAAATCTAGTTTCATTATCATGATTGGAAAAAGCAGAATTGGCAATTTTTAAGTATGCAGTAACAGTAAACAAGATTTTAAAATTTAATCAACAAATCACTTCCCCTGTATATAACACAGCTATCAGCCATGATGGCCAATTACATTTATTGTAAAATAACTGGAGCTTTTAAGAAGGGAATCATCTGTCATTAGACTATAAGATTTGGCAAGATAAGTACAAGTATCTAGTCAAACAGTGGCATCACTTTACCTGGACTCAAGCTGTTTGCCTGCAACCTTGGTGGGAACAAACTGGTCTTCATCATCACCTGAGCCCAACTGGTTGTTGGAGCCCATGCCCCATGAGTACAGGGTACCTGCAATACATTGTCTACATTTATACAAGGCCGGACGGTTGGGTGCTAGCTCACAAAGAAAATACACACAGCCACAAATGAGGTGCAATAAATACAGCCATAAATGACATGAAATACCCACCATCATTTGTTACAGCAAAGCTAACACAGCCTCCAGCTGCTACATTGACACAGGTAAAATCCTGCAGGGCAGGGACCAACGTCGGCTCTTGTTTCTCCCCACAGTTTTTATCAAGACCCAGACGCCCATAATCCTCTCTACCAATGGTGTAAACTTTTCCTGGATGAAAAGTGATTGCACTTAATCAATAACTGCAACTAAAAGATACAAAACTGTGACCCAAGCTATTTTGAATGATGCACAGATGAAGAAGCCACCTTACAAAACAAACTGACCAAGATGAAGGATATTTATATTGAATAGATCAATAGATTTTTACCTTTAGAATCCAGGGCAACTGTATGGTGTTGACCACCACTGAGCATTGACCATGAGCCTTTTTCAGAGAATGATGTCACACGTTCAGGAATAAACCGGTTAACCATATCATTGAATCCTGGATCAAGGGAATACAAGAGTCAAAGATCAGCAGCTATTCCAGTCCCTCTCTGGACAGGCTGTTACAGTCAAACAAAGACTCACCTAGTTGATAGTAGTTATTTAAACCCCAGGCATATATATCTCCAGTCTCTTTTTCTTTAGCAAATGTTGTATAAGCTCCGGCCCACACGTCACAGAACTGTGCCATTTTACGAGTCTTAAAACGTTTCACTTTTACTCGGCCAGGTGAAAGAATCATATCTGGGGTGAATAGCATGGAAACATTGCTACAAATCAGACAATGGGGTAATTTAGACTTTAAGTTAATGGAAAAAGAAAACACAAAACATCGTACCAAGTCCTTTACGACCGCCGCGCGTCGCAAAGCATTCTGCAATTCTTCCAAGCTGACCCTGCTCTGCACACCCTGGGAAGATTATTAGCACAATGGTCATAAAAGAAAATGGAAAGATTAATAGCATAATGATCATACAAGAACATAAGAAGATTAATAGCACAATACAATAGACATTGACAAAGCAGAAATACTAACCCAAAGATAAAAGATCCCCCCTGTCAGTAAGACAAACTAAATGGTCACTGCCAGAAACCATCTTGACAATAACTTCTTCCTGAATCAACTCAAAAGGTGTTTTCTCAATCCCATTTGTAGTAAGTCCCATAGATCCATTGGCATCCTAAAATTGTAACAATCTAACAATTATAAAAAACGTAATTAAACTATATTTTATCAAAGCTTTAATATGGGTGCAGGACAAAAGGCCGACAAACGCTTTAAAAAAAGTCAATGTAGAAAAATAGATATCTTAAATCAGAAATGAGAGCAGACTTTGGGGAAAAAAAGAATTTTTTTTGAATAGGCACTCAATGTTTTATCGCAGTCTGACACTAATTTTGGACAAAAAATAGTTTAATATAGCTACTATTTTAAGTAGAAGACCTTTACGTTACTCTAAAATACAAACGAAAGTCCTGTCTAATTGTAATGCAAATGTTTTTTAAACAACTTTTTAAAAATGTAAATTTTACAGTTTAACAAAAATGGAAATGAAATTTTATTTTAACATTCAGCTAATTTAAACTGTTATGATTTAGTAGTACTCTTTTTTCAATTTTAAATTATGCCTTATATGCTAAATAGATGGACATAGTAAATATCGTAATAAGTCTTTTAACGGTAAAGAGCATCTAATTGTAATTTGAGTTTTAGCTCATGTGATGGAAAATAAAATCAACCAGATTAGCTGAAGAAAAGGTCTAATATTTATTTTAAAGTCTATTGGAATTAGTTCTTGCTAAAACATTTGAACCAAAATTAACTGTATTTTTAGTAGTTAAGCTGCTTTGTTGAAAAATTCATAAATACGCTGACATTTGGAATCTTGACTTAGATTTAATCTTTATATAGTTCTGTCAGACCTCAAATGTAATCGTCAACATGAAAAGAGCGTCCATTTGAGTGGAGTGACAGCCAAGAAATGAGTGGCGAAAGGCTATGTGTAATATTCTATTGAAATAAGAATGTGTGAGATGTGCACATCTGCTGTTGTCGTCAAGGTCAAATCTGTTTTTCCCCAAAATTTTAAATCAACATGCAAAAGCAGCTGAGAAATTGGAAGGAAATGAAATTAGCATCTCAAATGGAAAAATCTGATTTCTGTTAAAATTAAGAAAGTCAAATTTGTGTAAAAAGCATTTGAATCATCCAGAACTAAGATTTGGTATTACAGCAGTATTTCTAGACAGCCTTTTGTCTAGACCCCACAGCATAAACTGTCACAATAAGCCATTATGATTAATGACGCAATAAACACCTTAAAAATAAATACCAACCCTGAAGTTTCCCCAAGCATAAACTCTGCCATCATCTGTGAGGGCTGCCGTATGACTGTCACCAGCTGTTACCATGACAATAGGAGCAGGGATGTTAACTTTTCCAGGTTTGGCATCTGAGCCTTCAACACTTGTATCACGGCCAAGAGCACCTTCATCGTTGCACCCAAATGTAAAAACCTAGTGCAGTAAAAAATTATATTCTTGCATCCAAATGTACAAATCGATAGCAATAAAAATTATAAACCAAACTAAAATTGAATTAAAAATCTAGCCTAACAGGTCGAAACCAAAAAATGTACCTGTCCAGTGTTGGTCAGGCACACTGTGTGCATGCCCCCAGCACACACTTGGATAACAGGATCAGGGATCTCAACATATGCTAGCCTGGTCCTCTCTGTTATATCAACACCAAGGCCTAGCTGACCCACATCTCCTTGCCCACATGCAAGCACCACGCCATGAACTGATCCATGTGAATCATGGGTTACTGAAAACATTACAACAGTATGTATGATTTGACTAAAAATCATGAAAAGAAAGTATAAATGCTACCAATGGCTATCTGTTGTAAGAGGTTTATTAATCATAATGTATTATTTGAATCAATATACCTTTCAAGCGTTTTGGCTTTGTACCATTGTGATTATTTTTTTCCAAAGTTCTTTTCTTTCCCTGAGGCATTTCTAAAAAGGCTGAAAATCTCACTGTAACCACTGAAATAAATAAACACATCTATTGAACAGAAAACTCAAAATTGTCTGCCAAATAAACAATAACTAAAGGGCATTAATACATCTTTCAAATAAAAATTCTGAGCCAAAATGTCTTGCATCTACTTAGTAGATAACAACTTTATCTCACATCATATATACATATAGTGCCATATAGGTATATTCTTATACATTGATATATTTGTAGCTATAATTGAATAAGAAACCAAACACAATATCAAAATTTATCAATAGGCCTATAGGTAAAAAAATTAACTTTAAACAGCAGTGGTTTTTCCTGAAATTTTAACTTTGATATAAAGGCTTAAAAAATAACTTTAAAAAGATGGTTGCAAAGTTAACAAGCTTGGTTGCATCGGATGAAAACATTGGTCATCTTTATTTATTACTGAAAAGTTTGAATAAAATTCTTTAAAAACAGGTAGGCTACATGAAAGTCACTTTTTTTGTAACAAAAAAAAAATGCTTGTAAAATGTTTAAATCGAAGTGTTAGTCGATTGGGAATAACTGTATTTGGGCTATTAACAGTCGTGACTGTATTTGTTACATTTAATGTTAAAACACCCATTAATGCATAAAGCTGTGTGGTCAAGTGCTCATGTGCGTGGCTGTCAAGCCGCAAAACAAACCCAACTAGTGCTTTCATATGACATGTGCTATTGTCCAAATCTTATTTTTTCCCGTTTTTTCATGAAACAGTTACTTTTGCTTTTTTTTTTGTGACGTGACTGCTGGTAAATTTGCAGAAAAAAAGACACATCTCTTAGATTTATGCTAAGAGAAAAAACAACTTGGGAGAATGACAATGGAAAAATGATTCAAACTGACATTGACAAGCTTTTCCACCTGACAATTAGGCTACTAAAAGTACTATATGTGAATTTTAAAATGGTAATTGACAGTTTAATAGCAATGTGAAATACTAACTGAACTGATACATAATCAATATGGTTAATTTAGCCCTGATTGAATAATATAGATTGCTTTTTTTTTAATTAGAGGGTATAATTGATCATCTACATAGCAGATATGAACCTAAGCTAAAGGCTAAACTAAACTTAGGTAAACCATAGGCCCTAATAATTAAAAAAAATATAGGCTAGGCCCTAACACATTAAAAATAGGACTGCTCTCTTAAGTCTTAATCTATATCTCACTCAGTCACAATAAATGCTTTTTTTATTGTAAGATATTATTCCTTGTCATATTTTGTGTGAAATGACAGCCGACTGGGAATAGCCCCAATACGGCCAATAGTCAGTGATTACTAACTTAAAGACAAGCTGGCTGGGAATAGCCTTATCCGGCATAGCATTGTTAAATTGGGCCTAATTACTAAAATTTAAGTAGTCACTTTTCTGTCACATTACTAGAATCTAGCTTTGGATTTTTAGTCTAAAAAATTAGACTAGATCTACCACTGAAAGACATGGGGAAATTGCGAGACGCGAAAAGGCGAGACGGGAAAATGCGAGAAGGGCGAAAAAACTGTAGGTCACGTGACTTTTTGTCTCGCATTTTACCACAACCCGATACTTACGCTGGGTGGTATTGAAATGCGAAGATTTCTGCGAAAAATTTACCGCACCCGATTTTCAGTGGTATTTGGTCCAGACTTCAAAGACGTTTCTTTTACATTGTTAAAACTTCCTATTTTTCTGTCGCTAGACATACTGATGATTTGTCAACTCCCCCCATCTTTTGTGTTGACTTAGAATACCACCTTGTTCGAAACCGACGGCAGGGTTCATGCTCAAAAGTTCAAATAAAATTCCAGGAGTTTTCCAGGACTTTTCCAGGAGTTTAAAAAAAATTCAAGGAGATTTTAAAAACAAAAAAGAAACCCAATTTGTACATTTTAAAAAAAAGCGTACTTAGTAATATATTTAATTAGCTAAGCCAATGCAAAATTTAATTTCAGTAAAAGTAAAACAATATATTAGTTACATATTAGGATAGAGGCTATCAATCTGACTACAGACCAGTTTGAATTTTCAAAATCTGACCATAAACAAAAAAGTTATGATTTTTTTTTGTCATTAAAAAAAATAGCAGATTTTTCAAACAAGCGGGATAGACCCTGAAAGAGGAAAAATACTGGGAGGGTATGGACCAAATTTTAAAGAGTTTTTCACTATAAAAGAGGTATAAATGCAAGTAGACTTCACCAATTAATATCATTTCTTGATATTTTATTGATTTTTGGATGCCAAATCCAATGATGCTAGGCTAGTCGGCCAACCCGATGAACGTGTCAGACGAATATTATGTAATTTCAGAGACAAAAGTCTGGCAAGATTTCTTGATCTATGCCCAAGGATTAGTAACATCAGCTCCACAAAGTGAAGGGGGAAGGGAGGTGGGGTATGAAACCACCGTACGAGTGTTACACAACATCAAAGGCGCCGACCGTCGGCTTGTCGCGTCACGGAGTAGTGGGGGCGGGTTGAGGTTATGGATGTTACGTTGGGTGTTACATACCATGTAGGATGGTCAGTGTCTTCCCCCACCAACCCCAGCCCATTTTGGTCGATTTGGCAAGCCAGTATTAAGCGTATTAACAATTATTAGTCAACCGAAAAGAAGAGCCACTGGAAAAATTTAATTTATTTTCTATAGCCATTTTTACGAAAAATTAATGTATAAAATAAAATAATGAAACGTTACGCGAATCAGCATTGTTTGATCGGGTCGCAGCTATCCGGGTTTTTTAAAGAAGATTAATTTTGACGATTAGTCCTGAGCCGTAAATACTACTACAACTTTTTTTTGCTGTTTCAATAGTTTAAGACAAAGTATTGAAACATGCCTGTCTACTTTAAAAATCCAATAGCCGACAAGTCAAACACGGGAACACATGTATCTATCTTTAGAAATTGTTTATAGTATCATCCAATCGGGTCAATCGCCTAGCGTCACGTGATCACACACTCGGCTGTGCCACACGGTGTGTAGATCACGGCAGTGCGATTCAGTCGGACGACGGCCGATGCGTTTATTTTTATTTTCGTCCCATTTAAAAACTACTATTCAATTATTGGCGAAACAAAATCAAATAATTTCGGTCGGGTTTTGCGCCGCGGGTTAATAAAATTTCATGAGATTTCAGGGGATTTTTAAAATTTCAGGAGAATTCCAGGAGGTTTTTATATTTTTTCAAATTCCAGGAGAATTCCAGGATATTTTTACGTTTTTTAAGATTCCAGGAGTTTTCCAGGACCTCCTGGAATTTCAGGAGGCCGCACGAACCCTGCGACGGAAATACCGCCGACGATAGATCAACTTCTGTCTTTTGTGTGGAACGCCGAGGCCGCCTGATTTACCGTCTTTAAAGATCACCGTGCCTGGATCCGCTGCCGCCGCAAACATATTTTCTATTGTTGCATAGAAATTTTGTATTATAGCTGCCGCCTACAATTTTTTCTAGCTTTTTTTACCATATAAATATAAGCACAAGGTTGGATGTACTATGTGTGAAAGATGGTGTCACGAGATGTGTTTGAGTAGTGCTAGGACTGTTTCAGAAGATTTTGTTTGTAAATTTTGTTTGTAATTAAAATTACTCAATAAAAAAATAAATTACACTTTTTAGAATTGTTTATAGGCCTACTTCTACACTTTTTGCAAGTACAAAAATCCATAAATACATGTTGCAGAATATCTCTCCTGCTGACAAGATTACACCAATTCACAATGACACAGCTCATGTTTGTATAAACATGAGTGGGCTAGATTTTTAAAATTAATGTCGACTGAGACGCACAGCAACGATGTTAGGATTTTTAAATAGATATATCTATCTATCTATATAATAAAATCTAGATGAAAAATAACAACATACAACACTCGTGTTAAAGGGTATGGCTAAAGGCTTGTTTATTTAAAAAAAAAAAAAAAAAAAAGCCTAATTTAAATAAATAAAGATGAAAAACGCATGAACTTTTTTTTCGCAAAAAGTGTCTCGCTATTTACCTTTAATTCCGCAGGTATGTCTCGCATTATGTTCTCGCATTTTCCCGCCTCGCCATTTAGCGCCTCGCAATCTCCCAACACCCGTCTTCTCACGGTAATCTATTGTTTTAGGTACGTAAAATCGCCTACAGCTAGTAATGTACGATAAAGTTACTTCATTGTCAAGGCTTTAATAGAAGTATATTGTGATATATTTGTGTCAAATATTATAGATAGGCCTAAATGAATAATAAACCTAAATAAATGAATATGGTCAAGAAATTAACTTTAAACATCAGTGTTTGCGAGCAGGATTTGCTATATATAATAAAAAGCGGCCATCTGTAAGTTAGAGTGGCTTCTGAATCTTGCGCTACAAATTTACAATTAAAAAAAATAAACAAGATGGCTGCTAGATCTATAGTAAATGAGCATAATTGCATCTGTTGGAAACATCGCTAGTCTTCATTTATTACTGAAAAGTTTTAATTCAGTTGTTTAAAAACAGGTAGAATCTACATAATTTTTAAATGAAACAAGAAAATATTTATTTTTCAAAATATAAATCCTCCTCAAAATGTGAAATAATTATTAAAATAATTTTCACATTACTAGTCGCGGGCGACTTTACGTACCTAAAACGATAGATTACCCTTCTCACTCTTCTGTCAGTGTCAGACAGATGAAAAAATTTAGAAAAGATAAAATTTAAAAATTGAACACTAGCTTAGCTAGATCTAGACTCTAAATTATACCAACAACTGTCACTAAACAAAACTTTAAAATAGGTTCAAACTTTTATCGATAAATAATTAGATCTAGATTTAGATGTATAATATATTAACCTTAGCAAAAAGATTATGAATTTGCAAATTGAAGCACTGTTGACCAATGCGTTCAACACTCTGCATTACAATACATGTGTTACACAGTCTGTGCCCCAGTTCAAAATTTGTATACATTTTCCGACATTTACAGATTTTTATAAATTTGTAGGGTGTGTAAAGTATCTAGATAAACAAGTATTTTTTTGGACAAAATTAATGATGAAATAAAATAAATAGGCCTGAATAAAATTAATGAACATAATATGTGCAATATTTATTCACGTATATAAGTATAAGCATGTGTATATATAGGCTTTATTCAAGTATATAAATAAATATACATTCATACATATATAGGCCTAGATATGAAAGTATATAACTTTATATACATACACACATATATTTATATAGGCTATATATGCCTGTGTGTGTTTGCAATAATTATTAAGGTTTATGAGAATGAAGACATGAAAGTATCACTGAAACAGATTGCATGTAAATATTAAAAAACAATAACCTAACAGGGTAGAAACCTAAAACAGTCTGAAATTATGAATATATCATAAGTAATAATGCATTTTATATAAATTACTCTATTTTATATTGATAAACGTCAAGTATATATATATATATATATATATATATATATATATATATATATATATATATAGATATATATACATATACATATATATTTATATATTATATATTTATATATATATATATATATATATATATATATATATATATATATATATATATATATATACCAATCTGGCAATTCTGTTATAAGGGAGATCATCCTGTAAATATTAAAATCCAAGGGTGCTCTTTTGTTTCTAATCAGTCGCTGTACAATACATCTTGTAAATAGCCTAACTAATATTATTAGGTAGGTGTGTTAAAATGTATATCTCTTGTAACTATATTTGTATTTTACTGGGTTACTTTAGGTTGAAACGCGATTTTCCACTTTTAATAATTAGATCTAGTTGTTAAAAAATAAATATTAGAATTGTGAAACAATTTTAAAATTAATAATTGTTAGCTCACTGTCACTGTTTTTGCTTCTTTTTGAGTATTTTAGAAAATGATTGAGCCACGCCCCCTTGTCTTACTTCATTGACAATGTGACTGCACACGTAGTTAGTAATATTATGTCTACATTTCAAACTAAGAATTAAATAAAATAATTACAATAAAATCTGACATATTCTCACTGTACTGTAGGCTTAATATATCATATTAACAATACACATTTAATATTTAAGACTTTCACTTGTGCCTGATCTTTAAATTGTACTTTTTACTTAGTCTTCTTAAGTAATAAGAATTTAAGATGTATATTAATGTCTAACTCTAGTAGTTACTAGTTAGTCTTAACTCTTAATCATTATTTATTTAGTAGGCCCATTTATTTAGAAGTTTTAAGACTTATAGTAGTTAGTAGTAAAAAAGTGTAAGTAATAATCAATTCATAAAAAAAATAATAACGGTACTTCTTCACACTTTAGTGTTAGTCCAACTCTACCATTTTCTTTTCTGGTATAGGTATTTGATACTTCATCCCACAAAATGTAATTACTAACAACACTGGAATATGTTTTGGGCACTTTTGGGAATGATAATGCAGTTCTTTTTATTAAAGAATTTTTAAACTAAGAATAAAAGGCCTACTTGCTAAGAGTCCTTTTTATTTTTTATTAATAGTCCCTTAAGTTGTATCATTTGCTTTAAATATTTGCCTTAGACAAGAAGAAGAAAACGATCTTTAGGCAAATACATGAACATTTAACCTTCACCGTCTTCATCTTGCTGGCTATTCAGTGGAAAATGTATGCCCTAAACACTCAAGGTTTGATGAGCAGGAAACATTAACATGAAAAAATTCAAGCTTCAATCAATCCAGTTATAGTTATTTAATTAAAGCTGCTGTGTTGTATCAAATCAAACCAGAAAAGCATGACATCAAGATCTTAATGGGCTTGTGTTACAGAAACATTCACCGTGGCAAAATAGACCCTTAAAAAAAATCCTTTCCCCACTGTGATTTAAAAAATGGACATCTTTGATGAATGCTAAAATGATGTATTTCTGATACTACTCATATAAACACATCAGCAATGATTATCTACCCTTTGGGTTGTTTTTGTAAATATTATAATGTCTCTATAAAAATTTACGACAAAATGCAGTCTTAAAAAACTTACATCATTATACATTTTTTTCAAACCAGAAAGTAAATAATTATTGGAGAACCATTGATAAAAAAACATTTTTTTTTTTAAATTCACAGTGGCAGTCATCCTTTTTTCTTGGCAAATCTTGCAACTCATTTTATACCCAATTTTTATGTAGCAATTTTGTTTGCTCAAGCTTTCCAGGTATATTCCCCTCAGAAGACAGTGCAAGAAAATCCATTAAACTAATTCAATATTGAATTAGTCATTGAAAATAGCATAAAAAATGGCTAAATGCAATAACAAAAGAACTGCTGTAAACTGTTATCACGCCCTTGAGCAGACCACAACAATTTAGAAGGGCAGATGTCTTTTAGGCATGAGAAGCTGATGAGGTTTAAAAGCAAATACTCAAACATTGTCACAAAAAGCCAGTCCATACCCCCCCCCCCCCCCCAAATGACATCACACCTCAAAGTTGCTGTCTAATCTGTTTTTAAACATCGATTTCTTTCTATTGACTGAGCTCAGTAACCACTGAGCTCATTAATCAATTTCTGTTACAATTTACAAAAACAGTGTTTAAAAAAAACTGCTAAAATTGTTTTCTAGCATTACTTTTTTAAAAAGTAAAGTGTGATGTCACACTATCAAAACTCACACACCCCTCCCCCTCATCACACATTGTCATGAAATTACAACTCCCCTCACCCCAAGGAGTGTGGCATCATTTATGATAAGAATTTTACAGGAGATAGTTGTCATTTAATGTGAAATAATTAGCAAAAAATTGTAGCAGTTTTACAAGTAGTATCATTTAATTGTAGAATTGTAGGTAAGTATCCCAACTAAATTAAATTTATTCCATACCACTGTCACAAACCAGTTAATATTAATTTGAAAATGTATTAGGTAAACTTGCCATTTTCTCTTTTAGGTAATGGGTGGACAGTAACCGGAAACTATCTAGAAACTTGTGTTCAAATGATTATATAAGGTATTTATACATATTTATTTTTGTGACATTTTCTTGCTGTTTAAGAAGAAAAGTTAACAACACCTTCAATTGAACACCTTCAATTGAAACGTTACAAAATTCTAGATAGTGCTGACAGTTTTTAACTTATTAGTTGTGTAGATGAGCATTATTTAGCATTTACATTTAACACTTGAGTTATTATCATTGATACACATAAATCTTGAATAAGGTTTTGTGTGTTATAGCAATAAAAATTTAAGAACCTTTATTTGGTTCAGGTGGTGTTTTTGAAAGTATATTGTACAAATATTTCTTGGCTCTTATCACTATGCTTGATAATGCATTGTAGTTTTAATCAGTGTTTTTCTCTCCTACACTTGATAAGTAATTAGATCTTTCATAACTTACACAAGAAACTTGATGGTATTAGTTAGATAACAACCTTTATCTCTGCAGCTTTTGGTCCATACTTGTGTTCAATGTGTTAAGTTAGCCAATTATTGGTCAGAAGACTTGGTCCTTCTCCTATGTAGATCTAGGTTAATGTGGGATCACATTTTCTAAAAGTTTGGTGTTTTAATACTATTTCATTAGGAAAAATGTTAAGCTGTAGTTAGGAAGGTATAGAAAAGTTACCGGAGAAATTCTTTTTTAAAAAAAAAACATTACTTTCTTTCACTTAGGTAAAGTTTTTCGATTCTATTTTAAAATCTGTAAATTTAGTAAATCATGTTTCGAATTGAACAGTATTTGTGCATTGTTTATTAAAGATAGAAATTAGTTTTCGTATTTTAAAATATTTTTTTTGATGTCAACTTTACAGACTAGCCAATATTCTAGAGAATTTAATATGGCTGCTAGAGGTAAAAAAGGTAAACCATTTTTTTGTTTCTCTTTCTTCAGATTTTCTGATTTAATCCTTGGTTTAACATTCTAAATATATACAGACTTGTCATTTTACATGTCCAGTTATGCTGTATAAAAGGTGATCTCAGAGACCCAACTTTAGTGAGACAGACTGACAGAAGGTTTTCTGTATATAATCCACTATTAACATGATAATACCAGATCTTACTTAAGAATTGCAGCACTATATTCCTAATGACTGAGGATTTAACTGTAATTTTCCAGTTTTTAGTCCAAATGACCCAGCAAGATTCAAAGAAGGCAACCTGTCCTTTAAAGCAAAGCTGATAGGCATAGAGGATGTGCCTGAGGCACGAGGGGACCAGATGTGCCAGGAGACCATTACCAAGCTCAAGAACTCAGTCAAGATCTCGGGACAGCATAAACAGAAGATATTCATCAACATCACCCTAGAAGGGCTGAAAATTGTTGATGCCATTTCCCTGGTAAGTTTTTGATTTCGGCATGATGTAACACAAATCTTGAATGAAACATTGGCTATGTGTCCCTGTCAGTGACTGCCCCTGTGTGTTCATTATACTTTCAATGTAATGCTCTTCAATTCAAAAGTTTCAACAAATTTAGAAGGTCATGTTTATAAATGGAGAGCAAAGAGTTGTTAGATTTCCAGTCATTTATTAAATTGAATAAATAAATGTGTATTGAAACAAACCATGCATTAAGAATAGATGAGGTGCAATACATAAGGTACTTGATCAAATTTGTTGATAAAATTTAACAGCCTCAGTTGGATCGTAGAGTATCCTTGACCTTAAAACCTACTGTGGAACGCAAAGAGCATGTGAGTTCTACAACTTAATTTCTGTGAGAGAATCACAATTAGAAAAAAAAGGAAATATTTAATTTGATTCTAATTAAATTAAAACCTTATCTTTGCACACGGCCAACAGGTCTTATCTTTTACCTTCAAACCCATCTCCCTCATTGTGTATTGTCATCCTAGGTGTGCTAAGATGTAAGTATATATGTAGCTATATGTGCCTGTAAGTATGTTGGCTTTCATTTCCCTTGAATTATTACCCATTTTACCATAATTTAATTTATTCTGGTGTTTTTACAAAAAAATTTAAATAAATAATATACTAATGACCAAAAGAAAGTTGGTAGTTGCCTAAGGCAAGCTAGTGAATTTAAGCAGATTTAAGTTATGTTTTAAGGATGTTTGAAATAAATACAAAATAATGCTTCATTAATTGATTAAACATATGTTTGCTACTGTTGATAATAACATCTGAATTATGTCAAGATTTGTTGTATTAACTCTGAACACCTAACTGATTTATTTTATGAAAATAAACAACTATAAGATGGTATACTTAAAAAATGTTCTACTCTATACCTAATCAATGTCTCTTTTTAATTTTAAAACTAAATGTAAAATAAAATAGTAAGTCCTGCTTTGAATTCTATCAAAACTGATGTAGTTGAACATCAGCTGACTGGTATAAATTCTTCACCGATTTTTTTCTTTGGGTTAAATGCTTGTTCTACAAAAATATAAAGAATGCAACTTTTAAAAACTGCCTAATTTATTATGATTGTATTCCTATTTTACTAAAATTACTTCTACATTTTGTTGTTCTACTTTGTTGGCTAAGTTCTCTCATGTTAAAAATATTAAAACTTAATGTAATTACAAAAAAAACCTAATTAAATGGTTTAATTTATTGTTACTAGGCTGGAAAAATTGTTGAGTTAGATGTTATATTTGATTTACTAAAAAAATGTTCAGCATAGAATAAGTGACAGAGTATTCTATTTCTTTCAGCTTTATTATATTATCTGTCTTACTGTAATCACTTTTAAATAGATAATCCCATTTGAATAAAAAATATTTTAATACAAATTAGCTATGGCAATTTTCCTTTTTTTCAAATAGTTTAATTTTTTCAAGTAAAAATTGACATTAGTTTATAAATATCTACTGGTAACTTTGTCTCTATAAGGATTTATTCCGTGAAATATGTTCTTACTGTGAATGTAGCTTAACATGATGTTAAAATATCCTTGTTGTTGTGAATGATTGTTACCTATGTGTTACCCTGCAATGTTACCCCCCTCAACTATTTGCTTCACCCAACCTGCTTCCACCCTTTCACAGGCCTCTCTCAGTAAAAAAAAAACAGATCCTAAAGTTTCAAAATCATCCGAGCACATTGAACAGGCTGAGAAGGAGCAAGACTTGGTAAACTAAAGCTTATGTGTTGATGTTGGTCTCTGTGGTTTTTTTCTTTCAAACTGGATCTAGATTCACCATAGAGATGCACGAGATGAACCATAGAGACACTATATATACATATATATATATATATATATATATATATATATATATATATATATATATATATATATATATATATATATATATATATATATATATATATATATATATATATATATATATATATATATATATATATATATATATATATATATATATATATATATATACATATATATATATGTATATATATATTACGCACATTTAATGTACAACAGAGAAACTTGATGTACCAAAAATCCCACATCAAAATGATACGTAGAGACACGTTTAATGTACCCAAAATGCACATTAAAATTAGACAATATAGACACACTTGATGTACCATATAGACACACTTGATGTACCATATAGACACACTAGATTACCATAGAGACACTTAATGTAACAAAAATGTACCATAGAGAGACAATAGATTTAGAGACACACTTGATGTACCAAAAATGTACCATAGAGACACATTATCTGTAGGCCAACCATAGAGTTATTTTACTATTTAAGAAGTAGCAGTTAACAATTAGTTGACTGTGATAAATAAAAATAAAGACGACCTTAAGAATTGTAAATAAAAATCATGACATCAATGGTTTTAAAGAAAAGCTGTTTTATCTACTTGTCTCATTCATCATTGTAAAAAATTTTTAAATTTTAAAAAAGTTTAAGCTATTTACAACTCCTTAAGACCATTTTAATTATCACATAAATATTAATATGTTAAGCTAATTAATTAGTGCTGTATATTTTTGTCTAGTTAATCCTGCACATGTATAGCTATTCAATTTGTTCTGTATATCTTTGGGCAGATAATTCTACACACACACGCAGTCCATCGCATCTCATTCATCTCTCGAGACACCACAGATAACCGAGCCTTTGGCTACATCTACGGCGAGGGAGATGGAACGCACAAGTTCTTTGCTATTAAAACAGCAGCTGCAGTAAGTTTGTTGAATGTTCCTCCCATCCCCCTTCACTAATTCTGTCAAATTGCCCCCCTTCACACACCCACACACACACCCTCACCCTCAGTAGTAAACCTGTAAAAAGTCCCCTCTCCAGAACCCAATATTTGACCACTAGACAGAACCCAATATTTGACCAGTAGACAGAACCCAATATTTGACCACTAGACAGAACCCAATATTTGACCACTAGACAGAACCCAATATTTGACCACTAGACACCACCAAATATTTGACCAGTAGACAGAACCCAATATTTGACCAGTAGACAGAACCCAATATTTGACCACTAGACAGAACCCAATACTTGACCACTAGACACCACCAAATATTTGACCACTAGACAGAACCCAATATTTGACCACTAGACAGAACCCAATATTTGACCACTAGACAGAACCCAATATTTGACCACTAGACACCACCAAATATTCAACCATTCCCTCCAGGCTGAGCAGGTAGTGCTGGCCCTCAGGGACCTGTTTCAAGTGGTTTATGAAATGAAGAAGAAAGAAATTGATGAGGCTAAAGAGAAACTAGAGGAAAACTCACAGCCCACGGGGGATGGGTCGACCTCGGGGACTGGACAGGTCAGCTAATTATTTAGTTTTTATGTACTAGTTTGTGAGAAAACTGGACGGGGGGTCAGTCAGACAATAGGGATGGCAGCTTAGATAATGATGAATTAATTTTTATAACAGATTAGTAGGCTAATGATGAATTAGTTGTATATCAGATAGGTCAGAAAAGGATTAATTAGCTTTATAGGGGATGGGTCAGCTAATGATATAAATCAGCTTACTATAAAATAAGCCAACAAACAACGTGTGGGCCCAATTGAAGCCTAAAGTAAACACCTGTTGAAAAAAAAACAGTTGTGAGATAAAACTTTTTTTTTGTTTTTCAGGCCCCAGCGGAGAAAGCGAATGCTGATGCAGAAAACATCTATCAGGTATTATAAATTACCATTTTGTATCTCTTCCATTAAACTAACATTGTTGCATGCTTTTCCAACTTCAAATTATGTTACTGTTAAATAGCATAACCTTTAGTAAGGTCTTTGCTTGTTTTTTATTTTGTTCTCTCGGCTTTTTGTAGTAATCACATTTATTTTAATTTACTAATTAAAACAAAAAAGTTAAATCTGATAATAAATCAAGCTGCAAGTTTGTACCCACTGAGAAAGAACTAATTTTAATTCTAGAAAGAAACCTATCATGATAAATTATTGTAAAAGTAATGCCAATACCAAATAATGGAAAAAAAAGGTTATTTTAAAAAATGTAACCACAATCTTAGAAATTGTCCTTTTTAAAAGTTAAAAAAAATTTAAATAATAGAAAATTTTTTAATGTTTTTTTTTTGCCATGTGTACTTTGTGTAAGCCTGTTTGCTTGTAGTAGATCTAGATATTGTTGTGTAATCTTGTTTGCTTGTAGTAGATATTTAGAGCAGTACAATACTTGTAGGTGCCAACTAACAACGCGCCAGTTAATCCACCAACTGAAGCGGAGCAGGTGGCTAACTTACTCGACCTTGAAGACCAGACTGATCATATCCTTAAAGTGGGTCACTATGTTTTGTTTAGCCTTTGTTCTGCTTGCATCTGTTTCATTTAGCTCTCATAGCTTTTATTTATATTTATTAGATTTATGCTATTTGAAAGATGATTGAAAATTACTAATGTGTATCTAACCAGTATACAAATGGGTTTATAAATGGCTGATATCGTAGTGCTTTAGTGCCTTGTTCTTTAGAAACTCATTGAATTGTACCTGTATTGAATTTATCAGCTATAAGATCATTTTCTCTTTGCCTAACTTTGTTATCAATAATTTATTTATTTATTGTAGAAATATTTATAAATGTTATTTATATTTATTTATAAATGTTTTATAAAATGAAATAAGACAACTTTTATACATAGGTTTTTACAGAGCCAATTTCACTTTTACATTCTTAGTCATATGTATATTTAACTAGTTTATTAGGTTGAAATAGATAATTAAAAACTTGGATTGTGAGATTCAAAAAGATGATGTTGATTAAAAAACTTTTTCAGGGCATAGAACAAATTAAAAACTTGGAGTTTGACTCTGTAACAAGTGATCCACTGTTTGCACCTGCCCCCCAGACTTCTGCCAGTGTAACATCCCCAACATCTGTAGGAAGTGCTTCATTAGTTGACCCATGGGGGCTGTCTGAGACTGTACCCACACAGAGTAAGTAGTTGACCCCACACAAGTCATCTCAATCACAAGTAGTTGACCCCCACACAGGTCATCTCAATCACAAGTAGTTGACCCCACACAGGTCATCTCAATCACAAGTAGTTGACCCCACACATGTCATCTCAATCACAAGTAGTTGACCCCCCACAGGTCATCTCAATCACAAGTAGTTGACCCCACACATGTCATCTCAATCACAAGTAGTTGACCCCCCACAGGTCATCTCAATCACAAGTAGTTGACCCCACAGGTCATCTCAATCACAAGTAGTTGACCCCCACAGGTCATCTCAATCACAAGTAGTTGACCCCACACAGGTCATCTCAATCACAAGTAGTTGACTCCACACAGGTCATCTCAATCACAAGTAGTTGACCCTACACAGGTCATCTCAATCACAAGTAGTTGACCCTACACAGGTCATCTCAATCACAAGTAGTTGACCCCCACAGGTCATCTCAATCACAAGTAGTTGACCCCACACAGGTCATCTCAATCACAAGTAGTTGACTCCACACAGGTCATCTCAATCACAAGTAGTTGACCCCACACATGTCATCTCAATCACAAGTAGTTGACCCTACACAGGTCATCTCAATCACAAGTAGTTGACCCTACACAGGTCATCTCAATCACAAGTAGTTGACCCCCACAGGTCATCTCAATCACAAGTAGTTGACCCCACACAGGTCATCTCAATCACAAGTAGTTGACCTATATGAGTCAGCAAGTTGTTGAGACTTTTTCAGAAGAATTAAGTTTCATCTTCAGTTGTTTACCTACTGGTAACATATGAGTTGGAATGGCAGTAGAGCACTACACTTCTCACCAGATAGTCTTGAGTTCAAATCTGGGTTCAAGTCAGTAGAACGTCCCTGAGTCCACCCAGCTCTGATAGGTATCTAACTCAGGTTAGGGAAAGTAAAAGCATCTAGGCATAGTGCTGACCACACTATTCCTCCAGTGCTGACCACACTATTCCTTCGTATGCAGAGGTCACAGAAACAGGTGAACTCAACTTCATGAGTTCATGAACCCACTGGCATGATCTCAGCCTGAACTAGTGACAGTGTTTAGGGTGGGTGAATAATTTAGCCATTCTTATAGACTTGCAATGTTTGATTGAAATGACCTGAGCCCCAAGTAACCTGAATGTTTGACCCTGGCTCCGGATGTTAGCTGTTTTATTGTTTGCTGCCCCAGAAGCTGCTCCTGCACCAAGTTCCTCAGCTCTGGGAGATTTGGCTGGGCTACAGACCACTTCTTTCAACAGTCAGCCATCTTTCCCAACTTCACCATTCTCCATACAACCAGGTTTCCTTGGAGCCCCGAGTTTTGTAAGCAATTTTTTTCTGTACAAACATGCTTTCACATTGCGTTATGGAGAGATGGGGGAAGGTTCTGAAATTATTTGGGAGAGGGAGGGGGGGTTGTTGGATGATAGCTTTGAGGGATGTAAGGGGTAAACATTGGCTAAAATAACATGACTCTCTTTTAGTGAGATTTCTTTCCCAGTTTCACAAGGCATTAAAAAGTTAGTTTAATTTAAATTACATGAGAATTTAAGGGTTTTCAATCTTTAGTAAATGTGTTTGATCTTTCAGAGCATGATGGGAGGTAGTCTACCTGTAAACCGTGACCCATTTAGCAGCGATCCATTTGGTGCTGGGACTCAGCAGCGAATGCCAGCGCCACAAACCTTCGGAGCTCCGAACCCTTTTGCGTCTGCTGGATTTGGAGCCCAGTTTGGCATGCCAGCTACAGGGCCCCAGCCTTTAGCAGCTGGGATGATGCCTGGAATGGTGCCCCATGGTTTCATGGCCTCGCCTGGGATGGTTGCCAGTGGCATCCCTCCCATGGGGGCAGTGCGGAACCCATTTGCCCCTCAGCAGTTTGCCAGTCCTCCTATGGGGAACCTGTTTGGTGAGGACGAACCAAATCTGCTGAAGCCAATCAAAAAGGATAGTGCAGAGGCCAGCGCTGAGCAGGCACCAGCTCCTAAAACCACACGAGATGATCTTTTTGGGGATCTGGTGGATATAAAAAAATCTTCCCCGGCTGCCGCAGCTCCCAAATCTGCCAAAGATTTGTTTGCCCAGTCCGGGGTGGCAGAAAAAAAATCTCTGAATGAGCTCAAGTCTACCCCAAAGATGGCCCAACAGGCAAGTGATGCTGCTTTTGACCTTTTTGGAGAATCAACACCCAATGTGGCAGATAAGACACAAGATCAAATTCTCTCCACAAATGGAGCAGATGATCTTTTCAATTTGCCACATCCATCTCTACAAGTGGGTTCACCATCCCAGCTACACCCTGCTTCACCCCCGCCTGTGCCACAAAGACACCCTTCCCCACAAGTTCCTGAAGACCCTCAGATGCCAGAAGAACCGCCGCCGCCTCTACCCGAGCTTTCACTTCCTCCACAAGCCACTCCACCAGTCCCCAGCAGAGCCAGGATCCCCTCAGATACTCTACCTCAGCTGCCGCTCCAGCAAGCCACCACAACCTGTTTGCTACCCTCACCTGAAGAACCTCCCCCTCCCCTTCCTTCTCATGTCAATTCACTTGCTCCCCCACCACCTCCCCCTCGCCCAACCACTCATTCATCGCTATCATCCCCCACAGAACAGAATGTATTAACCCTCAACACAGGAGACTATGAGTCCCAGCTCAGTGATAAATGTAGTCCCATATCATCCAGCAGTATTGACAGTTTTGATGAGCACTTTCATAAAGCTTCCATTACAGACTCCACATTTCCCAGTCATAGCCCATCCTTCAGCCCAGACTTCCCTGCATCATATCATAATCATTTTCATGGCGACCCTTTTGCTTCACAAACCTTTGACAATGACTTCAGCTGTAAAAATAATGTACATATCAATGAAACCGGTGAATCTCCTTTTAAGAAATTAGATAGTGGTATAGAAATAAATGATGAACTCTTTTCCAACGTGTCATTTTCAAAAGATGAGGATCCTTTTATCATGCCATTTCACTTAACACCCGGCTTTAAAGCAGTTGCCAAATTTGGCAGTGATCCTTTTGATGATAGTTTCCAGAGTTGTCCAACTGAAAAATGGGATCCTTTTGGTGCACCATGGCCAGATAATTCAGTGACAACTGTTGGTGCACCATGGCCAGATAATTCAGTGACAACTGTTGGTGCACCATGGCCAGATAATTCAGTGACAACTGTTGGTGCACCATGGCCAGATAATTCTGTGCAACCCGCTGATGTGGTAAGTGGGAACATGAAATAAAATTGCAGTATGGCATCGTAAAATAAAAAAAAATGTTGGCTGTACTACGAAATGTTGCCCGCTTGTTACTACTTGATTGATTCTAGATTTTGCATGTTCAATCTTAGGCCATTGATTGGTTCCAGATTTAGCATGGTCAATCTTAGGTCATTGATTGAATCCAGATTTAGCATGTTCAATCTAAGGTCATTAATTGATTCCAGATTTAGCATGTTCAATGTTAGGTTTTTTCTTATTATTACATTATTGTAACCAAAGCCTTTTTAAAACCTATTTGTTTCTGCTTGCAATATTCATTTTAAAAAAAATCTTATTTTCACAGTCATATTTTCACTTTTTTTATACTGTTAATTCATAAAAAATTTTGTTACATAAAAGTGCATTCTAATATTTACTTATCATTCCAGTTGTTAAACTCTGAAAGAAAAAATGGCTGTTGCATGAATTCATGACCCTGTAATGCTGAACCCACATGTGTGCCTCATGCTTTATCCTATTCTTTTGTCCTCATTTATGTGGCTTGTTTTATAAATAATGTTATAGAGTAAGATTAAGTTTTTCTAACCCACAACTTAAACTTCACTTAATTTCACTTAAATTCCATAATCTTAATTTACGAGAAAAATGGCCCGTTGAGGAAGGGTACAACGGGCGCTAGGCTGATAGTGCTGTCTCTTTTCTCTAAACTAAAACCAACCCACCCCCCCCCACACCACCCCCACCCCCACCCCACACCACCCCCCACACACCACCCCCCCCCCCACCCCTCCACCACCCCCCACCCCCCAAAAAAACATGTCTACTGTCCCATTCAACGAAATATAATTATATACTTTTTCCAGTGTCCGCCCCCTCCCAGAAAATTCTACCCCCGCCCCCGAAAATTTCAAGTACCCCCACCCCTCTCCGGGGAGGAAAAAGTCTGAAAGAAACACTGAAACCAACCCACCCCCCCCCCCCACACACACCACCCCCCACCCCCACCCCCACCCCCCCCCCCCACCCCCACACACCCCCCACCCCCCACCCCCCCAAAAAAAAAACATGTCTACCGTCCCATTGCAAGAAAACCACTTTTTAGATTAGACACATTAATTAGGCGGTAATTTAATTATAGAGTATCGATGAGGAAATTTCTTTTGAGTTGGGGAGGGGGGGGGGGCTCAGACGTTCTTACGCGGGGGGTGGGGCTTCGCCCCTACCCGAAGAATTGTATGCAAGAAACTCTTCACGCAAACCATTTAGATTAGACAACATTTCCTTTTTAATTCAATGTTTACGCGATAATCAATGACGTCATATGACTGTGTGCACTCTCTGGTTTGAGATTATGTTCTACTCTGTGCTAAATGTGTCGACGTCATACTTCGTTTTTCGAAATACTATGCATGTTTTTAAATTGCTTGTGTTTTCTCTAGAGCGTTCTTGTCAGACAAAGCGTTCTTGTCAGATAGACAGACAGACAGCGAAACTATTAGTATTAATTATTGTGATATTTCTATACATCCAAGTATCTTGTTTTATTGTGGTGTAAATAGTAGGCAAGTAATGAGATTAAAACTTCTATTTTTATTTAAAATTGCTTAATTGTAAATCCTATTGTAAGTTTTATAAAAATGTTATTGCTTTTCGATGTTACAACTTGTTATAATGGATGCATAAAGCTGGTATAGTATAAAGTTTTTGTTAAAATTGATGCATGTAGCTAGTATATGAAACTGTTTGTTGAAATGGATTCATATTGCCAGTATAATATGAAGTTTTTTGCTCTCTAGCCAAGCTCACCCTTTGATGCTTTTGGTGCCCTGCCACAGCCCTCCAGTGGAATAGTGAGTACATTTTTTAGGCTTAATTGATATGTGAGACTTTGAATTTGGGCTTCAAGTCTAACATTCTGTTCACATGTAATTGAACATAAAACAGTCAGTATGCACAAAGTTGAGCTGAACAAACCTGGGTACTAGAGTGACTCAGACATAATGGTTTAGTACTATTGGCAGAAATAAAGACAAGCTTATACCTAGTGACCTGGAAAGCACTAGACGGTAGCTTATGTCACTTCCATAATCTACCCTTATTTCTACTCTAGCCAAGTTGAGTTTAATTTCTAGAAAGAGAGCCTGTCACCACCATAACATTATTCAAACCTTTCAATTTCTTACAGCCAAGTCCTGCGTTCAATGCCTTTGGCGCCACACCACCTCCTGCGAATGGATCAGTAAGTGTTAAATAACTAAATTAGCTACATGTTAAGAAACTTAATTAGCTGTCATGTTAAACTAAGCAACTCAGTTTTTGTATAGATTCAATACTTGAAAGTTTTTAAATTTGTTGTTTTTACCTTGTATGTTTCTATCGATATTTTTCAGAACAGCGACTCTCTCCTAGATTAAAATATGAACTTGTCATGCAACCACCCTAGGGCAGTTTATCCAGGAGCTGTGGTTTAGTATTATACCTTGTAGTTTTGCCATTGTCAAGATAGCTGTTGTTTTACTAACTTGTCAAAGCTGATCCTTGTGTTGTAATGTCTTTTCCATATTTATTGGGAATTTGAATCCCACACAGCAGATGTTTATTTTAGCATTTAAGTTCCATTTGTCTTCCCATGAAATATTTGTCTACCATACACTTTGTCTTCCTGAAAATTGTTATAAGTGTTGCTGAAATGTATAATACTATAGCTAAATGGGTTTTTTCTAAATGCTTTAACATTATATATAATTAACTATTTTTTAATACTTAGTATCCTTTTACATAATGAAATCACTTTTAATTTAATAAAATAAAATTTTAATTTATTGTTTTGCTGTCTGCATAATAAAATACATGTGAGTTGAGAAATAAACTTGAACTTAAGCATAATAAAGTTTTTGCTAGAAATATTGGGTGTCAATTCAAACTCTTGAAAAATATTAAAAAGAGCTCTATCTTTTTTAATAGTTAAACCAAAATATTTTCTTTTTTAGAAAACATTAGTATCCATTATGCAGTATTATTTTGAAATTTATAATGAAACCCATTTCAATTGACTTATGCACACATTTGTATTGTTAAACAAAAAGCTATTTTTTAAAAATGTTTCCTATCTATGATAATGATATTCTTTTATACTTATAATAATAGCTGACATTTGAAAATCAAATCACTGTATTTTAGTTATACCATTTGTCGGTTTAGTATAGTAGACCTACATTAGATGCTATATCCTTGGAAAATCTGCAAACTATGTTCCCTTTTACAGATTTATAAAGAACTACAAGGAGGAAAAGTCCAGTGTTTTTTTTTATCAATATGCTATCATTTATCAGGTTACATTGGAAAATTGGTCCCACTATGTTCAGTGGCCTCCATGTTCAGGCTATAACCATTATTGTTTTAAAGTGACCATAGTATGAAAAGGATACACAAATGACTGTGGTAGTGGAAAAAAATTTCCTTTATATACTCTAATAATACATGGTATTGAGATTTAATATGTGCAATAAATGTCGCTGTTCTCTACATTTTTAGTAAAATACAAAATAGTAAGCGTTTTTTTGTTTGAATACAAGTTTACTGTCTACAAATGACTAAGCATAAGAAAAAAAAGGCTAAAATCCAGCAGCACAGATGAGGCTTTACATTATTTTATAAACTTTAATATTGATCTTGCATTTGCCAGATCAGTTTTAAATAATATTGTAACTGGTTATTTTAATTACCTTGAAAAACCAGGTTTTATCTGAAAATTTATTATCACAATTTTAATATGCACAATATTATGTTGCACTTGTAATGTTACTGCACTTTGTTAATGTATTAGCTCAGTTATTGGTGCAGTAAAGCTTTGTTCTCGCTATTAAATTGTTCTTTTGTTTGTACACTGGAAACCCACTAATTCTTACAAATTGCACTCTGTACACTTGCCACATGTACACTATACATGCCTAGAAAAAACTCTGCACTATTATCTTAGGCCCTATAGCAAAGTTTTTTTCTAGACATATATTTTAAACATGGTATTACAGAGCTACTTTAAAGCACACTTTCCAAACAATTAAAATAAACAACCAGTTCAAGAAATAAATGTTTAATACCAAATAAAATCTATCTGGTAATCACATTGGTCAAAATGTCAGATGCACACATTCAACTAGTCAATCATATTCAACCAACAGGTAACAACTGCATAAAGAAAAAACACCCCTAAAAAGGTGTATATTATGTGTATTAAAATAGATGATATTCAATGCAAATCTTTTATTAAAAAATCATGCACACACACCATTCACATATACATTACCAATCAAATATGCACCTATTAAAAATGCAACAAATGGAATACAATACAGCAGAATTTGGACCAACACAGCACATCAAGATCATGACTATTTGGCAGTCAATAGGCATTAAATAACTTAATGCACAATAGCTGAAGTAAACATCCTACATTTCTTAAAATTATTCCATCTTCTTTACAGCTATTATTAAATACTAACAATGAATAAACAGATACCGTACACAAGATTTAGCCCAAATTGAGTAAAACAATGCACATTATCAAAAAATGATTAAAATGAAGCTATCAAATTTTTTGAAATGATCCTAGTGAAATATGACCAAAAAAAAAAGGGAAGAAAAACTAAACTAAATGCTGCCTATAATTCATCTTTAGGTTCTTTATCCTCTTTATTATCAGTGTCTTCATCTTCTGGCTCATCTTGATCATCCTCATCTTCATCGTCTTTCTTTGTGGAATCTTCTTCCTCCTTTCTCTTCTTTTCTTCTTCTTCTCTCTGCTTTCTTTCTTCCTCATCTTGATCATCCTTCATTTTCTTCTCAGCATCTTTTGTTTTTCCCCATGTTTCCTTTCCAAACTGCTCAGCATAATCAATGTCGTCTGTGATAAGGAAGTTGTCAAAAATAGTTCCAGACTTCACCTGTTTCAAAGAAAAAATGTGTACATATTTTATTAGAAAATGATATATGATAACAATACACATATTTGCTTAGTAAATGTACATCAAAACTACAATAAGTACTGCACTTTAAATGCGAAATGCTTACCTGCCACAAATCCAGACCCAAAGCACCAAAGTCATCATAACGGTACAGTTTATCATCAGGCTTGTATTCTGGGTTGTCAATTTCAGGGTGTACCCATTTTCCTTTGTAATCTGGGTTATCAATTTGCTTTGGTTTCCACTCACCCTACGAAAAATAATACTAGTTATACAAAGAAAACACTCAACGTTGCAATTTTAGTACTCTACAAAATAAGTGAAAATTTATAACAGCAAAGCTATAGTCATACTTTGTACTCTGGGTTGTCAATCTGAGGTGGTTCCCATTCACCATCCATCTCATCATCCCAATCATCAGGCTTTTTGGCAGCTGGGTCAGGAATATGTTCAGGCTTATCCCAATCTTCAGGTTTGGAGTCACTGGGGTCATCAATTTTCTCACGCTCATCCCAGTCATCGGGTTTCTTGGCATCTGGGTCCTAGAAGATGGAAAATAACTTTGATTGCCAGCATGATAGAGTAAATGATGCATCAATACAAGTATTCTGTCTCAGAACAGTGTAATACAATGTAAATGTGTATATATATAAATAAAATTTAATATATTTTAAAATTTAAGTCTATAAACAGAGTAAAACTCACAGGAATCTTCTTTGCTGGCAAGAAATCCCAATCAGCTTCTAGCTCACCACTTTCCACCTTTTCATTATCAATTTTAACTTCATAGGTGTTGTCAGGTTTAACAATCAGAGTGTACAAGTGAGTGAATACATCATCCTGAGATAGAAAAATTAATAAGGAATAAAATAGAAAAATTAATAAGAAAAAAATATAACTTTTGACAAAAATAAGTGTTCTTAAAATACAAAATAGGGACTAGGCACATCATCAACACAAACCTTGCATCGAATATCTTTTTTCACAAGCAAATTCTTTCCTTTGTAGCTGAAAATAACATGAACCTTCTTGGTTCCAGGTCCACAAATATCAGGACCTGTAAAAGATTATTTGTGTTGAAAAGCAATCCAAAAAGTGAAGGACAGAGATAGGTGAAACAGCACCAACTTCAAGGTAAATTTACTGGTTACAATAAAGAATTAAAATAGGCTTACCAAACATAATGTTGTATGGTGATTCACCATGCATATCCTTTTGGTCAAGATCACTGGAGAAAAGCTTAACATAGCCACCACCACAATCAATATTCTGTTCATGCTTCACTGTAAACTGAATCACAAGATTTTTGCCTTCGTTGCTAAACTTGTCAAACTTTGCTGACAGTCCATAAAAGCGAGCATCTTCAGATGTCTTCAAACCTACAAAATTTTATGACAATTCAATACACAAAGAAAGAGAATGGCAAACAAGTAGTAAAGTTATGTATTTATTTTATATTCCCATAGAAGGGCAAGCAGAAAAACACTCACCTTTATCTTTTTCAGCATCACCATAAAATTTACCAGCAGAAAGGACAAACTTCCCTAGGTCAGACTTGTGTTTGGACACCACCCATCTGTCTTCCCATTTATCTATAAGATACATTAACATATGTGTAATATAGTAAAATACAAGGCTGCAGTATTCAGAATTCTAAGAAGAAAATCTCAGTTATTTTACTTATTACTTCTTAAAAGATTTTAACATAATGTGAAGGGCATTTATGATTTAGCTCCTTTGAGTGCATTTAGGTCAATTTAGGAATACAGACCCATGTCATGAATACATGTAAATATCAATGGGTGGGCTACTAGATCCATGAATGTTTTCATGCCACAGGTGGGTGTACATTTCATACCAGTGTGATATAAAGTCAGAATAATGACTGAATAATCTTATTATCAAGATTGATCTTGCATTGATCTACAACTATTTAATTTTAATGAGCTGACCGAAACTGCATACTACTAATAAGTACTAGAGCAAGATCAAACCCATACAAGTCTAAGAAAGGTTAACCCTGCCAATGAATCTACTTTCAAGTCATTTTGATATGGCCAATGGGTACCTCCAGGTTATCTGGAATAACCAGAAAAAATTACCTGCCTTCATTTCTTTAATAGCTTGCTGTAGCCTAACTATTACAATTGCTTTCTTTTTCTAATCTAGATCTAGAATCTAGATCTAGAGGAGTTTACACTTTTCGGACACACACCAAAAATTACGTAGGACCGAACACTTCGTCGGTTTTTGGCTCATAGAAACTTTAATTAGCATGTCTCACGCGAAACCACGGCGCCTGCACGTAAACTGTTCATTTATGAACACTTCCGTGTCAAGTACTTCCGTTTCCTTTCTCAAGAATTATTTTTAGAAATTTTTTAACGTTGCATGGTACGCACATTTCTATTTTTACACCAGCCGGATGAAGTGACCTAGGGTTGGACTTAGGGGCAAAACTTGAACCAATCAATGCTTAGCTAAAAGGTTACACTATAAATAGCTTCTATATATGTATGGAACATCGTAAATGTCAAGGTTAATGGGTTTTTTCGTGCTTGAACAATAAAAAAGGGGTGTTCGCTAACTTTTTTGACCTTACATGGGATCGGACAGCAACACAAAAATATTATTAAATAAGAATTTAGAGCATAAAAGGGGCTGGTTATTGAAGGGAAAGGGTCAAAATAAGGTCAAGAAGGCAGTGGAATGCGAAAGAGGAGGGGGAATCATGTGACCTGGCTGGCTTAGCAGCGTACTGCGCGAGCCGCAATGGCTGAATGGGATGAACTTTGGGAGTGTGGGAAAAAGGTTTTATACTATTAAAATTACCTCACAAACAATCAATAACACAATATAAATGCATATAATATATGTTTTTATTCATTAAATTGACTTTAAATTATTCTAAATGAACAAAAAGTGCTATGTCCGATGACGGGTAAAGGTGTCCGAACACATGTAAAACTGTATTACATGTGTTCGAACACACGTTAAGACCCCCCAGTCACTATAACAAGAATAGCTTAAGTTCTATGCGTATGAATACAAAATGACACACACATTATTAAAGTAGAATGGTTGCGGATAGATATGATACTTTTTTTTGTTTTCTATGTTAAGCGGTTACTGAATGAGACCGCATGGAATTTTTACGTTGCGTTTTTTCGCTATGTGTGTCCGAAAAGTGTAAGCTCCTCTAGATCTCTAGCATACCAAGATAAAAAAAAAACTTTTAAGTAGGGTTGCCAGGTGTCCAGTATTGAACTGGACAGTCCAGTATTTGAGCAGACTGTCCAGGATAAAATAAATATAAATACTGGACAAGTATATGAATAATACTGTTACCCCCTTCTGCTTTGCGGCATACCTGAGAAGGGAAGGATGGAAAGATCTGGCAACCCTACTCTTAAGAGTAGATTCTAATTAGCAGAATCTATAATCAAAAATTAAAATGTCAATCTAATACTAGATCTAGATCTGGGTTCAAGTGTAATAATTATAACATGCTTAGTTAAGCCAATAGGCCTAATTTAAATTGTATATATTAGGCCTACATCTAGATATCTATTATTAAAATTAAGAGGATAGTTTAAAAGAGGTGAATTGGTTTATAAAAAGTAAGAAATAACTCACCATCGAATTCCTCTTTAAAGTATACTGTTGGGTCGGCGAATGCAAGACCCGCCAGAAGCAGGCATAGAAAACTTTTCATTTTCTGTAGCTTCCTCTGATTTTAACAATATGTTAACTTCTAAATACGTAAATCGAACAGCATTAGTTGGACTCGAGACTAGTTATGAGATATCCACGATAAATAAAGCCGGTGTTTCCACGTGACCTATACAGCTGTCTGGCTGCGATTGGTCTGTTGTTTAGAACATAGCCAGGTCACGACCAATCGTATTTCACCACGCGCTAGGCTTCGGAACACCCCGCGTATGTATACGACAATTTTTCCGGAAATCTCCGTCGAGGTACCGAAGATCACCAAGGAAAGATAATTCTGCCGTCTTAACTATTGAATGTAAACTTCCGGGTAACAACCAGAAATACATTTAATTTTAACTTAACACTACTGATTACTGATAGAGATCTATTTATTAAAATAATACCATTATTATTAAATATCCTCAAAACTTAGTTCTTAGTATTTATATTGGGTAAAACTCCATTTTAGCGTATTTTATTCCCCGCTTCACGTTAACCTCCAGTTGAACGTATATCTATAATATATAATATATATTTAATTGGTAATCTATCGTTTTAGGTACGTAAAATCGCCCGAGACTAGTAATGTGAAAAACAGGTGACTCCTTACATTTTAATAATTATTTCACATTTTGAGGAGGATTTATGTTTTGAAAAATACAAAAATGTTTCCATGTTTCATTTATGTACCTGTTTTTAAACAATTGAATTAAAACTTTTCAGTAATAAATGAACACTAGCGATGTTTCCAATAGATGCAACCATGCTCATTTACTATAGCAGCCATCTTGTTAAAGTTTTATTTTTATAGACATAGCGGGAGATTCAGGGGGAAGTCACTCTATTTTACAAATGGCTGCTGTTTATATAGGAAATCTTACTTGCAGACACTGCTGTTTAAAGTTAATTTCTGGCCTATATTGATATATTTAGCCATTGTTTTAGGTTTATTATCCATTTATCTATAATATTTGACACAAACATATCACAATATACTTCTATTACAGCCTTGACAACGAGGTAACGTTTTCGTACATTAATAGCCGCGGGCGATTTTACGTACCCAAAACGATAGATTACCATTTAATTATATAAATTATAAATTATAATTCTCTTCTGGGAGCCGTTAGAAAACAAGCTGCAAGCGCGCCTTTGCAGTCCCCTCTCTTCCTCTCTATCGCTACCCCCCCCCCCCCCCCCCCACCCTCCACCACCACCCCTACATGGCCTGGTGATTTGTAGTTCACTCTAAATATTTACATTTTACAATCATAGAGCGATTTTAAAATTAGAGGAGGTAACTAAGAGGAGGCTGCTTTCACGGGGGGGGGGGGGGGGGGGGTTAGTGTTTTAAAGCACATATTTTCAGTGGCAGCATTGGTACTGTCGAATTCACAAATTATGAATTACTGAAAAGTAGAAAAAAAAACAACAACTAAATAGCGGCGTATGATATGCCGCGGGTCGGCTCGTTATTATATAATTATTATCATAATATCATTATCAACACAACCGAAACACACAAAAATGTTAAGTTACTAATATACTATAACTATTTCTTCAAGAAATTTAGTTTTAGATAGTTTACTTTTGTCAAAACTTGAGAAAAATCCAAATTTGGAATTATTGAATGTACACTGTTTAGTTGGTTTTTTTTAGTCTTTAAAATATGTTCATGTCCGTTAAGGTTTCCATGGGTAAAGGACCAAACTCATAATTGCTAGAGATACTTTTAACAATACAAACTTAAATGCCTACTAACTCATAATTGCTAGTTAGTAGGCATTTAAGTTTGTATTGTTAAAAGTATCTCGCATGCATGATACTATAAATAAACATATAAGAACTCATAATGACCTCAATCTATGACGTATGCAGATAAATTAAAGTTTAAAGTCAATATGAACTCACGGTGAACCCTCGACTGTGTAGGGATTTTTCTCACGCTGACGATCACTCGCTATTTGATTGGAACTGTAGGCCTAATGCTTTTTTATAATGTTTTTTTACCTTTTCTAATTAAAACACACATTCACAAAAAAGTAGATCTAATCCTAGTGTTTTCTAAATTTTTTTGTGTTTCTGTTGTGTTTATAATAAAATACGTTGAACCGGAGGTGTACTACAATGAATTAACTTTTTCGTACATTACTAGCCGCGGGCGATTTTTACGTACCTAAAACAATAGATTACCGATTTTACGTACCTAAAACTATAGTTTACTATATATTTAAATAAACACTTAAGAAAAGTTAGGCCTAAAAAACTACACTAAAAAATTTTAAAAAGACTAAAAGAGAAAACTAAAGTAAAAAGTAAAGTTTAGGCTACTAAAAAACTAATTCTAACTAGTTAGTTTAGTAGTGCTAGATCTAGTAACTAGGCAATCTAGTAACTAAAGAAAAAGGGTAATCTATCGTTTTATGTACGTAATATCAGCAGAGGCTAGTAATGACGAATGTAAAAGAAAGGTGACTCATTAATATATGAGTGTGTCTTTAATACAAGTAGGCTATATTTATAATTTAAATATTGTGATATTAGGGTCTAGATCTATTTTTGTCAAATATAATAGAATAGATAAATTGAATAATAAACAAAAAGCAGTGTCTAATATTAATATAGTATATAGCCTAAATTAAGCTATAGGCCAGAAATTAACTTTAAACTGCAGTGTTTGAGAGCAAGATTTGCTACATAAACAGTGTTTATCTGTAAATTAGAGTGGCTTCTCCTAAATGATGAATCTCTAACTATAATTTAGGCCTAACAAAAAAAAACAACTTAACAAGATAAATGAGCTTGGTTGCATCTGTTGAAAACATCACTAATCTGTATTTAATCCTGAAAAGTTTTAATACAATTGTTTAAAAACTGGTACATGAAACATTGTTGATACTTTTAAAACACAATTCCTCTTAAAAATCTGAAATAATTACCAAAATTTCATGGGTCACCTTTCTTTCAGATTACTGACCATTTTACGTACTTAAACAGATAGATTACCATAATCACATTAATAGCCTCAGGCTAGATTATCAGAAAAAGATTACTAAAGAAAATTGAAGTAACTTGGTAAAATGATAGTTACTACAATCTATCATCTTCTTATTAATATTAATTCCAATTAGTAAATATTAATCTAACCCCACTCCTTAAACAAAAAGGAGAAGAAATGGTTACTGATATAACTCAAATACACAGTGCCAGCTTTTCTAGAAGCACAGAGGACTGTCTTCTATAATACTAACAGGTATTCCTAAATCCTTTAAAGTGCAATATTATAATCAGTAATTAATTATTTATGGGCTATAAAAAGTAAAGTTCCATTTTCGAACCTGATGGTCCATGGGGCAAGTGAAGTAGAAATCACCTTTTTTTGTGACCTTTGCATATGGAGGGATAGTGTGGTCAGCACTATGCCCAGCCACCTTTACTTTCCCTATGTACCTATCAGAGCTGAGTGGAATCAGGCACATTCTTCTGACTTGAACCTGGATTTGAACTTGAGACTTGCAGGTTAGCTTTCTAGCATTCTACCGCCAGGCCACAGCATCCCATTTATTGGCTTAGCATGATAACTCTCTACTGTCAAGCAGCCACTTATGAAAATTACTATTTATTAATCTAAAACATTCCACATATTAAGGGCAGGCAGTTTTAAAGAGGGGATGAGTAATTTCACAGTCTGTCATCATATATTGAAACCATATTGTATTCATTGTTTCTTTCCTTTCTTTTAAGCATCTCTCATGGGGGAGGGGGGGGGGATGGACAATTTATTTACTTATAAAATATATATAACTTTAATAGGAACATATACTTTAATCAGTCTCTTCCCCGTCCCCCCAGATGTTTCTAGTGCCCCGTCCCCCCAGATGTTTCTAGTGCCCCTCTGAGAAAAATGTCTAAAAGAAACCCTGATAGTATCTACCTATCTAGTGTTATACAATGTACATGGGAATGAGCAAAAGCTAATGAACATAAGCTCGATATGGTAATTGCAGTAAATTAGAGATTATCTTCCTTCTATCTAAAAATTATTAATTTCTTCAAGCTTCAAGAGCTCTATAGCCCCTAACATGCCAGCTGGACGAAGTAATGCTTTGGCCTTGCTTCAGAAAGTGAACAGCCAGCTTCGAGGTGAAAAAGTTCCTTCAAAAAGCAAAGAGGAAGATGAACTTGCAGTAAGCCCTTTACTTTTTAAATTTGTTTTAATATAATGTTTGGGGGTCGTCCATAAATGACGTCACACTCGTAGGGGGGAGGGGGGTCAGTAATTTTGTGACGGTGTGTGATGAGGGGGGGGGGTTCAGATGGTGCGACGTCACACTTTTGCATTATAAAAAAGCAATGTTAGAAAATGAATTTTAGTCGTTATTTCGCGTTTTAGAAAACTGTTATAATAAATTGTAATAGGAATTGATTAAAATACTCTATTTTGACAGAGTTCAGACAAGATTTTAGAAAAATATCAATATTTTAAAAAAAATTCAACTGCAATTTTGAGGGGGGTTGTAGACTGAGGTGTGACGTCATTTTGGGGGGGGTCTGGCTTTTTGTGACGACGTGTGACGGAGGGGGGATGTAAAAATCGTTTTAAAAAGCGTGCTGTCATTTATGAATGACCCCTTGTATACAAAAATTTAATATCCACTTCTTTTTTTATTATTCCAGACGTATTTAAATAACTTGACTCAGAAAACCCAAAAACCACGAAGTGTAAATTTTGAAGAGTATGGGGACCTGTCCATCTCAAGTGGGGCTGATGCTAGGAACTCTCTTGCTTCTCAAGGTCGCCGTTCTGCCAGCCCTTTAAGCTCAGCTCATGCCCCCGCACCAAGCAAGTTTCTAAAGAAGAAGATACCTTTACAAGATAAACTAGGTAATGTTTGGTAAAACTACTCCAGGGAACATAACTGTTGTAAAAAATGGATGTACTGTTTGTTGTTGGCATATATTATTAAAAACCTTACTCATAATTAAATCCCTAGTAACTCTAAGAGCTAAATTACAGTTGTCAGCTCTACATTTATGATATTTGCAGTTAAGGAAATGCTCAATTTTATCCCTTCTTTCTATTGTGTTTAAGTAAGAGCTAAGTTTTAAATTGTATGTAAAATACAATTTTCATAGGTTTAGAAATATTGTAATCATGATTAGAAATGTCATTGATGAAAAAGTATAATTTTCACCTAGTGGTTGTCCATAAATGACAACAGTGAGGTTTACTTCCCCCACCCCATCATAGTACATCACCAATGATTTCACAATGTTGTATTCCCCCTCACCCTCAAAATAATTACAATTAATGTGTTAGGGTTAAAATAATATATACAATGCCAAAACCTTTTAAATTGCCAGGAAACTCCGAAGTGCAGAAAAATGTGCCACAGTTAAAGAAAGAGGACACCCTCAAAGGCAGTGGGTCAACAAGCAAAAAAAAATTACATCATACTTTTTCTGGAGAAAGTGGGTCAGAAGATGGCATGAGGTCTGAGTTAGCCAAACGGCCCAGTTCTGCAGATAAAAATGTAGGGATTGAACAAAACAGGTTTTTAAAAAGCAAAACTAAATCTGGTGCAAAAAAGCTAGAGGGTAAAAGAACCCCAAGCCCCCAACATTATCAGAGAAGCAGCTCTTCAGATAAAAAATCAAAAAGTTATGGAGGTAAATCTAAGTTTTAAAAAAAATTGAAATTTAACTTACAATATTTGTTTTTAAATTTTCAGAAAACCTTTTTAACATCTATAACTGCCTAGAGGAAAGGCGGAAGGGGGAGGGGTTTTTGAAGTGTGTTACAGTTTGACCAGCACCTTAATTTGAGTAGATCTTACAGAATTATTTATATTTAAGGAAATATTCAACATATGCTGTTATTGTAGGCCTTGTCTAGGCTACTAACCCGAAAGATTCAATTTCAAATCTGGGTCTAAGTCAGTAGAACATTACTGAATCCACCTAGCTCTGATGGGTATCTAACTCATGTTAAGGAAGGTAAAGGCAGCTCGGCAAATTGCTGACCACACCTTACCTTCATATGACGATGTCAAGAAACATGAACTCTACTTCATCTGCCCAATGGATCTCTAGGTCTAAAGAGGATTCTTTATGTCAGATTTGGCTTTCTAGATTTACATGTACTTGAACACAGAATCTTTGAGAGCTATTCTTTACATGGGTGTGTTTAATGATTCCACTATTCTTAAACAGGAAGTAAAAAGAATGAGATAGTCCGAACCCTTGGGAACATGTACTTAACTTCTGAAGAAGAGAGTCTTGCAGAATTTATCCACAATCTCTCAGTTTCTGACTCCTCTTCAAGACGACCACAGAATGTAAGTCTCAATTTATTCAGTAGCATTTACATCAGAAATCTACAAAGTAGAATTTTATTGTAGTAAATCTTTCTTGTTGAATACAATGGAAAATGAAGTTAAATAGAGCCATGTATTAGTATACAGCCACTGGAATTGCAGAAGCAGCAGAGTAAACCTAAGTACCCGATGTTAGGCAATACATTTTGCTGGCCACATAATTATCTTATATGCCTAGCAATACAAACGAATTAACTCTGCTGCATGTACATGGCCAACAGTCATAAAACATTTACTTTTATTCTTACAACTCTTGAAGTTCCATCTTTTCTGTCTTTGTTTTGCCAGTTGTACTCTTATTTTCATCAAGTGTCTAATCATTGTTTTTTAATTTGATGTTACTCTCAATAGTTTCATCAAGTGTCTAATCATTGTTTTTTAACTTGATGTTACTCTCAATAGTTTCATCAAGTGTCTAATCATTGTTTTTTTACTTGATGTTATTCTCAAAAGTTGGTTGCTAAGAAACAGCAAAAATGGCGTAAAAAATCTACTTTGAAATCAAGGCCATCTAGTGCTGAGCCTAACAAATCCAGATCTTCATCTCCATTTAAAAGATCTCCCTCACCGTATGGCAAACATTCCAGGTCACAATCTCAAGATTCTGATCTCCCTGATTCAATGGGGAGTGAAATTTTGGAAGTGAGACATGGCAGACGTGAGTCATCAAGCTCAGAAGACCAAGTCAAAAGTAAGTATACAACAGGCAGGTCAAAACATTAGAAAACAGACTGGATAAATAATATAAAACAAGCTAGGAAGGTCAAACCGGTTTTACATTTCTCCCTTAGTCTGCCGTAATTTTTTTTTGCTTGTCTGACACTTATTAATTTTGTATTTGTCTAGTAATTTTTGTTTGTACTATCACATTTTAAAAGTTATCGCTTTTATAACATGAACAAATTTCTGTTTCCTTTGGTTCAAGTCAAATTTGAATTGGACATCCCAAGTATTGCATCACCAGAGCCTGTATCTTCCAAGCAGAAATCTCCAAAAAGAAAGCACCAATCAAATACATCAGTGAGCACAAACAAGACATCTTCTGTGTTTAAGGCTCCTTCAGCAATTGAACATAAAGCAGCCAAGAAGAAAGAGTTGAAGACTGGCTCTAATGTCAAATCCAACTTGCTGGAAAACTTGGGTATCCACATGGTGGATGAGCTGTTGGAGGTCCGACAAGAGTTTAGGGATCTTGAGATATCTGAGGAATCTGAAATCAAAACAGAGAGATCAGAGGATAAAAGGAAGAAATTTTTTAGAAAACCTTCAGAATCTGAAATAGTTACAGAGATAGGGCCTGTGGTTAAGAAAAAAATGGCTAGCAGACAAGACTCAGTCACAGAAATATCTAAGTATGTTCATAGTGGAATGTGTATTCTCAATTTTTATTAAATATCATAATACTTGTAAAGTCAAATTGACACTTCACTAGCTTGTAACAACACTTGCTGCCCATATGAGTAGTCTTTTACAGTTAATTCTCATCGTTCTGTTTTTGTAAAAAAAATTGTAAGAAATATTTTAAAATTAGTTGATTTAAAAAAAAATTCAAAGTAATTAATCTGTTACCATTAAATATTGGTAGTTGTTTTTTTTTATCACAGTGAGAAGAGCAGTGATAGAAGAAGACAAACAGATACAGATCTAGACTATTCCGACTCCTTCTTGTCTGACTCCGAGTCACAATCCCTTACTCACAGTTCTTCATCAAGATCAAGACATAAAAAGTCATCTAAAAAAGATGAAAAGAGGTGGGTGTTTGAGTGATCACCATATCATGCTTATTTAATAAAAAAAAAATAAAAAATGTTCTTAACTGCCTCAAGCTAAATCATGCTTATCATACTTGTAAGGAGAACTCGACAAAAAATATGTATATATTTAGTACTAGAATGCCTAGTGAAAAAGCTTAATGAGAGAATAAGAGAGATTCAGTCAGACATTAAGAACACATTTTAGCTGTAACAGACCAGTCATTCCTCATATTTTCTATAGAACAAATAAAACCAACAAAAAGTTTTTTCCCAGGAGCAGGACTAGACAGCGTAAGGTGGTGCTGGAGGAGGGACAGTTGGATATCTCTACTGCTGACAATCAAGGTGGGACGCAGCATTCTACCAAGTATGGCTTCAGGGTATCTGTGCCTTATGGTCTGCAGTATGTTGACCCCCTGCCTGTGGCCACACATGTGATCAGTGCTGATGCTCTAGAAGGTAGACAGGTTTCATTTGTTTGGTGTTTTGTATTTAAACTTCTTTTTTAAAGTTTAACACATGGTACTCTTGTATGTGTGCTGTTGTGATTCTTGTGAAACTAAAGCAGGCTCTTTGGTTCTGTTTTGGAGAGCATATACACTATTAAAGTTTATTAAAAGGGTTTCTAAAGGTGCTGGTTTTAGACCTATTGAAAATATTTTATTAGATCCTGCATGAACATGTGCTTTGGAGAAAATTATTTTTATTTTGGAAAGTGTTATATTAAGTTTTAGTATTTTTAAAACTCAGTATTAATCATTGGTTTCTGTATATATGATTTATTTTGCTAGCCTTGACTGCCTACAGCCCTAACATGTTGAATGATTTATTTTGCTAGCCTTGACTGCCTACAGCCCTAACATGTTGAATGATTTATTTTGCTAGCCTTGACTGCCTACAGCCCTAACATGTTGAATGATTTATTTTGCTAGCCTTGACTGCCTACAGCCCTAACATGTTGAATGATTTATTTTGCTAGCCTTGACTGCCTACAGCCCTAACATGTTGAATGATTTATTTTGCTAGCCTTGACTGCCTACAGCCCTAACATGTTGAATGATTTATTTTGCTAGCCTTGACTGCCTACAGCCCTAACATGTTGAATGATTTATTTTGCTAGCCTTGACTGTCTACAGCCCTAACATGTTGAATGATTTATTTTGCTAGCCTTGACTGCCTACAGCCCTAACATGTTGAATGATTTATTTTGCTAGCCTTGACTGCCTACAGCCCTAACATGTTGGCTTTACAAGAGATGATGAAAGCCCAGTTAGATCTGATCAAAAATTTTGTGGCCATCCAGCACAGGATCTACCAATCTTGTATGGACGGACTCAACTACAATCACAAGTACACAACACTAGAGGAAACTAAAGAGGTAGCCATCTTTTTATGCCAGCATTTTGTTTTCTTTTAAAAATTTTATCTGCGGTATTCTATCAATTAACCAAACAATTGTATATTAAACAATTTTCTTCTCTTTAGTATGGTAAAAGTATATATTTTCTATATAAATTATTTTCCTTCAGCGGGGTGATAAATTTCTGAAACAATTATTGTTACATCACAACTTTGTGCTAAAACTGAAATCATTCCCACTGCATATGCTAATCTTCTATTTTTCAGTACATTTTCATCTAATTAATGTATGCTAATCTTCTATTCTTCAGTACATTCGTGAGCACCGTAAACCAACCTTGACCTTTAAAGAAGCTCTGCAGCTTGTGGAGGAAGAAGGGAAACAGCAGATGTTTTAAAATTATAATAATTAATAATACTTACGCTAGCTCTAATATAGCATGATCTAGTTTTTGTTTATTTATTACCATAACTGTATATTGAGACTTTAAAAATTATTTTGTAACAAACATTATTTTGTTGTTTTTTTGGCTTTACACTGTGTGGACTATCATTAATTAAGAAAAATAACTAAGCAATGGACATAATGGGATAGCGTGGCCTAGAGGTAGAGCTAACCACACTATCCCTTCATATGCAGAGGTCACAAAAACAGTTGAACTCGACTTAACTTGCCCCATGGATGGTCAGATTCGAATAGGGAACTTTACTACTAATTACTAATGCCCATAAGCTAGACAGATAAGAGATGTAGAGTCATTCCATCACTCATGTTGACAAGTTTCTGCCTGACTCTAATTTTTTATTGCACCACCTTGTTCAGAAGGTGGAGATTGGTTGAGGTACCAACATTTGATAGCCCCGGTACCAAACTTATGACTTCCAGATATACAAGCGTACATTCTTAGACCATGCCACCTTTACTTAGTATACAAATCTGAGGTCCTGAGTACAATTACAGACTGCTTCAATAATGAGGTAACACCTGGAGCAGGTTGACTAATTAAAACCACTACAGCAGTAACCTCAGTTAATTGACATCACTACTGTAAATATTTTCTCTACAGCGACCCATTTTTTTTAGTTTTATAGCTAATGTATTTTTGTTATCTTTCTATTCCACTCGTTTCCTTTGTTAATACAAACCACCTCCCTTCAATACAAATTTGCAGTAACCTCCCCTTTTGACAATGAATTTTTAAAACAAGTAACCAGAAAAAATAGCCAACCCACTGTACTATACATATAGCTGTATCCAAGCCACACCAATCAAAGCAGAGAAACCCATGCCCATATGTGTGCCCAACATGGTAGACCAACTAATGATCAGTTACTAACCCACATAAAGTGGTCCATTGTTTTATTCATACAAGAGGACAGATTGTGATAAAATAATATTGAACTGACAGAAAAGGAAAGACAAAGCAATAATAAAACATAGTAGAGTTTTGAACAAAGGAATATGGTGAGGATGTATGCTTTCTATATATAAAAAGACATTGACATTCTATTCTGATTCATTCTAATAAAAGACTTATCCGATCCTAACCAATTGAATTGAGGTAAACATGAAACAGATGTTTCATTGTCTGACATAACCCTAGCATCCTTACCTCATGCACAGATAACTCTAGCCAACTTAATAGTTTAAATTGAAAAATGTGGGCATCACAAGCATATTTTATGAAAACAACTCTTCAATGTAATTTTCTTCAGAAAACTTCCATAATTGATGGCCTAAAGATGAGGTACTGATGATTGACTGCACATGAAATGTAATGGCAGCATTGAAACTTCATAACAAGTATAATTTTTTTAGAACTCTTTTTGTTACTTCTGCTTTCCTGCACAAACTTCCTTGATTTAAATGTCTGTCAGGTTTTATTTGCTAAGGTAGACAAATCTTACTGTTGCCCTATTTTAGAGTGGACATGCCCCCCCCCCCCTTACATGTAGACTGAAGTAGACAAATCCACTGTTGCTCCATTATAGTGTTGACTTCTTTCCCCCCCCCCCCCTTTACATGTAGACTAAACTAGCCAACACTTGCTCTTTTTTTTTTAACTTTCCCCCTCCTTACAATAAATGTAGACTAAAGTAGACAAATCCAAATTTCTATTTTTTTGAGTATCTCCCCACTTTTTGTATGTAGGTGAAGTAGACTATTGTCATAAACAATAAATTATTATTAAATTATAAACAAAGCTTATTTTTCATGTTTTAATCAGCAACCACATATTTTTTTTAGAACATTTTCCTAAATTCAACAAACATGTGAAATAGATCCTGGTGCAGTTTTATAAAACAAATGACAAATGTAAGCAAATTTTGAACATTGAATGGACAATTCATTCTATTGTTGTACAACTTTATTTGACAATGTTAAAATCTGATATCACTGCATTATTTGAATATTACTTTACAAAATATTAACACTTATCACAATATGAAAGCCAGGCTTGTTTGTTGGGATTCTATTACAAGCGGGCAAATGAAGCAGAATGAATGCTATACAAGTACACATCTACACTTTTGCCTTGATGGTAGCCCTTTGTTTAGCTATCCTGGCCATTTATGTACACGTATGATACAGTGAACCATTTGAAATGGAGGGAAATAAGTATTTCTATTAAAAGCATAAATAATATTTACATGACTATCATACCTGAGGTATTCACACAATATGAGCCATTGTATTCTTTAAAAAGTAGATACAACAATCAGAGACTTGTTTTTTTTTTAAAAGTCATAAACTAAAAAATAATTAAAAACACTCAACTAGTAATGGAAGAATTTATAAATTTTTTTAGCATGTATAAAAAAAACCATGCATAATAAAACAACTTATTTGGCAGTTAAGCAACAATTAAATGCTTTTACTTCTAGATCTATGCCTAATATAAAATATTTAAATAAAACAACAGAATTAAAACATTTTTGAAAAATATAAAGCAAATTATTCATCTTAATAAATCATTTTTATTCAGTTTTGGTTCTCCAATTAAAACTTTGGAGTTGATTACAAGCATGTAATCAAATCTGCTCTGAAATCTTCTGATGACAAATAGAAGTACAAGTTTTCATTCCTAACATGTTATTTCCTTTTATACTGTAATGCAGTAAAGATGTACTCTGATGCTCTACAAAATTTCTGAGATCTCTATAGAGATGATGATGCTATATAACATTGCTTATGATAATATCATACAAGTATGTCATTCCTGTACACAAAGATGGCAGACTTCAACCACGCATGCTGGCACACACAATAAGCACCGTCCTTTGAGGAAAACAGATGTCTATTTTTAGAACTACCGTTCTTCCAATATAAGAGTTTCTTGAGGATATAATTTTAGAGTCTCCAGGGTTGATGATTTATCCAAATTGGAAATCTGGAATTAGAGGACATTTTTAAAAATATAGTAACACTCAACTTAAGTTGATACTGCCCACTAGATAATTTTGATAGACATTTAAAATTGTATTATTTGATAAATATGAATAACATAAGGATGCAAGTTCTTAATACGTACATCTCTTCGAGGATAAGTCGTAATGACTTTATAGTCTTCTGTGTGATATCCTTTGGCAGTGAGGAAGTTAAGTAGATCCTCAAGAGTATTTTCTGCTAAAAATCTTCGAGTGATTATTTCACTTCTTGCAACCCGAAATCTCAAAGAACAAATGCGACCTGGACTATTTTCAGGTGGTTCAACTGGTACTGATGTTGCTATTGATTTGCTGATGGCCTAAAAAATTTGTAAAAGGCTTTTGATTAAAAAAAAGTAAGTTTTTTTGTTTGTTAATACAACTATTGAAAATGAAAAAATTGCTAATAAAAGAATGCTAGGATATACATTACCTCTTTGATTTGTTGTTCTTCCTTTTTCTGATTTTCAACTTTCTTTTGCTCTTCTATCAGTCGTTCTTGTTCTTCTCTGCGTTTATCATCTTCCACTTTTTGAGCTTCAGCCTGTTTACAAGATTTTTTATTTTATTAAAATATCCAAACTTTTAACACTAATTGTTGTAAAATTGGTTGTAAAAAGAATAAATGTTGAAAAACTGTTTTCAAGAGCCACAGCTATGGAATAAGAAATAAAAGAGAGGAACTACATTTTTACAATATACCTATGTTACACATATCTTGTACTACAAAAAAAAATAGTCACCTTTTTTCTGTCTGCTGCCAATGATTCTTGATATGCTGCATCCTGCTCTTGCTTAATTCTTTCCCTGGCTTCTCTTTCTTTCTGTTATTAATCAAGATCTTACATGAATAATCTAACAATTCATTATAAATAATGCACAAAGACCCCAACAAAAATATATAACTTGAAAATGAAAAATGTGCACAAACCTCTTCATTAATATCAGCATGCTTCTGTCCTTGAAAGACTTCTACTGCATGTATAAGCCGTGTCATCATCTCATCAAGTGTCACATGACCTTACAATTAAAACAGTGGCTCATAAGTTGAGCAGTACACAACTATTTAAATGGATTTATTTTTCAGGAGTGTTTCTAAGTAAGATTCTATTAAAGTACTAACCTTGTATGACATCAATTACTTCATTGGTTGCTTTGGCTCGAGAGATAAGAAGAAGAGAAGGCAACTGGTCTGGGTTGTAGCTTCTCATTTGTGTTGCAGCCACACTACCAAAGTGGCGTGTGGCAGCCTGTAGAAACCTAAAATAACAGACGTCACATTACATTACTAGATGACAACAAGTTATGTTAACCAAGAATTATGCATGGTAATTTTGTTTAAGAAGCTAGAAACCAATTTTCAATCTTATTTATAAAAGAGTAATCCAATACATTAAAAAAAATATGTGACTGCTTCTTCAAAATGACTTACTTGGCTGAATTCTCAGTAGAAGTTAAATCCCAGGCCCAGGTAATGAAATGTACACTCAAATAGTTCACTATTCCCTCAGCACAAAGCAATTGGGAACAAAACACATTGGAGAAAATGCTGCTGTCATGATGGAGGTAGACAGCTAAAAGCTTGCGCTGTGTTTAACAAACATAAATATTCCATTACAAATAAAGTAACAATGATTCAAATGTAGCCATCTTGAAAACATCTTGAAATTAGGATTAAGTGCTATACAATGTTTGACTTACATCAGTTGCTCTGACAACAAGAGATTCCTGAATAGCATCATCAAGGCTACCGATGTAAAAATGGGGGTGGCATTCGCCATATCTGCGGATATTCAGATTGTATAAAAGAATTTAGATTACAAATTAGCAAAATTAACCAGATCATAATTTTTTAAATTCAGTTTTTCAACATTCATCCATAAACATATTTGACAGAGCAATGTGACATAAAATATCCCCTTTTTTTCTTTCCTCCATTATCACCACCCCTTACATCTTTAGTTAAGATCTACAGGTAAAATAAAACCTTTACGAAAAAGATTATTAAAATTTAGCAATTAAGCTGATGAAAAGAAATAAATTAAGTATTAGAATGCTGCATACCTATGGGTAAACTCTCTAGTGAAATGTTCCAGGGCTGACTTGTCGTCTCCAACACCATCTGGCACTAAAAGGGATAAGTTTAAATCAATTTAACAAAGGCTCGTTAAGATAGCCAATTATTTAACATGCTATATTTTAAACAGTATAATGTTCTTTGCTTTTATCCAACTTACTAAGTGGTTCAACACGCCTCGATGACTTTGGTTCTTCTTGAGAGAACAGATCATCATCTAGTGAATAGTTTTCTAAACCTGTGTCTTCCTCTTCATCACTGTCTACCTCCATCTCCTACAAATTTTAAAATCTATCTAAATATTGCTCAACAGGACCACAACATGTAGTTTCAACTTAATGATAGCGAACTGAAGCTGATGCAACTATCTATTAATATAATTCAATTACAAAAGTTACAACTGTTTACACCAGCAGTAGGAATGTATATAACATAAAGTGAGAAAAATCAAACTTAATTGTTCACCTCTGTGTCAGCAGGTTTACAGGTTGTAGATGAATATTCTGACTTTGTCATTTCCAGTTCATGGGTTGGGTAATTTAGACAGCAATCAAATAGTTTATCCTAGTAGAAAAAGTGAAAGTTTACAAAAAGTTATTTCATATACATAATATCCTTTTCAAAAGTGTATTGATAATACAGAGAAATAGCAAACCTGGTCTGTGACTTCCTTTGTCCACCCACTCCAAATTTGAAACCTAACAGGTATATCTGTTAATGTCATAAGGCTTTGCTTTACCTAAAAGAAAAAAAGAAAAACAGTAGTTTAACAATAAAGAAGTCTAAAAATTTTGAAATATCGCAGCCCAGTAAAATTAATAATCCACAAAGTAATATTGTATTGCGCAAATCATAATTAAGACTGTACATTAGCTTGAAAACAGAACTCCTGTAATAAATTTAGTAATGCAAACCATACAACTTACATCTCCCACAGTTTTACTGCAGTTAAATTTTAATGGAAAATTTCTGTACTTTGTATCATCTCTGTATGTTATTTTTAGCAAATATTCTCTATCACCTTCTAATCCATGAGAGGTTCTGTAAATAAAAAAAAAACATGAATTATATCTGTTTCTATTAAATATGCATTTAAAAGTTTGTTGGCATCACTGTGATATGAATTATCCTTTGAGGAAAAACAGATTGGTAAATTGTTTAGAAAATGGAACTAATGATTAAAAGCTGTTTATTATTTCATTCAACTATTCAGGGGAAAATTTTTTTTTTAAGTTACAATGAATGTAATGAAACAAAAACAAATTTAAGTAGTGAGCAGCAAGTTTTTACCTTTCCTATGTCGAGAATTTTAATTAAGTAGAAAAAGCAGCACAGAAACAATTATATAAAAGCAGCATTTGAAGATACTAGGGAGTTAGGCTTCAATAGCAGCATGTAACAGTTGTTATAATATTCTTGTGTTCCAGTAGTTACAAACATAAGAAACAAGATGCTACCTACCCTTCACCATCTTGATTCTGTGTTTTATTTACTGTAGGGTTTGTGATCTGAGGCGTTAGCAGATACAGGGAATTTTCTCTTGGAAGGTGCAAATCTCTCAGCAAAGTCTGTAATTAAGAATATGAAATTTATGATTGTATCAAGTTCTCTCAACATGAAAAAACATCTATTAATCAAGATAGCCTTATGGACCCTTAGAGCTGAAACATGAGGTTATTAACCTACTATAATATTAAACAATGATTTTAACAAACATACTGAGTCATCAACTTTGCGCTTGACTAGACCTTTCAATTCCTGTTTAGCTCTAGGTATACCAAGTTCAGTCTCTAGTATCTCTTTTATTTTACCTAAAAATAAAACAAGGTATTCTTTTTCAATCAAAATTATCTTCTTAAAATTAATGTTTATGTAATGTTACAATTATTTTAAGCTATAATAGGAGATGAAAATAAAATAGTTCTTCATATATTAACTTTTAAAATCATTTTCTGTAACAGCCCATTTAAAAAACATGAGTAATTATAGAAGTGTAATGAATATGGTTAGAGGTCAATACTAACAATAAAAGAGTCATAGGTTAGCTACTCACCTACAGTTTCATTATCAGGTAACACAACTGTAGTGTTTTTATCCCTGTATTCAACATTGAAATGAATCATTCGCCCAGCAAAGTTCAGTGGTGATGAACTATAGGATGGTCCTGATGCCATATCAGAGGCACCATGATCAGGAGGACGTAAATGCACCCCAAGGCCTTCAATAAACCTGTCGGATCCTTGCCCCAAGATAGGGTTCAGTGTTGATTCATCAAAATTTTCCTCAGCAGGAGAGGGTCCTATTTCATCAGGGGGAAAGCCTCCACCATCAGATGGGCCAAATCCCATTATGCTATTAACAGCTCTCTAAAATAATAAATGTAAACAAAATGTCTTATTCTAGACATGTCATAACTCATCAGAACACATTTTTAAATAAAATACATTGAACTAAAAAATAAGATAAAGATTGTAAATAGATTTCATTTAAAGCTTTTTTTTAAATATTAAAATACGCGACCAGTACCCCCATTTGAATCTACCTTTTCAAAGAATATACCTAATGTAATCTTTGTTGTTTTGCAGTAGATTATGTTTTAATTCAACAAGTATAAGGACTTGTGTTTGTTTATTCTTCAAATCCCATCAATTTTCTAGTGTTATATATCAATAGAATTTAAAATATTAAATATTATCCCCCATGGTATGACAATTATTTGATGCATTGGCACAGAATCTGTTTAGTAGCTGTGAATCCCTCATACTGTATACCAGCATGCATAAAATGATAATCAAATGGGGGGGGGGGGGGGAGGAGAAGAGCGAGAGAGATAAAGGGGGGGAGGGGGAGGAGGATGACTAATGTTTTGCTGTTTTTTACCTCTAAATTCCAGTCATGCTGTGTGAGTATGTTTGTGCACAAATCAAAATCATCAATTCCAGTTACACTCTGAAAAAAAAAATTACAATTTACATTTAGCCTTCAACGTAGCAATATTTTCAACTAGCTTATGAGTACAAAATTTTCTTATTTCATGCTGTTTAAAGTTTGAATTATATGATTCTTAAAATGTACCAATTGCATTATGTATACATTATAAGTTATAAAACAAAAACTTTCATTTATGGTATCTTACTTTAATAGTTGTGTTGAATTGCCAGTCAAACTAAATTTTAAATAACTCTAAATTAATCCTAATACATTGCTTAATATATATATATATATATTACAAATTAACAAACACCATGCTCAAAACAATTTAAGGACTGAAATAATTCAGTTACAAAAAAACCTAGGAGAGGGTGTGCGAGGCACGTCGGTGACACCATTTAGGGGGTGAGACCAAGGCAAAAAATTGCAAAATTTACAGAAGAAAATGCTTTTTTGCCAGTTCAATTAACAGTTTATTAAAGTAAAATAGTCTTTTAAGTACAAATCGACAATTATAACAAGGGGGTGACACCATGATGTAAACGTGCTAACTTTAGAGAAAACAATGCTACACCTAACTATATTATTAACAGACTGTAGATAAACATTGTTACTATTATGTCTGTAGTGATTAAAGCTTATAAACACACATGTAAGTGTATGTGACATATATTTAAATTATGTAGGCCAATACACTCACACACATATATATACAATAAAATCACAATATAGCGTTGGTTATTATTCCGGAACTGTACAGCAGTAAAAAACAGTAAAACCATGGCATAGTCTGCCGAGCCGTTGCAAAAACCACCGGAATACTGTTTTGCTTATTATTTTGTATTTCTAAATTATTTGAAGTGTATGTGCTAACATTGCTGCTACTAAACATTGTTCTAGTTCTTCTTACTACTTAAACTACTTATAACTTAGTAAATCTAATAGTCTTATTTTACTAACTAAATCTAGATCTAGTTGTCGCAAATCTTCTGCAAGTTTGTTTTCTTTAATAAAAAAACAATTACTACACTTGACTTTATTAATAATATTAAGATTTACTAATTGTTCCTAATTTTCTGTCAATTAAACATTAAATTAAGTTAAAACATTAGCCTAATTTAATGCACTAGGCCCTATACTTTATTTTTATTTCAACGGTCAAATAAACTATGGTTTACACTAGTTTACACTTACAGTAACAAATGTTACCGACACTCTACCAGATAATTTCAGATGCTATATCATGAGATTACCTATATATACTGTGTTTCTTGGGGGGGGGGGGGGGTGAGGGGGGTGACACCACAAAGTGCCGCACTGGGTGACACCCAACCTAGCGACGCCACTGCCTACACTCCTACACAATACTACACATACACTGTTGTAATGGAATTTATCAATGTAACGATGTAGCTTCGTCACTTATTACAAACTAAATCAAGCCCAAAATATACTTTGAAGAACTATTACTTTTTTCAAAGGTAGCGTATTCTTCAAATTCCGACTGTCATCACTGAATCAGAGTGCAGTGAGTCCAGTGACGGTCTCTTTCGATGACAACAATTAAAACTTTATTGAATATAACGTATAGTGCTTAGCTAAAACATTGAAAGAAAATAAAACAAATAGATCCAAGGGGAAATAAAATGTAGAGCAGGAGTATTCGTAAGTTAGAATTATTGGTAACATGAGTGATTTATAAAAGTACCTGAAAATCTATTAGAACTTGATCTCGGGACTCGGCCATCTTGCAATTATTTTTATCCTTTTATTTTGTTTAGTGCGCATTACGCATGCCAAATCTAGGTTGCCAGATTTAGGCCCAGTAATTGTTTAAATATCAACTTGCAGATACTGACACTAACAAAAAAACAATTTTAAAATAATAATTAATATTATAATAATATTTTTCCAACGTTATAATGAGTCATTTCCTTTAAGCCAAATATTTAAAATGATATTAAATATGTGCATATTATTACAGGATACCGTAGTTATATTAAGACTATGTTATTTACTATTTTATTTCACACTCTTTAATTAAGATGCCGTGATCGTTCTTTTTTTATCTTCTCGTTTGACTTCTTTGCTACGCAAGCTACATATAGATCTAGGGCTTCTTAGAAAAGCTGTTTTCCACAAACAGATCTAACTGTAATATGTGCATTGTGATCTTTCATTACTGTCTTTGGTAGCAAAATTTTATTTATAATTATTTTAATGGAAAATCTGCTGTCTCCATTTCGGCATTTTATTCCATTCTATGCTTTTTTAAAAACTTTATTTATTTAATAAACAATGCAAACAGGCAATTCGTGCTTCTTAATAACTGTTTGGGGTTTTCGTTATTCAATCTAAAAGTACTTCCGCTTTCGATTTCTTACTAAACAGATGACGGATGTTTATGTTGGCAAAAAATCGCTTGCATCATTTTCAGTTACACAAAGATCAGTAGATCTATATCTTCATTTACATAAATAATATAATAAACACATAATGGGAAAAGTCACATTTATTCATCCAGATTTGGGTATTGGCGGAGCAGAAAGAGCTGTTATTGACGCAGCACTTGCATTAAAATCTCGAGGGCATCAAGTAGAATTTATTACTGCCCACCATGATCCTTCTCACTGTTTTCAAGAGACTAAGGATGGAATACTTAAAGTTACAGTTGTTGGTGACTGGTTGCCAAGAAGAATTTTAGGAAGATGCTATGCTCTTTGTGCATACATTAGAATGGTGTTTGCTGCTTTGTATTTTCTACTTTTTGGATCTAAATGTGATGTGTTGTTTGTTGATCAGATTTCAGCATGCATTCCTATTTTAAAATTATCATCTTCCAGAATAATATTTTATTGTCACTTTCCTGATATGCTGCTAACTCAAAGGAAAGGTGTGTGGAAAAAGCTATACCGAGCACCCATTGATTATGTTGAAGAAAAAACCACAGGGATGGCTGACTGCATACTTGTTAATAGCAAATTTACAGGTACTACAACTTAGACTAGGTCATGACCAGGGGCAGAACTACAGCGCCGCCAGACACAGCAGACCATAATCAATTTTTTTTTAGTTGATGGTTGTCTTGCTAAAAGAATACTGTAGCTGCGTTGGATTAACTTTATTCTATAGACACCATCCCACGCTCTTGTATAATTATTTGTTTTCCCTTTGTTTTTAAACCATTGTGAAAAATAGGCAAACGTTTAAACCACTTCCGTGACTTATTTCCCTTTTTAAATAGTCAAATAGGGGTGCTCATAAGCTCCTTTTAATAGATGAAACAATTAAAAAGCAATTACTTCTCTTAATTATTTTTTTTTTAATACATACTAAAGAATGACATAGTATATAAAGGAAATGTATTTAAAATTAATAATATAAATATAAAAAGAGATAAAAATAAATATAACACGAGAAACCATTACACACATACAACTTTGATATTTTATATTCTTTTGACGGACTTGAGGTTAAGAAATATTACGGCTGACATACAATAAAACAGATTTTCAAAACACACTAATGCACTCACACACATGAGATGTTGTTGTAATTTATTTTAATTGAAAAAAAACAACAAAAACCCGATCAGGCGAGAAATGAGTATCCTATGTTCATATTTTTTGTTTTGTATATGTGTATATATATATATATATATATATATATATATATATATATATATATATATATATATATATATATATATATATATATATAAATGGGGGGGGGCAAATTTTTTTTTTGCGGGGTGGCCCTTTTTTTCAAGTTCTGCCACTGGTCATGACTCAGACTATAGTCACTTTAGCAAGTGTTAAAAAGTTAGATGTAGAAAATCTAAATCATTACAGTTTTAAATTCTGGCACATGAACTTAACAATATTATAATTAACAAGTGGATTCTGAATTAATGGAAAGCTTTAGGCCTACTTCATAAGATAACTTTTTAAAAATTAACAAAACTAGGTAGTAGATAGCCTGGGGCAAATTGATTTTAATTACTATTATATAGTACTTATTATTGTTCTGATATACATTGTTCTAAGACAGTAGCAGAATTAGGTTTGAATCAGCTAATTTAAGGTAGTAATGTAAGCTAAAATACTAAAATAGCCTTAAGTTGCTTAAGACGATGATGATTACTGATAATGTTTGGATGTGCAATTAATATTATAGGCACAATTTAAATACTATGCAATTCATTTTCTTTAGCTGGTGTATTCCATGAAACATTTTCAAGCCTTCATCATGTCCAACCTGAAGTTCTTTACCCAATACCAGATTTCTCTGGATTTGATAAACCAGTTGAACCTCCTGGAAAAGATTTAATACCAACAGAAGCCAAGATCTGCTTTCTTTCAATTAACAGATATGAGAGGAAAAAAAACTTAAATTTGGCTATTCACGCTTTAGGTAACCAGAAAAATCAATCAAATCAATTTCTGAATTATGCCTTTTCCTTCATCTATTTCTTTGTAGGAACAGTAGGATTCATGAGATTGTTTATGTAACAAGAAAGCCTCTATTAAATGTTTTTGAACCAGAAACATCAATGCTACGAAAAGTTTATGATATTGTCTTTAAATTTATACATAAGAGGTGACAGACATTTGGCCTTAGTGCACTATCTGGAACTGATACATTAGAGGTGACAGACAGTTGGCCTTAGTGCCTGTCTGGAACTGATACATTAGAGGTGACAGACAGTTGGCCTTAGTGCCTGTCTGAAACTTATACATTAGAGGTGACAGACATTTGGCCTTGGTGCACTATCTGGAACTGATACGTTAGAAGTGACAGGCATTTGGCCTTAGTGCACTGTCTGAAACTGATATGTTAGAGGTAACACACGTTTGGCCTTAGCGCATTATCTGAATTAATTTCTAAATGTAGGGTGCCACTGTATTGTGTTTGTTGTGTTCCAGATTTTAAAAACTATACAAGAACAGTCAATTGGTTTTGTGATATTTATATAATTCTAATTTATTGAAGTAACTTACATTAGCAATCATACTTTTTAAAAAAAATATTTTTTAAATTATAAAAGTTAACTACACTTCATCTGTAAAAATTTAAAATGATTTTATAAACTTTCTTTAATACTCTTAGTTTGAATAATTATGTAATATTTAACAAAACGTGTTATTATTTATTTTTGCAGATAAATTACTTCAGTTACAGCCTGATGCTGATGTACATCTAATAATGGCTGGTGGCTATGATTCACGAGTTGTTGAAAACGTTGAGCATTTTTCTGAATTAACTTTACTCATCCAACAACGAAAGTTGGAAGGGAAGGTTACTCTACTTCGATCTTGTAGTGACAGCCAGAAACTAACGCTATTAAAACACTGTTCGTGCCTTATTTATACCCCAGAGCGGGAACATTTTGGTATTGTGCCAATTGAAGCTATGTATATGAAATGTCCTGTGATTGCTATGAGAAGTGGCGGCCCTCTGGAGACTGTCAGTGATGGTGAAACTGGTTACTTGTGCAGTAGTGATCCAACTGATGTGGCCAATGCTATGCTAAGATTTGTTAAAGATCCTAATCTGTCAAATTCTTTTGGTGAGGCTGGAAGGCTAAGGGTTACAACTATGTTTTCTTTTCTCAGTTTTACTGAGAAATTGGACTCAATTGTTCTAAGACTGCTTGCTGAGTGAGCTTTCAACATGTTTGTGTTGCAATAAAAATATTGTTTTGTTTGATGTCTTTATCAACTTGAATTTTAGATTTCATGATGAAAGCTTGCTAACAAATATTAATAAAGTTCCCTTTTATAACAAAATCATGGGACAGAGAAAGTAGAGTATCTGGTCTCAACTTACTACTAAAAGCATTGCACATTTGATATATGCTAATTAGATTCTGTGGTTGTGGTTCTAAGATGTAAGCTTTAATGAAAAGATGATGTGACCTTTGCAGCCAGTCAGAATTATTATGCTGTCACTTGCCCCAGGTAATTATAATGTTATTGTTAGCATTATGATTACTCGACACAAGATAACTTTGAGTTTTGTAAAAGAATTTAGATTAAATTAGCTAAGCTATCTAGATTTTAAAGTGTTGATGGAGTTTTTGCTATGTCAAGGATGTTAACACCCCCCCCCTAATTGTAGACATCATGTGACACAAGTACACAGCCACCAATAACAACATGAGACCACTTTTACTTTGTGGAGGTTTATGACTCCCCCCTCTGCACATCATTTTTTCAACAGGACTTTCAATTAGGACTTGTCATTTGGAGCACAATTATGTAGGCTCCTACTGCCTTTGCTGATATTCTGCACATTAGAATGATTCGATAAATTATTTTACACTACTACAAGTACTAGCCTACACTTTCTTCATTTTGGTATGCTTTGTAAATATAATAAATTTATGGCATTTATCTCAAGACAATTTGTAAAGTTTTTTGTAAGCCTACAAAAACTATAATTTGTCTTGTTTTGAAGGGGGGGAGGGAGGGAGGGCACCAATGGAAATTTTTTAGCAGCATCAAACTATATAGGGGCCATCCATAAAAGGATGTCACATTTATTTTGACGATTTTTACCTCCCCACTGTCACAAAAAAATTGGACACCCCCCCCCCCCCTATCTCAACCCGCCCACCCACAAAATTAGTTTTAATTTTTTTTTTAAACATGTATTATTTTTTTTTAATTTTAAACAAAGTATTTCAACAGTTTTCTAAAGCGCGAAATTACGGCTAAAATCCGTTTTCTAACATTACTTTTTAAAAGCACAAGTGCGACGTCACACTATCTGAACCCACCCCTCCCCAAACATCGTCGAAAATTTACGACCCTACTTCTACCCCTCTAGGTGTGTTACGTCGTTTATGGACGATCCGAAATCTATGTCGCAAATAGCGTTTCTGGAGTAAGTTATAAAATAACAGTAAGGGGTCATCCATTGATAACGTCCACACGCGAAGCAACGGCTTTATTTCGGTTTCCAACATTATTGCAAAGGGTGTCGTCACACTTTCTGAAACCCCCCTCCATAGTGTGACGTTATACGGACGAACCCTAATATAATAATAAACAAAATATCACACCTTTGGAAAGCGAGCGATTTAGTAAATATAAATAGAAGCCAAGAACCTGGAGACCTTGCAACTTATTAATCTCATAAATGCTAATATTAATCATCGAAATACATCCGAGTACAGAAAATAATACTGTGTTAGCCCCCCCCCCCCCCCCCCACACAGGGTTGAATACTTTTCATGCGTTTTAGGTCGGTAATTCCTTTTTAAAAATGTTAAAAATATTTATACTTTGACGTTTAAAAATAAAACCTACTAATTTTTCTCTTTACATGCTACCAGTGTTTCTTCCAGACTTTTTTCTCCGGGGGGGGGGGGGGGGGGTACTTGAAATTTTCGGGGGGGGGGGGGTAAACTTTCTTCGGGGGGGGGGGCGGACACTGTTAAAAGTATATATTTTCTATATAAATTATATAAATTTCATTCCGTTCGGGGGGGGGGGGGGGGCTAATAATAAACATTATCGAAAATATTAAAGCCGCGAATCAGTAAATAGATACACAATACATGTCAGTGATTAATAGTGAATTGGTAGTTTGTTTTTAGAGATCTATTAAATTTTTGTTGACGTCCACAATGGGGGGAGAGGGGGGGGGAGGGGCGGGCGGTCGAAAGTGGATGCGTGTGGACGGGGGTCTAACACTCTAAAATCCGAATTTTTTGTGGACGTCATAAGTGGATGACCCCTAACTGTATCAACAGGCCATACCTACGCTGATATATTGGTGTTTTTCTTTTGAATTTTATTTACTAAAACTACAGATTTCCATATTTTGGACTTAATTAATATTTTACTCATAATTTATTGTTATAATAGCCTATTACCAAGCCCCGTTTCCCAATAAGACAATGACGAAAGGGGGGGGGGGGGGTTAGAGTCCACATGGACTTGGATATACGTAGGTATGCTGTATACGTCACATAGTGAACCATTTGAGATTGCCAATCAATAATACGGCTTTATTGTCCCACCAAACCAATCAGTAACAAACACATCTTTGGGGTCATGCTGCGTTCACATTAGCTTAGAAATCAGGACGAGATGTTAGCTTTGTTGTTACTGACATATGTCGCCACTGTAACCAATAATGTAAAATAAGACCAACGTAACTTTTAATAAATGTGTTGCACGCCGATAGATGAACATATAGCGTGACTAACGTACGCCCAGCTAAGAGTATCAGGGCGTGGCAACATTAAGCACTGGCACAACTAAAACTCAAGTAGATAGACTATATACTACTACCAAAATGTGATCTTACAATCGGATGGGGAAGTAAAAGCTTTGATTAGAGCTTTCGCGCAGATAATTTCAAAATTCTACACCAGAGTAAACCCCGCCTAAAATGGCGGACTACTTTATAACATGATATAACCAACTCACGGTTGCTTTTAATGTTCCGAGGACACGGCACTGATGCTGCAACTTTTAATTACAACAAATATTTGAACGTAGACATCAGAAGTGCCCCATGTTTAATAATGATTACAAGGAGAGTTTTAACCTTAAGGCCTACACATAGAACCTTAAAATTCAAATGTCTCCACAATGAACCATTTATATAAGTGTCTACATGTGATGCTATTGTGGTTAATAGTGTCCATTATCTTTTACAGATTATTTACATAAGCCTATTTCTGCAAAATATACACAAGAAAAAACATGATGTTTCATTTGATGTGCTTTATTTAAATTATTACAATTTAAGTATTAAAGAAATAAATAGGTACTGAAAGTGACACTTAGTTACATTTAAAAGTTGTAGTTAAAAACAAAAACTTAACATCAAAATTTTGGATTCTATAACGGAGAGACAATTTTTGTTTGACATCAACTTCAATTTGGGCTAAATCTTCAAAAAGTTGTAAATTAAACATAGTAAAATTAATAATGTCAGGTGTATAATAAGTGTACAAAATTGGATGTAGTCCTCTCCATTCTTTCAACATTCACCAACAAGCTCTGGTTAGGGCTTACTCTTACAATCATTTAGACAAATTTTAAACCAAAATGTGATGTGTAAAGTGAATACACTTAGAGAGCTGACAGCCCTAAAACTATCTGGTGGTTTATAATATTGCACAGCTGCCTTTTTCCTTGAAGGGGTTCTCACTGGGCTTGCTAAAGCCACTGATCAAGTAGTCTTCCTCAATGTGAGAGTCACAGTATTTCTGCAGATCATCAATGCACTGGGATACTCTGAAGCGTGTAATCTGAGCTTCACAACGAAGCTGCTCAATAAGGCGGCGCTGCTGCTGCAGACCTTCCTGGAACTTGTTCATGGTGGACCTACACACACAAAACAAACATTTGATTTAGAGTTAGATTTTGTAATAGAAATGATAGTTTTTTAGGTGACGACTATTTTTCATAACAAGAAATCCTGACAAATTTGCTCATCGTCAACAGAAAAAGATGTCTCACAACTTTACGCTCTTATATAGTCAGAATCAGTTCAAGCAATGCAGACTGACAGGATGATTAATCAAGCATTTCTCTCACCCATGACATATTACCAGCTGCATTTCATTTCCTCCCCTGTTGCCTGGCGCCGATTGGTAAGGACATGAGAGGCAGTTAGGTCAGGGGAAACCTACAATCTCGAGACATTGCTCATGACTTGAGGGTTAGCATGCACATGTTCTACAAGTAGACTATGCCACCCCATATACAATTTTACTATTTACTCAAAACAAAATGCAGCAGTTAAATTGTAATTATATAGTATTTAAGTCAATTATGAGAGAGCTACTATTCTGAAATAAACTTAATCTCTGATCATGCACAACGTCATGACAAAAGATAAAACAAGTGAAGAATCAAGTGTACTTTCTTTTCGTACACGTTTCTAGGTCTAGTCTAATAAGAAAATCTAATACACTAATAAAGAAAAAATCAGAATAATTATTTTATATGAACAGACTAATTTACCTTTAACTAACTGCTAAAACAGTAACCTGAGAAGCAAAAAAAAAAGAAATCACATGGAATCAATTTATTCAATTTAAAAACATTTTAAAAATAAAAGCAGTGTAAAATTTTAAAAATTTCAATCAAGAAAAAGAAATTTATAATGATTAACAGAAATGATGGTGTAAAACTCAGGATAAAACTTGAGCTACAAATGTTCACAATACAAAAAGCAAACATGTCTTACCAAATTGTAAATAAGACTACAACTAAACAAGTCTTTCTATTGTATGAGCTCACAAAGAAAACTAAAAGGGAAATGTCATATGGCAATTCTAGGACAGATAGGATAAGCTACTGAGCTTTTTTATATGATCAATAAAGCTACTTGTTTCCATGGTAACATCAATTATCAACACAGTTGGTTGTGTAAAATCAATGCTGGTAATTTCTTATGATGACTTGAATGTCAGGTAGTGTTCAGAGTAAAAATGTAGCTATAACTATAAGATAAGGGAAACTTTTGTCAGATGCATTGAAAGCTTACAATAAAAATAGACTTTTAAAAGCTTGGCTTTCCAGCTTTATTTATTTTTACTTTATTATGGTCATTATGAGATTAAGACCAACAGTTAGTTTTGTCCCAGTTAAGATTTTAAAACAAATACTTATGTTGCTTTACCAGTATTACTGTTACCAAATGAGTTACCCTATAATAGAGTAATAAGCATATCTCAGCAGCACAAGCATTTTCTTTTGTTCATTCAAGTGATGTTTAGTGAAAAAAAGCAATACTACAACAGCAACATAAGATAATGTCAGAAAAATTAAAAACAAATGAAACAATTGCGTTATGGTTAAAAGGAATTTTAATGGTTAACTTAAAACAGGTCAAAGGAATGAAATTTGTACACAGTGACTATTGAAACAAATACATATAAATATAACGTGCAACAACCAGTGCAGTTAGCTTCTCAACATTGACTAACACTAAGCAGCTGATGAATATTTTTAAAAATAAAAAATAAAGCAATACATTATGTAAGGGATAAAAAATTTAAATAGAGCCACAAGTAGAAAAATATTCTTTTATGGTCTAAGAAAATAATAAAATAGCTAAAACTCTTCAATGTTAATCACTACTTATACTACAACAATCACACCACAAAATTATAAAAAATAAAAGGAGTATAACTGATGTAAAAACAAAATAAAACATGAGATAAGTAAAAAAATTAAATAATTAAAAAAACATTTAAATTAAAAAAAATTTCTTGGTTAAAAATTTAAAATTTTAATTTAACTCTTGTTATCTTGAACCGATAAAATAACTTTTTATAAACATATTTTAAACAGTCTTGACTACAGTTTACTTATTCTAAAAGCTTAAAATATACATTATAATTTTTTAAGTGTGCATGTTGGTGTAGTCTAAAACTGTGTATTATTGCTGCTATACATTTATAACAAATTTGAATTGAAATAAAATATTTCAGATTTCATCACATTATCAGCTCACCCCCATATTGTTTTAAATATATAAACACCAACATTAAAAATATTTTGATTCATTGTTCAAATATATTCAGTTGGTATCATTTTTTTAATATGCCACAAATTATAAATAATTTTTGACAATTTAAAAAAAAAAAACTGATAGCTATTTACACCAACATAAGATGTACAATTTATACACAAGGTGCTTTTGCTATAAAACACAGTTTTGTTGATTGAACATTGATTTCTTTCAAGCTATAATAAATTATTAAGGAAAATTTATAATTATTCCTCTTAGCTAAAAAAGGCAAAAATTAAAGAATTGTTTTACCTATTTTTTTTACTGTTATAATATAATTATCGCACTACTCTCTAGATAATGGTGTAAAAATAAACTGATCACAAATGTATTTTAAATTTAAAAAGTTGAACACCTTTAACTATCAGTGAGTATTTTTCATATGTTGTACAATTGTACACAAATCCCTTACCTAATAGTAATACATTCAACATTTACCATATCTGGACAGTACAACAAAGAATGTTAAATCTTTCAATGTGTTTTGAGTATGTGACAACAACCTCTACATAAGAATTTAGAAGGAAAAAACAACTGAGAAATGTGGAGAAAAATAAATCTAAATTTGAAAGAATTAGGTAAAAATTAAATGATTGAACATTTTCAATGTAGAAATAAAAATATTTAGTAACTGGCAGTACAGAGCTACAGACCATCAATGTATAATCTTTTAAGAAAGTGGAACCAAATTTAAGGCCGGTTTCACATTTGAAAATGATTTGTGATATACTGGAAAAAGAAAAACTATGATATAGATTGTGTCAACTAACACATTAGTCATTAGTTACAAATGGCAATCTGTATAAAAATGAATTATAATACAGAGGAAAATTGAAATTATAAGAAGAAGAAAAAGGCTGTAGCAAAATGTTATGATCTATTTTATCTATAACAGATATGAATCAAAAGAACAAATATCAGTATAAAAAATGATCACATCTATTAAACAATACTTGTTAGATAGCAATGCATGCACATGGCTGAGAGATACTGGGATAAAAGAAACACAACAACCATACAACAATGCCTAGACTAATTTAAGGAAAAAATGAGCAAAAAATAAACCTAATGAATTACTACTGATATGTAAGCATTTAAAAAATGGAATACACAATCTTGCTTATCAAATTAGGTATTATTCATTAATAAAATATAACTTTAGATGACCCCCTCCCAATAGAGTTTTCTTAAGACATTTCAATATACTAATTCAATGACTTGTATCTGTTTCTATTGCTATATTATTGATTTATGTAATTATTTCTATTTTTAGGAAATTTTTTAAAAAGAATAAATACCTTATAATATATTGTTTTTTATATCAGAATCAAACCACAACTTATTTACATTTGCTGCTGCCTAGCCTTACATAAAACTACATTACTTTGGATTTATAGTTCTTTCTCATTTTTTTCTTTGCTTGTTTGTAGCAGAGCTCTACAAACGTTACTTAAAAAGAGACTACTGTTTCATGAAAGTTTAACTGTTGTATAAAGGATACTTAAGTTGGATAAACAGACAACCTCTCACAACTAATATTTTAATATTCTTTTACTTAAGACTAATAATTATTTTTTTGTGTGTTACACATTCATGTTAACAAAACCGATCAAAGTACTTTAAAATATAATAACAGTTTTCTATCCTTTCTCACTTCTAAAATTTCTTTTTAACTTAGATAAGAAAATAATTGGATGACTAGCAAAAATGCTATGTTTCTTTTCAGGTTTGAAAACAGATATGCATAAATCACAGTTACTAAAAACATTATAAAATTGTACACATTTTCTTTGGCTTAAACGGATTTACTTTATCAGGATAGATCAATCGATCATTTTTCAGGTTATTATTAGTGTACAACATAAGATCTTTAATGGTGTCAGAAGCTTTTTGTCTTTTCATATGGGACTGATTTTGAAGGCTCTGTAGCTCCATTTTGGCTTTTCTAAAGGCCTCTGCCTCGCGTGCATTAGCGAAAGATGGCATGCTGGGATAGATAAGTGTCAACAACATTAACAATTTGATGCAAAAATAAACAACAAATAGTGACATGCATGGAAAGCAGTGGAGTGACAAGTCAAAAGAAAAAAGTGGACAGGTATCTTTAAATTAAAATAATGGGTTGATTATAAAATATTTTACTTAGTATTTATTAAACAGGGAAGAAAAGTTCATATTGTAAACACATGTTTAAAATTACATGCATCATTTCTTGCATAAACAAGGAAGAAATGTTAATATATAGACAAAATGAGTAATGCATATGGCAGTGAATATAATAATGTACATGAATTTATAATTTAAACTTAGTTCAAAGTTGCCTGAAATTTCTCAATTAATTTGTTTCTAAATTCCAATAAAGAAACATGAACAAAAAAACAAATTATCTGTTGTTAAGTATGTTAGTATTATTATTATAATTCATGTTAAAACTTAAATGGGCTTCACTCTCCTAAAGATTTAAATTACTTAAATTACTTTGTTTCATATTGGAAAAGAAGTGCATGATCAATGATAACCTTCACATTACTTATTTTTTAAACTAAAAAAAACAAACAACATAAGCATTAAAGTAATAAAACAAACAAAACATTTAAAAACTTGTATTCATCTTTATACACGTTTTTAGAAAAAAAATGAAAAAATAAAACACTGTCACTACTAGCTCTGTTACCATGCACAATATATAATATTAGGGTGTAGCATGACATTTTTAACAAATATTATTGGAATTAAATAATTAAGAACTAAATGGGCTTCTCTGTGGTTTGATTTTATTTTACTTCAACTATAAAGATAAAATGGACTTGTGTGTTTGTATGTGATTTTGTGCAAAATGTGTATGTTATAAAAAATAATGCACTGAAGGTTATCGTTATATTTTTGTTCTTTTCATACATACATATATATATATATATATATACTAGCTGCATCCCGTGCTCCGCCACGGTAAATCTTTTTTAAATGTACAAAGTTGGGAACAGAACAAAACTAAACACAACACAAACGAACGCAAAAAAAAAAAAAAAAAAAAAAAACGAAAAAACAAACACAACACTCATAACATAGACACAATTTAAATGCAATCATACAGGCATATTGCTCACAGTCTAGCCCGTAGCGCCAAATCGCGCCCTTTCCGGTGATTTGCACCCCCTCAAACTTTCGATTTGCACCCCTTCCCCCCCCCCTCCCTAAATCTTTCGATTTCCACCACCCCCCCCCCCTCGCACATTTTTTCCAACCCACTTTGGCGCCCCCTAAGGTCGGCACCCGGGGACATATGCCCTCCCCTCGCTACGCCTCTCCTATAAAACCCCTAGCTTGTCCTCAAACCGAAAGATAGAATAATAATTAGTAAACAGTATAAATAATAGGCAGTATTTAAAATATCCGTGTTTTACCTACCATATATCACTTTACCAATTCACGCATTTTTTCCCCAGTACTTTAAATTTTAAAAATTTACAA